ACCTGATGGGAGACTGGGTTCTCCAAAACACCGCAGAGTTATAATTGATGTGTTTTGGAAAAACACATCTGCCATGTGGGTGTTTGAGCGACCGCTGATTACAGAATTTCCCTGAAGAGACGTTCATAGAAAATGACGAAGAATAAAGGCCAATAACTACAAATATCTGTCATGATAACTGCTTTTATTACACCCCTTTTTTCTACATGTGGCTCCAGCTGTCAAACAGGTCCCCTACAGCCTCAAAATGCCCCTCAAGGGGGACTGAGACCCAAGATTTTTCTTTTTTCTTACAGTATTTCTGCCATCCCTTAACAATATCCTACACCGACCTCTAGTGGCTGGGTGGGGACACTACCCTCCTGTCTGTACAGTTCTGGCTGGGTTGTGCAACAGCAGTTAGGAATGAGGATGTGCTGGTTTCAGCTCTGCTTCAGTTCCCATCTGCTGTGAGAATAGGGGGGTGCGGCTTCACTGTTTATATGCACACCTGTCAGTAACAGAAATCTGTGCTGAGTGTGAATGTGTTTGCACAAGTCAACTAGGGTCATCCCTTGTGTATATATGGGCATAACATTTGTGTAGCATGGAGTAGAGCCAACTTTGGTTTACACTTAAATAAAACAGATTTTGATTCTGTAGTCCTGATCATTAGGGAATGAAAAAAAACATAGTTCTTGTAATTTAAAAAAAAGAATTTAGTGCTTCTGTGTGTAAGTTTCAGTATGACTTTACATATCTATCATCTTATTTGATTGTAAAACACCTGTGGTGAGTTAGCTCAAGCTGTGTTAGTGTGACTCATTTGATTAGAAGTTGTGAAGGCTTGAAAGAAAGAGAGGTGAAACGATTTACAAAATAATGTGTAACAGATCTGGCACAGAGCTGACAACTTAGAGGGGAAAAAAACAGCTCAACAGTTCCACCTTGTGGATGGATGACTTCAAAAAATCTGTAAGAAGCAAAGAAGCGACAACAGTATTTATTAGGCTGTTCTTCAAAATGCTAAAGTAGTTTTTAGATCAAGGCTTGGTTGCAATATCAAAAGTAAAACAATGATACAGTCAGACTGAAGAGGAGGAAGTGGAGACTGGGTGTAAATGTCAAAAAGAGTCTCTTCCACTTGTGGTGAAACTGTACATGACTTTGCAGAACTCAGCTTGTCTGGAAGTGGTAGAAACTAACCAAGTACTTATTCAAGTCCTAAGTATACATTTAAGCACTTGTTATGAAACTATTGCACTCTTCTTTTACTTTTCAGAGGAAAGTTTGGTACTTTTTACTCCACTAAAGTCACTAAACAATTACAGGTAACAGATACTTTTCAGTGTACACATCAAGACATTAATGCAGATTTGATGAACCTATGAAATATGTTGTTTTAATTTAAAACTTCAGATTATGTAGAACAGTAAACATTAACTCCATATTGAGCTAAAACAAAGGCACCCTTGATGAATCAATATTAATTGTCAAGATGAGTTTAAGAGATCATTTGTGTATACTTCAACAAAATATTAACTTTCAATAATGCTTTTTTGGCAGTTTCTAAAAGGCAACACTTTTTCTATATACTTCATCCACCACTTATACTTAGCCAAAGGTCTCTAAAGGTCACAATGTTGATACTGGGATCTGGCTGAATTCATTTTTAGTTCACAAATAGTGACATTGCTTGCTTGAGTTAAAACCCTGCTTTAAAAAACATAGTAAATGTTTGCAAATATTTAACTAGCAGAGCTCCGTGTTAGGCAATAGCAAGTGCACTTCATGTTTAGATCTCCCACAGAGCTTAAGCCCAGGATATTCTCTATAGAATCTAATAACATCCGTTCCTGGGTATTTACAAGCTTGAGGTTCTTATGAGATTACTGAAGCTCATGACCTAACATTTTCTCACACACCATACCAGCCTTTTACCTTCTCAATCTCCCCCAGGGCCAACACAGTTTTAATGTTACACAGGAACAGTACTCTTTTAGGCACAGAGCCCTGTACCTAACGTGAAGGACAAAGACCCAAATATTAGTGGCAGGTCGTCCAAGTCCACTTAGTTGGTGTACTGAGGCAGATGCACACAGCTAGTTTGCATACGTGATTTTTCTTTTCACCTGGTGACACACTGGGTTTGTGTCTAGTGTTCTGTGTATTTTTGTGGCATCTGAAGAGTGTGTGTTGTGTGCAAAGATTATTTTACATGCACTGACACATGAACATTTAAGTTGCTGTGTGTGTACGGGGCGTGTGTTGGTCTGTCTGTGCTTACTCAACTGTAAGTTTCAGACATGCCCGCTGAATAATTCAGGTTTTTATGTCTTGTTGCTATGGTTGTCTCTGAAATGCCTGCTTGGGCACACACACTAATATGAGCATGCTGACAGATGTGAACACCCCATTGACACTCCAAAGGAGGGAGAGAGACAGATATTATGAATTTACTTCCCCCTCTCTCCACCCTTGTCCCCCCTTCACTTCACACTCCTATTATTATTAAAACTCTTATTAAGCAGCCAGGCTGGGGGTGTGGGGTTCCCTGCTGTTACAACACAATGGGTTGACTGTGAAAAAATGTGACTGCCTTCCTGTTAATGGCACACATCCAGTGGTCTTATCTCTGTTGTATCCCTGAGATCAAACATGAAACTTAGCTTCAAGCTCAGCCCAAAGTGGTTACTCTAGCTGTTAAGGTCACTGATGTCCCTCCTACAACAAAATGTGTAAAAAAACAAAAAGCAAGACAACTCGTTTTGTGCTGAGCAAAATATAGTTTATCTCCAACTGTGAATTTAGGTGTGAACTGCTGCCAGTGTGCATTTCTCACATTGCAGGGTAAACATTTTGAATAGGATTAAAAAAGCAACTGTGAAGCCTTGAGGAAACTAGAAAATTTAGCAAATATTGTTTGAGGACAGGGTACTTCACAATGCACTGTTCGCTTTGTGTTTGACTAATGACAAAAATAAGCCTAAGCCCCTGAATTTTAAAAAAGCTCGGGCCATGCCAGAGTTGGTTGCAATTAATACATTTTTTAAATATCTTTTAAAGAGTAGATTAAATCAAAGACGAGAAGATGAACAATGTGCCATTTTCATATTTTGGATCACTACATCAAGTCAATCATAGTTTTGTCTCTAACTAGTGTATCCGCATATATTTTAAGATGTTGTGCATCCCTGCAAACCAACAGAATGAGTGTTAACATAACTGTCTTGATTATATAGCATGCCAAAAAAAAGTGGTCTCCTATGGTCAACTTACCCCTTGTATGGAGTAAGTTGACCATAGGAGCGGGGTAAGTTGAGCCGTATCTCTACTATCCCCCCCACTCTCCACCCAGCCCTCCCTCACCTTCTCTCTCTCTAAATAACAGTTATTTCTTCACATTCATGTGTATTTTTATCTACTATAGGCTATTCAACTGATACAATAATTCTTTTTTTTTATTGCATATAACTGCTAAAAAGCTGTTTTGTAAAAAGTCATTTTAACATGAGAATGCCTTTAAGTGATTCAGAACATTCACAGCTGTATTTTTTAAAAGACAAAGTAAGACATTTCAACAATCTGAACTGAAACTCTGATCCTGTCATCAGACTCCTTTACTCTCTCAGTTGAACCACTGGCTCAACTTACCCCAGAACTACTATCAGGACTTTATTAGTCCTCTAATCTAAAATGGTGAACTTTAATGTTAGGTTTTTGACCTCATGTTGTAGCTCATAGATTCCACAATTTATGTATAAAACAAATGTAAAATGATCTTTTTTGGTCTGAACACAATTCATATAAAACTTATGACAGACTCAATATGGTCATGCAATCATATTCAAGACTTTTGGATCAAAATTATCACGAAGCTTGATTTGGTTTTCAGTAAGAACACAAAGATGGATCCAGTATGCCTCCTCTTAGGAATGCCTCATCCTCAAATTAATGACACTCACTATTAACAACTGCTTGGCGTGTTAATATATGCTGCACGAAAAAGTGTAGTATTGAAATGGATTTGGATCATAAGGTCATATTTGATTTGCTTCCTGTGGAATATTTGACATATTGGTCCAGAGGGACAATTGGACAGTTCTATCGTGTATAGAGACCATTTCTTGATATTCTGGAGGACTCTTCCCAAACCAGGACAAAATGGCCAGTGGACTGGAGAGGCTCTGTTGTCTGTATTGCTTCTGTCATTGTATGTATGTGTATGTGTGAATTTCTTTTACCATTTCCAAGCAACAGGCGGTGGCTCAACTTACCATTTGGTTCAACTCAACCCACTCTCCCTTGTCAAATGTTTCTTTTCTCTTTTCGTTGATGCTTTAGATGTCTGTTCGAAAGTATCAAAGCATAACCCCGTGTAAAGAGGTCTGCACTGTGATAAAGAGGGCTTTAAGGGGCCACATGTGGAAGTAAAGGGGTGGGGTTAATGTGTTTGAGAGGGAAACGAGAAAAGAGGGAGTCGACTTGTTAAAAAGTTGAAAAGGAAAATCAACATTTGTGTCTGTCTTTTTCAGTCTCGCGACGTCTGATACGCTCGAGTCCAGTTAGAGTACGCGCACGCAGTTCTCGTGGCGACAGGCAGAAAGAGAGCGAGAGAGAGAGAGAGACGTGTGATTTCTCTTTGTACTGAATGAAGAGTTGAGGCCGGCTCTGCTGCTACTGCTGCCCTCTCTTTTTTATAGGCAGAGTTTGCATGCTGTAAATAGCTAAATAAGCCGGTTACTCTTAACGTTTCATCGTACCGTCGGTTCCGTTTGGGTTTTGCGGTAGCGGCCGTCCACTGCCAATGCCCCTTTGAGCGAATTTGGACAACAAAAGCATCAGGTCCAACGTTGTTTCTTCTGGGGGCTTTCAAGTCATTTATCAGTCGGGGATTTTCAGTGCGGAAAAGCCAACAGCCGCACTTCCACAAAACGCTTCGCCTCTGTTCTGTCGCCCCTTTACACTTCAACACCTACGGGGGCGAGTCTTTTTTTCTTCTTCTCCCGACCGGAGCGACCATGGCTGCTGTAACAAGCCCGGAGACGAGCCCTCAACCCCGGGTGTATTTCCAGACGCCGGCCGGCACCACAGAGGAGCCGGAGACACCGGTTCGGAAGCAGGGACGAGTAACCGTCAAATACGACCGCAAGGAGCTGAGGAAGAGACTGAACCTGGAGGAGTGGATTATCGACCAGCTAACGGACCTCTACGACTGTGAGGTAAAGACCCAAACAATAACCGGCCACGAACCGATCGAAGGTATTGATCAGGCGGCTCGGCTAAGTAATTGGGCTCCACGGTACAGCCCATAAGTCAGTTTATCAGGTCTGGAACTTGTCGGTCTGTCTCTTCCTACAGCAAACTGTTGATAAAGCAATATAAAAAGGCCCTTTGTCGCTGCTTTTGGCCTACCCTCGCTTGTTCTATAGCCTATAGTATGCAGGCCATATGGAAGCAGATGAGGTAATGTGGGGGGGAATTAGCAGGGGGGTGTGCACATAAAAAAGAAAAGGAAAAAAAAGCCTTTAAACTTGAGGCGTTTAAAGGTAACAGTGAAATTGTTGCGACTCAACTCACTCCCCACGCTCACAGGTTGGCTAAATGTAGCTGAAGATGCTTTATAGCCTCATCATGAAACAAGCGGCATGTGCTCCCTGCTCTGATTGGCTAAAGCTGTTTAAAGCACACCTGTGAATTAATTGAATCCAATATGATTGGCTGACCGGAATGTACCACTTATGTCATGCTGTAAGGAGGAAAATAAATTTTTAAGTAGCTTCTGCAGAGGTGTTTGATGATTTGGAGTTGTTACCAATGAGTTATAATTGTAAAGTAGTTGAAAGTCTTTGCAGAAATAGTTTGAAAAGCAGAGTGTAAATGTCTTTGGGTTGTTTTTGCAGGAATTGTTGTTAAATGTAACTAGGACTGGGCAATATGGTAAAAATTTTATCATGATATATTTTTTTTCATATCAGTGGATATCGATATATATGACAATATAAGAAATGAAATTTAACAGTGCTTATTGGTCTCTACATCTGTGAGGTCTTTGTGTCTCTTCTACGTTTTGTCCAGTGTTGTTTTCGTTGAGAAAAATATTTTGTCAACGCCTGTTTTTTTTTTTTTCAACGACGAAGACGTGGCGTTTACGAGCTAAACATAAGTCTTAGATGACTAAAATGTGACGAGACGAATGTGCATTTACGTTGACGAGACTAGACTAGACGAAAACGTTAATAGTGGACGACGGACAGAGTTGCAAAATTCATGAGCATTTCGTCAAATGCTAAACATAAATTCTGCAGTGTTGTTTTTGTTGACGATGACGTTAACGGAATATTTTCGTCATCGTCAACGAAAACAACACTGGTTTTGTTACAAGACGTTGCGCTAAAGAAAGCGGACTGAGTAGTCGTTTGTTTCCGCTGCACAGCCGCCATGGGCTCCTTAATAAGATTTGAGGTATTCCCCGACTTTGCGAGAACATGTACTCGTCATAATTTGCAGTGCACATTACTCTGCTTCATATCCGACCTAAAGAAAACAAAATATGTTTTCCGGCCAGTGTTGTCGACGATGTTGTCATATGTTAAACCCTTATCTGCATTTCTGCTGGGAGTAGTACTCATTTTCTTTTTTTCTCACTGACAGTTCTGTCGGCTCCACATGTTAAAGTGCTATTGTTGAGTGTAGCTGCTGTCTGACACTACGCAGTTGTTTGCGACTCGGTTCTAATTCAGCACATGATTGGTTCAGCACAAAGAAACTCCCCTTTTCATTGGCCACTCGTATAGTCTACCAAAACATGGCAGAATGCCAACTATTAAAAAGCAAATTGACTATGTTTTATATTGATATCAAGGGAAATTAATTTTCGATATATATTATCGATTTATCGCCCAGCCCTACATGTAACATCATTTTAATTGCAAACTTTAAAGTAAGGCTAAATGTAACCAGTGGTGTGGGAGACACTTCTTTCAGACAAAGCTGTGGTGGGCCAACACAAGATAAACGAGGTGATACTGATGAGTCAAGGTGGGGGGTCTCTGCACTAATTCTTGTCAGGGGGATTCTCTTAATGAGTCCCTGTAGTAATGATGATCAGTTCTAGCTAGCTAACTGAACACTCACTCTATCACACATCAAACCCTTGGTCAGGGTGACGCATGGCGATCCATGCAGTCATAACGTTTCCTGACGGCAGCTGTGGTGTGGCTGCTGGCGTCAGTAGTTGGTAAGCTCATGCCGACTCTACTGAGCTGGCATTGACCCACATTCTATTCCTAGCGTGAGGAATACAACGACTTAACACGTTCAGAGAATTCCTGGTAGGCTAACTGTGTGAGAAGAGTCAGGAGTGCAAAAGGCTGGAGGCGATATCACACATTCACATACAAGGTTAGGATGGTCTATGGAGGATTTAAGAGTTTGACTTTGACTTTGTTTGTGCAGAGGAAAACAGAAAAAAGGCAAGTTAGTTTCTTGCTCTTGTTTTCCAAAAGTTTCCACTCATCTTCAGCCTGGATGTACCTGAGGTTCTGTTGTACCTGCGGTCGCCAACTGGCAACAAAAACTCTTTAGGAGGTCCGGATGTCCCCACATTAACACGTAGAAGTCCAAAATCCAATCTGACAATCTCTAACTTGTTTTAACCAGATACACGCCTCTGTCAAACATGAGTGTAGCTGTGTGTCCACTTATCTTGAAAACCGATCCCCCTCTTATGATGTAGTGTAAAAACCAGATCTTGTATCTGGAGTTCTTGTTTTCATCCTTTTTTCCATTGAGTTTTTATTGTGGCGAGAGATGTGGGTGATAATAAAGTAGCAGGGATATTATACTACAGAGACCCACATGCCAGCAGAGGTGATTAAATGGCCTAGAGAGGATTTGAAATCAATGCGCTTTGATTGTCTGCCAATAATTGATTAAATGCATTACTATAGAGAGCTGTGCCAAGTCAAAAAGTATGAATAAATAAGCTCTGGATTAAAATGCTCCCAGCCTTTAGTTTGACCTTTTATAATTCACAAGATAAATGTTTTTAAGAAATCCAATCTTTCTATTTGCTTATGAATAATCTTATAGTGCAGGACCCAGGTAGTTGGTAGCAGATAGTGCACAGGATAGATATTTCCAAGGGTATATCAGTAATTCATTGACTGATCCCTCATCCATCTTTCATTCACTAATCCACTTGGTCTTTCAGTCACGCATGCTTTTATGCACTGATGCTTGATTGTTAGTCTGTTTTCCAGCTGAACAGGGCCACACATGGTCTGAAGAGCCACACAAACAGGTGCTGCAGTTGCAAATGAGACCTTAGAGAATGATAGTAAGAATCTCATTAAGTCATTTAAAGTCAGTGAAGATCTTATAAAAACAGTTTACAGGTACGCTACAGTTCTCTTGTTCATACATAGTAATGATGCCTATTTTCTGCTACCATCCATCCACAGTGGTTCCCCCCTTTTCATTGTCACTATCCCATCCCTGCCTAGACAACAAAGAGATTAATTTACAGTCGGTTCACTCATGGAGACACGTTGGGCTCATTTAGACGGTGAAATGTGGAGCACGTGCTGCTAAACACTGTAACTGGAGAGGCAGCTCTAGCCGGTCAGAGAGCAGAGTGGGTTTTTGGAAAACCCTGTTCACTGACAAAAGACACAGAGCATGTGGCCTTGAATCTGACTCCTGTTTTCTCTCCCTTTACCGCTCCTTCGCTTCATCCTCTTCTTTCTTGTCTTGTGACTCATTTAATACCCCCGTTCTTGTAATTACTCAACATTATTTGCCATCTTATTATTTCTGGTCTATTCTGGATGCAGTTTTTGACTATTAATACAACCACATGGAGTTTGTTCAACTGGGAATTCATTATGAGCTATTTCCCCATTCATATAATCCCCTTTAAACATGCTACAAGCAGTCAGCCAGTCTTTTTCTGCCAGCTAGCCTGTCAGATTTTCATCCAGCCACTTAGTCAGCCTACCAGTCAGAGTTGCTATGGGTAATAGTAAGGAGCTGGGCCTTAATATGATTCCATGGCAACAAGGCTTGTAAAAAAAAATGTTTATGTTGGTTAACCACGCAGTGGAAAATAAGGTTGCATCCTTTTAGTAAAAGAAAGCTCAGTGAAATCCCATCATTTCCCAGAAGCCCCTGATTCCATTGTCTTTCTATGAGACATTATAATTAGATCATTTCAATTATTATAATGGAAAGCTTTTGTTAATACCTGCAGATGATGTTAATGTGCCATTTGCTTTGTGGAAGAAACAATCCCTTGGATTTGTCAAGATGCCCAATGATTCCCGACCAGAGTACGGCTGCAGCTGTTCGAGGGAATGTGGAAAATGAAGATTGGGCTGAGTACTATGAAGGGGGGAAATGAACACATTTTATGCTTATATAGTAGTTGACTATATGTGAATGTAAGCTAGCTATTGAGAGTGGAAAAAAGCAGTTAACTGGCAAGCTAGAAGTCTAATGTATGGTAAGAAAGGATGGTTACATATAACTAGAAGTTCAGGAATAATTATGAAAACAGTAAGCAAGAAACACAATGAGAGTTGATGCCACTAAAAGAATTGAAAAACTCCACCAATACAGTGTTTTACTATGTATTCTGGACTTGCATTACTGAAAAAATTTCATATCATGCAATGCTGGACAAAGTTTATTTTATTTGTTTGTGTCTGATTTTGTTGCTTACCTCCTTCTTTAAGACCAGAGCAAGGAGGAAAGACAGTAATATTTACCATCAACTAAATACTTTCTTCTATTTAGATTAGTCTAACTTCAAAAAAGTAACGCTAGCTGATGCCCATGTTTTCGCACACTACAGACAATTAGTTAGCCTCTCGCTAACTTGTTCTTGATTGTTTTGGTAAGCGATATAATAGGAAAATTAGAAAGAAGCTCAAGCTAAAAAACGGTCACGATCCCACCCTATTTGTTATCCACAATGTTATTGAATTGCATCCTTTATCATTACTTTGATTCTATTGATTAATTGGAAAATTAATAGAAATGAATGAATAGCTAAAAGACGAAACTTGTATAGTTATGAGAGTAATAAACTGTTATATTAAAAAGTAATAAAATGGGTGAGAGAAACTGTTGGTTTAGTAGCCTTTGGATCAGTGGTGAAACAGCTTGAAGTAGGCCTTGTGTCGTTAGCATCGAGTAAGAGATAAAAGCTTTTAAAATCACATGAAAGTTAAAGAGAAATGGTAAAAACATCTCAACAGTATGAAACCCCTTGATTTAATGTTAAGTTAATGTCCCGTTTAAAATCCATTGATATTAAGCACAATAAGTAGCTTTGTGAAGAGGGTTATTCGGGGACTTGCGTTCATGGAATATGAGTGTGCAGTTAAAAAACTTGAATTTCAAAATTTCCACCTTTCACATTATGCTGAATTCCTGATTTCTGGGTATTGAGCCTCTTCAGTATTTCTGCCTTTTTGTATTAGTAGAGCGTTAGCTTCTGCTTGGAAAGTAAAGCAGGGATTACTCTCTCCAAGTTCACAACTTCGACAAAATTTCACTCTGGCCTTGAAATTACCGTCTCCATGGTAACTGTGCTGTTAAAATTTGCATTTGTCAGACTTATTCTCTCAGTTGTCTGGAGCTTACCGGTATCTACAGAGTTAACAGTGGAGCGAGTGGGCGGACCAATCCCCAAACTCCAGGGTCCTACGTGGCCACACACACACACACACACACACACACACACACACACATCCACACGCAAACACAGATGGGGATAGGAGCAGAACAGAGGCAGGATTGGTGAGCGAGAATGCAATAAACGGGGGAAGAAAAGGAAAAAAACCTACAGGGGATGGCAAGAAGAGTAGGAAAAAGAAGTGGGAGTGGGCAGGGATGTCAGAGTGGGAGAAAGTGTTTTTGTAACATGTGTCCTCTGCTATTACTTTCTTTACACTCTTAAGGGGGATTTCACAAGTTGTATAATGGTAGTGATCTTCAGTTGCCCTTCATGAGCACTGAAAACAATGCAGTGACTTCTGTTCGGACATCACTTTCAAAGAACAAAATGACTCTTTCTCTCACGACACATTTGTAAATGTATTATTCCTTGCTATTGTTTAATCCCCCTGTGGTTTGTTGTCTTCACAGCCAAAAATCAATCACAAAGGTGATGTTTCCTGTCAGGTCAACATGCATCCTGGTGTTGCATGTCAGAGGTGAATGTGTGAGGGGAAGCCCAGTTGTTAGAACAGCTGTAATTTCATACATTTTCTGCTCATGGACTAAGTTGGCATCATCACCTTTTTTAAAGGACACAAAAACATAGACAGGGTGTGAAATATGTGCTTGAACCTTCAACTTAAAGGTCTGAATACCAATCAGTATTACCCGGTTTCACTCAGTCTGCATAAGGGGGTGACTACAAAGAGTGGTTGTTATACGGCGGGAGTGAAAGACTCCAGTGTGTCTTTGTAAACACCCCCATGCCAGCACACACAGACACACACAGATTTGGACAGGGACACACACACACACACTCACACATCGTGTTAATAGGTTGCATGTGGTTGTACATTTGTACGTAAGACACATGTTTCGGGATGAGTCAGCGAACTGTATCCTGACCATGTGAGGTTTTATAAAGAATAAGTCAACCAAGTTAGAGATAAGGCCAAGAATAATTTTAGTGAGCGAGACAGAGCATGTGTTTAGGTCAGTGTGTGAGTAAGAACGGAAGGAAGTAAAGAACACCGAGCACGAGGAGGCACAGATGAAGAAAGATTGGGATGAGAGAGAGAGAATGAGGGATGTGAGTCATTCAGGGGAATGTTTATGCATGTTATTACAGGAAGTGTGTCAGAAACCCAAACAGTATTCAGAAAAATGGACAACATTAAAATACCATTTTCCCCAAAAAGACAACTTATGTACTGCTTGATTTACACAAACGGCATGTAGGCCTGGAAACCTTCCTTTGTCAACTGGGTAGGTTATATTAATGTGTAAACGGTTAATCACTTAAGGAAGTCATTTTTTCCTTAGGCAAAATTCTTGTCATTATAAAGGTCCTTACACACCAGGACCGATGCAAATATACAACGTGAAATTACGAAATATTCGGAGGCGAATTTTGACACGCCTGACTATACACATCAAGCCCGATGAGATTTTGTGACTTTTCGGGGGGGAAAAAGACGCGTCCCAGGTGGAAGCTTACGAGCTCAAGTTACTTAGCACAGATGAAAGTTAAAACAAAGACGTTTAGCAAATTGTTAAAGCACACAAACTATCCTTCAGGTCGCTATCTTTGTAATGTTTGTGTCTTTTATCAAAAAGCACTCTGTTCTCCGACACATAAACATAAACAGGCCATGTTGGATATACCGGTGAATCTGACGTCGCAACAACACGCAATCTGATTGGTCAGAAGTGGACACACAGAATGCCAAGCTTTAGAAAATATGACAGTGATACAAATAAATAATTGCTGCAATATTGCAGGATGGGAAAACGTCGCTGATGTGAACGCTTGTATTGACAGGATACAGGTTCGAAAAAAAATTGACGTCTGAAATAATCGCACGTCAAAAACGGTCCTGGTGTGTAAGGACCTTTAGGCAGGGGACTCTGGATTGTGGTGTTTGATGCAGACTGCAGCTGCATGTGAGCTGCTGGTGTCCTCTGATTAAGTTCAGTCCTGTAATGCTGTTGCTAAGTCCCACTTTTGACAGCAATAGTTCTCTAAATTTGTCGCCAGGGGTTCAGAGTGGACATTCCACATGGTAACACGGGATTTTCCCTGATCTCCAGTAAGTATAGAAGATTCTTCCCCTACTGTCTGCTCTGTCAAGTCTAGTTCTATCCTTGAAAACTATCATTCAAATATGTGTCCTAAACCACTTTTGAGTTTATTGTAATTTTGCTTCTTTCAAAGTATAGTCCGGAAAATTTTCCCAAAAGTTGACTTGGATGCTAATGTAAAATATTTGGGACAAACCAACTTTAGAAACTACAGTTTGACCATCGTAGTGCATAAGAGCAGTGTATTGTGTCCCAACAAACAAACAAACAAGTAATCTAAAAAGTACCCAAGTATAATGTCAATAAACGATTGCTATGTCCACATGCAAATGGACTCAATTAGTGGGCATGAGTACATTGGCAGTTATCATTCGGTCGTTATTTTCGCACTAACATTGGTGGCAAGAAGACAAATGGTAGCAACAGGTGTAAACATCCTTGTCTTTGAATAATCCCCAAATTATCCTATTTGATACTATACGATCTAAGACACACCTTTTTTTTTTAATATTATATAGTCAAACAAAGAAAAAGTCATTGTTAAAAAGCCCTGTGGTAGTTTGAGTGCGTGGGTTATGCATTAACATGTGCCTTGTCATGTGTCGCAGGGTAGTCAGCACATGCTTAACACCTTCCCTCCCTGTCAAACCCTCCAGTATTATGTTTCAGTTCTAGCTAAGCCTGATGAGCTTGTCATTCCATCCTCTAACTGTCACACACGATAAGGCTGTCGGTCAGGTTTAAAGGGTTTAAACAAAAGCATTTTAAGTCGATGATCACGCGTCAACAGTTGCAGTTAGCTTGATGAGGAAATAGGGATGCCTGCAGCTAACACAGTACCAGACAGTAACTAGTTTAGTTCTATTAGACAGCTTACAAAGTTGTGCTAAACAGGTTTGTACGTTACGTTAATGAACCCTTTCATCTACTGTTGATTCACACGAGCACTCCTCTTGGTCCATGTCTGGTCACTGGGCTTGGTTAGTAATTGCGTTTTTAAACTGCACACATGCTTTTAATAGCAGTGTTGCAATAGCTCAAGCACCCATGAGACGGCACTTTAAAGGCGCATAAGAGTGGTGTAGCTTGGAGCTCAAGCCAGTGTTATTCTTATGTGACTCCAGGGTGTTTCAAATGAGCACTGCTACGAGGCTTTAGTGGTTTGTGTTTGTTTGCCTCAATGCTGAAAACATATTTGAACAATGAAACTGACGAAGCTACTGTCTGAAAGTTGCTACTAGCATTGGAAGCAGCTTGCATGCACCACTTGTAAAGAGGCATTATCATCACAAAGTCTCTTTGCAACCAATGCCAACCCCCCTGAAGGTTGAGTGAGGTAACACAGATCCACTCAGGAGGGTATTTTAGTCCCAGGAGGTGCATTAGAGCAGATGCCAGTTGAGCTGATAGTTAACTGCAGGGAAGCAAATGTCTGTATATTGCTTTATTCACTGTTTTTTGTGTAAGTTTGTGTACAGTGTGTGCTTTGTAGGCTGATGACAAACTGTACTTGCTTGGGTATGCTATATATTCAAAGGTGATGATGGTTGATGTCATATAAGTAGTTTTTAATACAGGATAGTTGTAGCTTTCAGCAAGAGGTAATAGTTTGGGTAAAAGGAACAGATTGTTCAGAGCACTGGCTCGATGTTTACACCGCCAGTGACCCAATGTCAGTCTCAAGCAGGCAGACAGCCACAGATAAAGAGGTCAGACTGCTGTCGCCGTGTTGGCGTCATATATCCTCCATGATGTCATCTCTGTGAGACACCTAACTTAAGCTTTTGTGATATGGCAGTGTAAAAAGTCATGTTGTGTGGGGAGGAAATAAATGTGTAAACTTGGTTTGGACCCTCTCTATCATTAACTAAAACATCTGACAGTACAGTTGTATTCCTTTAAGTGTTGTTTCTCTAGACAGACAGGCCTCTTTTAATATATCATGAAACACAAAGTGTACATTTGCCCTTCAGGGCCAAGTCAAATTCTGCAATCTGATTCAGCCGCTAAGCAGGAAGAAGGAACTAACCTTATTTGGGCAAAGGCCTGAGTGACAGGTATGATAAAGTTACTGATTCATCAGGAAGGGAATTAGTCCTGTTCTCTCTCTCACTCATACTCCCACAGTGTCTGAATTAGTTTGAGTAATCACTGGACAAATCAAAACAAGTTGTTCCCCTCTAGTGTCTGGTTCTTGTTATCAAGTCTGATCAGGATTAAAAAAAAACATTAATAGATGACTAAATACTTATTTCCAGCCAACTTTCAAGCCTTTAGGGGATTGTTTTTTTATGTACAGAAAGATTTTGAGTGGATTATGACTTTAATCTACTTAGAGTTGCCATGAAACCCTTTAGAATAGTGTAATCCTGCTTTTGAACAAGCCTTAAAGAATGATGGAATTACCTGGCAGCCTAATAAATGACTAAGTGTTCACAAGTGGGCGAATAAACAACAAAGTCTTTCAACAGCTTTTATGCACTTTAAAAATAAATTTGGCTTCAAGTGTTTATTTTGTAGTTACACATTTAAACGAACAAGCAGGTTCTTATAGGCAGAGATAAGACACACGTGAAACATGCATCTTCAAACTGTTGATGATAAAAAGCAAAGGCTCTGGGTCAGATGGTATTTTTTCAAAGTTTGAAAAGGACACTCAAGATATTTATCAAAACATATGATTAAGGCCTCTAAACTATCATTAATAAATATGTTACGATAGGGATTAGCAAGGCCCCAGTTTGGCGAACAAGCTAAGTTGTGTGTTCTTTCGTGTTGTAAAAGGGCCTACACTTTTGAAACGAGTTCAACACATTTCAGATTCAACATACTTCAAAACTATGTCAACACTGCTGCTTTTGCAAAATTAAAGATGAACTCACAGATGGGGAAAAACGATTTTTTTGCTCTGATTTATTCTTGTTGAGTGTAAGACAGATGCAATATTTTAGCAGGAGCCCCAACAGAGTGGAGCAGTATGGAAATAAATATAAAAACAAAATTAAAAGTTATAAGCAGGTATAAGTTTACATCTTTTAAGTGTTGTGATTTGAGTGCTCTAGTGGTGTTAGTTTATTTTAGTCTCTTTTAACGAAAAATGTTAGGAAAGCACAGACCTTTATTTTCATTATTATTTATCTCATGTTAAGTTATACAGTTAAACAAAGTGTCCTGCCGTTGTCTCTCTCATCTTACAGAGCTCCACAATAAAGCAAAATAATCAGTGGGTTGAGTTCTTTTACAAACTGATCTCTTATCCTGACAATAACTTGCCCCAGAGCAAGTTACTTGTCTATCAGAAGTTACCATGGTGATAAACTTCGGTCAGCAGTAGTACTAAAAACTCCATAGGTTAACTTCATATCAGCAAATCACGATTTATAGTACACCACTGAGTTTTGAAGCAAAACATAAAAGCTACTTCACAAAAACTCTCACCCTCAAAAAAGTATGAGCTTCAGTAAATGTTATATTTCTGGATATCATTGCAGCTTCATAAAAGTGTGTAGTCTTTTTACACACTTCACTCTGTCTGCTAATTGGGTGAGAAAGTGCTGCTGAATCAAACTGAATACAAACTTCACTCTCTTTAAGATTTTAATGATGTTAGGATGTTTGTCTTCTCTGGACCGGTCAGATATAGAACCTTCTGGTCACAGTAAACAGATTACTGTCTCGTCTGGAGTCCTGTTAAAGGGTAATGACCTTATGGCTGTGGCCACTTGTGCGAACTGTAAACTTCATTTCTCCAGGAAGAACACTAAGACAAAGCTCTGATTTAGAGGGAGATACTTCATTTTTGAAACAAACAATAAACATACTCCAAAAAAAAGTTTCCCTTTCTCTGTCTTTTCAGAGTATCTTTGCACAACTTTCTTCCTCTACATACACAGTTAGCAAAAAAATCTCTTTGTCTCGAAAAAGGAGATACCAGGGGTTCAACTGCAGAGTAGGAAAAAGTATAAAAAAGCAGGTCCAAAGGCAAGGGCTGCCTGACAGTGCAGGAAGTAGGGAAAGTATTAGAAAGTTCTGTTTATAATAAACGTGATGTTTACTTCATTTAACTGCTCATCCAAAAAAAATCAGAACTATTACTTCAAGGGTTAAACGATGATCCTACTTATTACTAATACATAATATATCTCTCATAGATACAAGCTAACCTCAAAGAAGTATTAGGTTGACTTAGTAGTATAGTTTTATCCAACTATCTGTATTCTATCTGCTTTATTTTATGTTTTTGATCTGAGAGCAAACTGCCTCAATATTAGCAGTCATTAATAAGAAAAGTCAGTATTTGGCTGTTGTTTAAAAAGTCAGGCTTTGTGTGGGTGATCGGTCTGCATGAAAGACTTATAATTTTCTCTAATCCTTTCTGAAACCCAAACTAATTACGTCTCAATACCTGCTGAGTAAGTTAAATGGCTCTAAAGCATAGAGTTCCTTTTGTGGGGTGGAGGAAAATCAATGGAAAAGTTGCTGATTTTTGGAGGCTGAATGATTTTGAAGGATTTCCAAACTCCACTCATGTAAAGAGCTAAGATATTCATTGAACGGCATGCCAACTGAATAAGTAAATGATCGAGCCCTCGGGTTGTTTTAGGAGTACTTGCCAAGAGTGACATAATTCCAAATCTGCTGTAATCCTTGTTTGTATGCATTCTTACTTTAATCTGCACATAATCTCATCTCTTAGACCAATTGTCGTAGAAATGACTCTGCTGGCTTGAAGTACTGGCAGATGTTTGTTTTTTTGTGTGTGTTAACTTCCTTCTCCACTTTCCTGCTGGTTTTTGGTCAGGTTTTTTTAACCTTTGATCGCTTGTTTTCATGTTAATTGGTAATTGACGGAATAGAAGGAAAAATCAATTTGTTAGAATGGCCCCAGGCCACTTTTTCCAATGTTTCCAAAATACATACACATGTGAACATTCATCAATATCAGCATGTGTTTATGAGTTTGATCCTCAGATCAGTCGCCTGTTCTTGCTGCAGAAACAAAAGACTGAAGAAGAAGAGAGAGAGATTGGAGGTAGAGGGTGAGGGTGAGGGTGAGAGTGGGCACAAGAGACACTGTGTGGTTTATATATTTCATATACAGTAGAAACAAAGGGGATTTTTTAATTAGAGTAGAGTGGGCTGAGCAGAGATTGATATTCAATGCATGTGTGAGGGAGAGAGGGGGAAGCTATACAAGGTGGGTTGAGTATTTTATTGTAGCTGGGAAGCAAAGGTTAAAAGTGGACTTCTTCAGTCGCCCTCCAACCGCAGCTTTGGTCATGTGACAGATGGCCAAGAAGTGCTAAATAAGTGCTAATGTTGGGGCTAACAACTGAATGTCGGCCCATCACTTAAATACTGGTAATAGCTGTCAACACAGCAGACAGGCCACCACAGCTGCTCCTTTTTCATTGGTTCTTCAATAAAGGGAAATATGTTCAGTACAATGTAGTACAATGCAGGTAAATAAAACAACGGAACTGGTCAGCAGAAGTATGGGCACATACATGAAGTAGCCGTGCTGCATGAAAATTTTTTGCATTGCCTGGCAACAGTTCAGAGCCAGGGTTGTTGGTAGGCCAAATGCATGAGACAGCAATATATTGTTGGAACTTTTGAAAGTGTCACATGAGAGCAATAATGCACTGTTAACTGTGCTGTTATACTGTATATTATGGCTGTCATTTTTTTCTGGTACTTGTGCTTTGATTTATCTAGAGATGCAACAATTCATTTTTTTTCCGATCCAATCTGATACCGATACCTGGGCTGGGTCGATCTAATACTACTGTTGAATGAATGAGCTGTATACCTTGCCCTGTGAGTGAAGGCATCAGGCCTGGCATTGTCCTTGTTAAAAAAGGTACCATATTACCGTAGATATAAATTTACTGAATATTATTACACATTAGCACACAACAAAAAGAAGTCAGACATCCATGTAAACATTTAGTGCAAAAGGATAGACAGACTTAGAATACAGAGCAAACAGAATCATTGTATTGCTGTGTATGATATTAATTAAAGAAAAAAAAAGACTGGATCAGAATGCTGGATCGGCTTCATTCATCAGATATCCAATCCAGCTAATTTGTCAATATCGGAGCCAATATCCGCTCCAAATATTGGATCGGTGCATCCCTAGATTTACCTAATGTATGCCTCATTGAGTTGATTGAAATCACAGAGAATTGTTAGACTTTTACAACTAGGCTTGACTTTGGTGAAACGTTTTAATAATTCCACCCATCTACACATGTTGCTAGTAGCTTTTCTATGCCGCCTCCGCTCTCTGTTTTCATTAGATCACCCGTCAATCACAGAGATACTGATATGTCGTGAGACTTTAGTTCTCTTTTGAAAATATTTGTGTAGGTGACACTTCTTTCTTTTGCCTGCCCACGCCCAGCTTTGGTAACAGTTTCAGTCTATCTTTAATAATTTGCATGCTACTGTTGCTGTGGTTGTAAATGTGGAAATAAGAGCGTGTCCTGTTAGGTACTACACTGTAAACAGACATCCGTTTTTATTCAACTATGTTAAGCAGCATTTGCATTTTTATTCATTTGATTTAGCTTCTCAGTTAGATGACGACCAAAACTGAGAGCAGGGTGACATTGGCAGCAGCTGTGGCAAACTGTTGCCCTCATGTTTGATCGGCTGAGCTCCAACCCCGGCGGCACGGTGTGGTTGCCAGTACAAGTCTTCTCGGGGATGGCTGTGTGACCCTGAGGGACTTAGCAGCGTGTTCTCCCTGAGAGAGGCTGCAGCACAGACATGCCCAGTCAACACAGAAACCACCGAACCATTCAGTCAGACCAAACAAGCCAATGTGTGAATCATTCAACCATGGAGAGGGCTTGCTATGACTATGTTCTGCTTTTCGGCAGGTCAAGGTTGGGTGACATTCATTTTAACTTTCCAAATAGATTTTTGAGCTACATGTTTTTTTTTGGTGCAGTCATATCTGCCAGCAAGTCAGTCCAAGATATCACCTTGTAAAGACGTGTTTCCACTCTGGTTATAGATATGTTATTGTCCCCTAATTACAGTGTAAGAGAAGTACCTAAATTACTGTGCTCGCTCCTTAATTATAGTGATAAATGTTTCCTGGCATCATGTTAAGTTATATTCTGCGCACTTGGAGCCTGTTTGCATTGGCATTGGCTTTCTCCTGCAATAACTCTGAAACAACCCACACAGCACTGGGACACAATAGCATGCCTACATCACAGGCAGCGCACTCTGGAGGCTCTGGTTCCTTTTACTTAACATGACGTGACCGTTTTCTTTTTATCTGGAGTGAGATAGCAGGAAGGCTGACAGGGCTGCAGAGGCAAAACATACACGGGCTCTTGTAGGAAGTACTCACCCAGGGGTCTATGTTGTTTTGAATAGAAATGATTGAGTTTGGAAAAAGCAAAGGAATAAACTTTAAAAAAAAATAACTGGAAGATTGACTGCAGTAAAGCAAATATGGCCGATAAAACAGAAGTCTATGTTGTATCCTGCAGGTTATAATCAGATAAGTTGGGTTTAGCTGTTTTGCCTGCAGCTTTTTCTCTCTGTTTTCATATGATCCAAAACAGGACATCATTTTCTTCCTGAGAGGAAGTACATCCAGCTGATTAGATGTGCAATAGAGATGATCAACCGCACACACAGACACACACTGACACAGTTTGTGCATGGAGATTGTGCGCAAGGAAACACACACTAGATGCAACATTGGCATTCCAGACTTGATTAAGTGGATTTTATTGATTATGGATAGTTGTGGTTTATGTTTTTTTATGTGTGAAGCCATATACGGTATTTATGACAACAGCCAATCACCCATTAGAACAACCCACATACACACACATGTACTGCTACTACTGCGAGAACTACTACTACTACCACTCCTACTGTGACATCTGTCATGTTTAAGTGTGTATTTCAACTTTAACACGCATATTTTCTCACCAAGCCCCTTCCCACAGATATCACTCAACATCCCTCCCCCCTGCTATCTCTCAGGGTCACATGACCACACAGGAAGTAGCTGGGAACTCTTGTAATTTAACCCTTTCAGTGCATCTGGGAATCATAATAAACTTTAAGCTTACTTCCCAGGGTCACACGTTTCAAACCGACTCTGGTTGTGGGAGGGATAAAAAAGAGGTGTTGCAGACGGGCAAAGCCAACAATGCCTGTTGTTGAAAAGGCTGCAAATACCTGATAAGCAATCATATGGGACAGCTGGGGGGTAAGAGAGAAGATGGAAAGCAGCAGGCGATGAGTGACACAAAGCATCCCCAATTCTTGCACCCATGTTGACCCCTCTGTGACTCCTCATCTCTTATAAGTGGTGTCATGCCTGCAGCAAGGTGGCCCTAAAGCTACGTGACACTCTGAGGGTGATTTATATGAGAGTAGCAGGAAGCCCTTGTTCTCATCAAAGATTAAGAGACAAGGGTGGGGAGCATGACAGGATGCAGGTTCAAGCCCAGTATTTTTCCATAACTTCCAGATGTCAGTAGACATGACCAGATCAGTCACAAGGGTCTCATGAGTTGATGGCAGACCTTTCAGCTTTTGACCTGTAATATACATTTTGAAAACAAGCAGAAATATAGTTTTAAAGTAGGAATTAGGGCCTGACCAATTTATCGGCGAGCCAGTTAAATCGGCCAGTTTTAGCCCGTTTTGAGATGAGTTGGTAATCGGCCAAAACTTGCAGATTTTCACAGATATTTTCATAAATAAAATGCGGAGAATAAGATTTCACTTGAAAATGTTCCACCATTTGAAAAGTTCCCTAACTTATCCTGTAGATGGCGCAGCGACCTCATGACAATCTTGATCCACTTACTACCTCACAGCACAGCAGAGTGACCGATCTGAAGCAGGCAGCTCAGGGACGCACGGAGTAGAGTGGTCCGCCTCAACGTTAAATAAACCAGTTTGTGAAATACACAATAAGTCAACAAGTTTCAGTTCAACCCACTTCACGATGTTCCCCTGTGTGCTAGTCTCGGTCATGCCGAGTTAACGGTGAAGCACCATGTAATACGCAAGCTAAAGTAAGAGTTAGCCACCTGCTATTAGCCTTGCTACACTGTTAGCCGTGCCAGTAACGGTAGAATAAACAACAGTACACATTACGTGATCAAGCTACTTCTCTTTTTGAGGCAGCTGCATGTCTCCAGATGAGACTGGACCGGAAATGAGTAACGTGAGTTAAGATGCGGAGGCACCGATCGAGGGGGGTTAGTTGAAAACGCTTTTCTGGTCCCAGTTTGATCAGTCGGTCTTCCTGTCGGTGCGAAGAGCAGTAGCCTACAGTATATCTACAGTAAATATTTTTAGAACTTAATAAAGAAATTTAAAAATCGTCCGTGGAAATGGAAATGTGACCCCCCCCCCACACACACTAATCGGTATTGGCCCCAAAAAATCCATATCGGCCGGGCCCTAGTACGAATGCACCAATCTGATAATATTGAGTATATGTGTTAATTTGTTACCTTTTTTTTTTACAAGGCTAATGTCAAGCCTGATGCCGTCAGTTACAGGGCAAGGTATACAGTTCATTCATTTAACAGTAGTATTAGATCAGTATCGGATATCGACCAATATGCTCAGCCCAGGTATCGTTATTGGATTGGATCAGAAAAACATGGATTGTTGCATCTCTATTTTAAAGGTGTGTTTGGATTATCAAACCTAATCTTGGGTGTTGTCTTAATCTGTATAATCTTTGTGGTTGAATTCATCTGTGTTCTTGAATAAACAGGCATGTTTGTACATGCAAACAGTGTGCAACTTGTAACTGAAAACAAGCCTATTAGCTCATCTGTGAGACGTTGGGATGAGAACTGCAGTTACCTGTTGAACTGCTTCTCCACATCCTCAGTCAAGTGTGATTGTGGGAATCCCTGCGGAGGCACGTATCATCCTTAAGCCGCTGCCATGTTGAATTTCTTTTTGTTGGTTACACAAGACCTAACTGTTCATATTAGTTTATGAAAAAGTACCACATGAGTAGGAGCTAGCTGTTGTGCTGTCTCTTCTCCTTCCTGTTTTCACCAAGATCTTATCCGACGTGGTCAAATTTCATCTGAATGTTTCATCTTGCAAACTCGATTTTTCAGCAACCACATTCCTGTTCTCATTTCTCCTTTTATTGGTGTCATCCTGCCTGTCAGCGCACCTTAGCGAATGAGTCAATCTTCTCTCTGTCTCTGATGCCCCAATAATCCTTTTACACAATCGCAGCTAATTGCAATAGTAGAGCCTTGTGTGCTTGCAAAGCACTGAATGATTTATAGCTTCGGCCTTTTGATTGGCTCCATTGGATAATGATGACGAGAGCCAAAGATTTTCAGCTTTTCTTGTCTGTTCACAGCTGAAATAAAAAAGTAGTCTTCCAATACAAGCTGTTGACGGGTAGATTCATTCAATCTAATTAAAAAAAACTTGATATGTGGCAGTAAAATTGTCTCATGGATGCAAGAGTAACAAGAACACACTCTCACAGTAAAACCATCTCAGCCATGCCTGGTTATTTAAGTCCGTTACTGTTCATAGTCGGCGTTTGCACATATTTTGTACCTGTGTCATTCTGCCAAGTCAACCAGCCTAGGGTGATAGTTTTAATGGAGCCCACACATAAACACACACTCACTCAGCTACGCCAAAGAAAACAGACGCATATAAAAACGGCAAAAAAACACTTTCCTGCCGGGACTGACCTCAATGCAGAGAAAAGGGAAGGCAGTGAAGCAGTGTGAAATGAGTCTCACGTAACATACAGATCACATGTCTCCACAACTATTCAGCGAAAAGAAGCAAAGAACATAAAAGAGGGAGCGCCTGACGTCTGAAGGAGCGCAGATTATTCAGTCAAAACAAGCACACGGACACAGGAATCGGAGTGAATGGTGACATTGTTGTTGCCACGCGGCCTACTTTTCCTACTTCTTCCTCATCCTACTTCCACCGTCTCTAGCCTTCTCCAGCCATCACTTCCCTTTGTGTCCAGCTTCCTTCTTCCTCCCTGCGCACGACTGAGCCAAAGCGTTTGTTTTTGTCTTTGTTTCAAAAACAGGCGATCTGCCATCCTAAAAATCAGACTATAAATATCCTGGATTGTTTTAGAAGCAGCTAAAAAAGCAAAAGTGGCTTTTTTCAATCACCCATCATTCATCTTTTGGTGAACTTTTTATTTAGTCTTTACATTCTTATAATATTTTTACTTTGGCCGTTTCTCACACTCAAGTACTTTTCACATAAATCCTACCTCAGGAGTCAGATCTGTTATGTGTTATCACTAGAGGACATGCTGTGTGATCCATGTAGGTGGCCTTTGTGACCTACTTACACATGAAGTATCCCACAGTGTGAAAGCATTGGATTACTGCATTCACTGCAGACCTGTTTGAATTTCATCAACCACGTTTTTATATTTCATAATAATAAAATAATAATAATAAAATAATAATAATAACAGTAATAATAATAATGCATTTTATTTATACACGTCTTTGAAAACACTCAAGGTCACCTTACATATCGTCATTCGTGTTTGACCCCACCCAAAGGCGGCCCTATGGGGCTAACAAGCAATCACACAATAGCTGTTTTAACATGCAACATTTTCCTCAATACGGTTGAAAATAATCATATTAAGTGAATCGGATGTGACTTGTATACATGAACTTAAAATACAGCGATCCACGTTTAGTCAATGTTTAAATGGGCCCAGCCGATCCGATTGATTAGCCCCTACGACTTAGCTTGTACGGCATGTGCAAAAAGCATCTCTACTTTCAAAGGTTTGAGTGAAGAGGTGCACTTCCATTTCCGGCTTCTTGTTTACATCTGGAAAATGGACATTGTCGTGTTTCATCATTTAATTATCTATTTTATCGATTTGTTGTATTTGGTCATAACTTCCGGGTTTCCTATTTCCTGTGAGCATCGTTATGTGACCGTACAAACTTGGGCACTTGCGCAGAACAGATAACCCAGTCTATCTACCAAATATGATCCAGTCAGCTGTTTATGTGTGGAATCAATCGTAATGTCAATCGATGTAGACTACCTCCTACAATACGATCCAAGTGAGCCGGATTTGCTATGGTGTTAACATGATGCATTTGTAATCTGATTGAAAGTAACAGAAAACACCTTCAAAATTTAACTATCATTTATCATAAATCATTTTTTTTAATAATTCACCAAGATGGACTAAAGAACAAATCAAGAAGTCAACTTACCACAGAGAAGGATCCCCTAAATGAGAGGCAGCAGGGCAGCAGTCCCCCTCTCTTTTCTGCAGGCAACTCCTTGGTTTTCCCCTCTCAGGAGGACCAGGTGAAGCTGATCACCAATCAGTGAGTCCACCTGGAAAACAAAAAGGGGAAAAACATGTACAAACATACAGCCATCTGAAGCTTTAGGGGATTTCTCATTTAACAACCACATCTTTTTTATATCTGCACAGTTAATCTTTCACTGTGTGCTGCCTGTAACTGTGTTATGTGTATCTGAGTAGCTACAAGTGAATCACTGTCACAGTGTTGGAAGGATGATCAGATGTGAGGTCGCTCAGAGTAGTGTGAAATCAAGTCAGTCTTTAAAAGTGTTGAAAACATGCTGAAGTTTTTCATTCCTTCCCTGGAGTAACCCTTACTTCATCACTTCCCTTTCCAGGGTTGTTTACAGTAGCTATGTGAGCCTTCTTGTTGCAATAGAAGTGCAATGACCTACTTGTGTGTGTGCTGGTGAGAGTGTGCGTAGCTTATGTTATTCCAGTAAGGGAGATGTATCTGGCATTTGATCTGTCCAAGCCTGCAGTTGCTACACAGCCCGCTGTGAGAATAATGGTATCATGACCTCTACACATATGTATGGGCACTAATTCGCTCTCATACTGTCACATCTCATTCTGCTCTGTTCTGCAGGCAGCCCCCAGACAGACAGACAGACAGACAGACAGACGGATGGACAGACAGAGTGTCTGTCTGTTGCTCTCTCCCTGTCTGCCTCATTGTGGTGGCATGTGAATCATATTAGCAAGCTTGTCAGAGAGAGTGTAATTAAATTCGAAGACCAGTCGCTGCAAAAAAGGTTTATTTTCAACTGAATGGAATCAGTTTGATTTTGAACTAATGCTGGGGGGTCGGTCAATTTCACGTGCATCGTACCCTGTAGACAGCTGTCAAACAAACTCAGACATAAAGGCCAACTCTGACAGTTTGCAGCTATTAGTAGAACTGATTTTACAAGTCCTTATGTTAAACTTTTGTATTAAAAAAATGGACAAATGTCCTTTAATTTTTGGGTAACTAGAGATGTCCCAGTACAACCTATCCCCCCCCCCAACTCACTTATAACACCAAAACTTTGGTCTTGGTTGATACAAAGGTCCCTTCTAATGCAAGGTATTGTCCGTTTTTTATACCAAAATCCTACATATGCCATCAATCATGCTTATGTATGTTGGTAAAAATGTACCCTGCTCTGTGAAACCAGAAACAGCTAAACTCAAAGACCTACAAAACCTTCTAAAAGAGGCTGTGTAATGTCAACAAAACACCACATGCTGGGTTAGTTTTGAGTTTGTCGTCCTCGTTTGTTTCATACACCCCTTTCAGGTGTCCCATTCAAACATTCAAACTGCAAATGTTTTACAATTGTGCTGAAATAATTCCTGGTCCAGGATAAACCAGCTTTACCTTCGGTTACCTGCAGACCCCCACTTATTGTTCCACAATGCACTGCTTTGTTTAGAACAATCCAGCAGTGTGTGCCAACATCTTGTATCCACCTTTCAGTCCTGAACACATCTGCAGCCAACAGTGAAACCCCCTCCAGACTCAGACTAGTTCAGTAAGTCAGTCTGCTGGATTGTTTTGGAAATCCTCCCTCGTGATTCCCTGCTCTCTTTGTGTCTCTTCTCTGAAGCCTGTCTTCCGGCCTTTTTTTGACACTGCTCCCTCCCTCCCTCCTCTCTCTCTCTCTTTTTCGCTCGTCTCTTGTCTCTCCCCCTCCTGGGCTTCTCCACTCAGCTGCACCCTCTTTTGGTTTTGCTCTTTAACCTCTTACCTTCCTTCCTCTTGGCGTTCCCTTCCCCCCTTTGCAGATTTTAACAGTTAGTCAAATTGTTCTCTAGTAAGCTTTATTCAATGGCGGCCAATGAGCATGGCGAACAATTTCATACAGAGCTTCCTACTAGTAAGTATGTCACAAAGAAGGAGTAGGAGGCTAAAGTTAGAGTAAAAATGACAGATTTTTTTAAATACAGGTTTTACACTGAGATTTATATTTAATCCAAAAGACTCTGTTTCTGTATCCTCATGTTTCTTTGTCCTCTCCACTTTTTCGTTTTTCTTTCTTAGCCTTTTTCCCCCCACTGCATGCAGTAGCACATGGAGCCCACATGTTGTGCCAATCAGTCTTTGTGTCAGACTGTGTGTGTGTATGTGTGTGAATGCTTCAATATGTCTGCAGTGTAAGCATTTGTGAATTTGAGTGTGTGTGCATATTTCTTTCTGTCTTTTGGGATTTCAAGTTGAAATTCAGTAAGAATACTAGTTTATGGATGTGTGCATTTGTGTGTGTATGTGTGTGTGTTGGGGTCAGTATTTAGCACACTTTCTGTCTGCATTGCTGCTTACAACATGTCTGCCTGTCAACTTTTATGATTGTGTGTGTGTGTGTGTGTGTGTGTGTGTGTGTGTGTGTGTGTGTGTGTGTGTGTGTGTGTTGTCTCTGCTGACAGTAAGTCTGTCTGTCGCCTCCACTCTCTATCTCACACACACAGGCTGTCCTGCTCAGAATTAAATCCTAACACACACAGTGACACCCCAATACGCACACACACTCACTCCTCATCCAGCTCAGACATATTAATACCCTTTTTTTTAATTCCCTCCTCCACATGTGTGTGGCTGAAGTCGATGTGTGTAATGGAAAGCATGTGTGTGATATGTCGAGGACTTAGCGCTTGAAAGAAAACTAGCATTTGGTCAATGTGACACTTTAAACGTGCACATGGAGCATGCTGCGCCTGTCTGTATATGTGTTTTTGTGTGAATGTGTGTGTGTGTGTGTGTGTGTGTGAGATGGGGTTGGGGGGCAGTTGGGCAGGTGCAGAGACAGCTGGTGTGGGCAACTCTAACCGAGGGGGAGGACGAGAGCGAGGGAGAGATTCCTAGAGAATGACATGAATATAGGGTAGCAATTGAGCAGCAAAAGAAGGGAAACGAGTGTTTGTAAGCGGGACCGTGTGTGTGCGATGTTGCCAGTAGTGAAGCACTTTGATAAAACACACTGAGCTAGTGTGCTTGAATGAGACAGATGGAGAAACAGGGGAAGACAATGAGGCCATTAAACCGCTTGTTTTACAGCGACAGATAAGTGGAAATAAAGAACTGACGAAGACGAGAGGTGTTGAGAGAAACAAAGAACTTACAGTGAACTCGGTTTTCCCTTTTCAATGTGTGATAAAGACATAAATCTCTTCAACTCCAATGCCAGTATCATGACACATTGGCATTTTTATTATTATTTTTTCTGCTATATTTGCTTGACGCTATTTTTTAATAGATCATTCACCACACAGTTTTATGATTCACCATAACTCAGTTTGTTTTACTCTTTTTAGGAGATAATACTTTGTAAAGTTAGAAATTAAAGGGCAAGCTCTTATAGCTCAATAAATTTACCTCATAAGTCGGCCTTTTTTAAACAGTTACGCTAACATACCTTGATAATTCATCGATTTTCTCAGATTTTTATCCGACTGAAACGTTCTGCACATGCTCAAGAGTTCAACAGGAAGCCAGGTAGCAAACAAAACCTTAACAGACAAAGAGGCAATGTTAAAAAAGAGATTATGCCAACATCCCTGTAACACGTTTTGAAGGTTTAGTACAGCCTCCAACAGGCTGACCTTAAACGTTTATTGATGATTCCAGTTCTTCCATGAACCTAAGTCCAAAACATACAGTGGCACAAAGGATATTGTTATTCCACTTTGTTCCTTTTTAAATGTTCAAAGTCAACACAGCTGTCCACCAGAAGATTTTAGAGCACTTTATAAGTCCATCTGCTAGCAAGCTTTATGGAAAACACTGATTTATTTTCCAGGAGGATCAGCACCTGCTCACAGTGCCAAAACTACTACCAAAGGTTTTACTTACCATGATATCTCTGTCTTTGACTGGCCAGCCAACTCACCTTGACTTCATCCCCATTGAAGATATGTAGGCTTTTAATGTTGATCAGAGATTGTTGAATGATATCCAAGCTAGTCTGAGGCCTCAGTGAGTTTATCTGAGTGACCGACATGTCTTCAGTATAAAGTCTAAAGTGTCAGAGCTTGAATTAAAGATGGAGCTGGAGATGTCATTCATTTTAATGGTTTTGAAAGTCTTGTATGTCAGCTGTGTGAGAAAAAAATCATTCAAGTACCAAAGCGCTCGCATCTATTTCTGTGTTTTATAATTGGAAACACAGAAATAGATGCTAAAGCTCTGTGTCAGTACATAGTTCATGATTTATTTGCAGCAAACTTGCACTAAAGTATAAATATCTGATGCGGGTCATTTGAACAGGAGTAGGCAGATGAACTGAGTTTGGTTTCATAACACTCTCAGACTTGTATTTCTCAAATAGACTAAAACCACAAATATCAGAGAAGGGAACTGGTGTTATAGAATATCAATGTAAGAGCTGCCGAAAACTGAAAGAAACCTACAGTTTCATAAGGCATAAGGAGAAACGGCAAAAAAAAAATTGCACCAAGCTGAAGAGGGCAAACATTTTCAAGATCTGTTTCCTGTAAAAAATAAAGCTAATATAGTTATCTCTTCAGTTCATCATGAGAGCCAATGGGTGTTTTTCCACATTTGATTTTACATTTTCATCTTTCTGTTGTGAACCACTAAAAGAATATGTTTTTAAATATCCATCTCTCGCCTGTTTCTTTGTCTGTCCTCTCTTTTCCCTGCCACATGTGATGCAATGGAAGGATACTGCCCTCTAGTGTTCAGACAAGACCACTTGTGACTTAATGCACCACGTCATGCAGAGACAGAAATGCCTCTGCTAGTCTATTTTCAGTATGAGCACAGTTAGGGACTAAGAATAGAGTCGACAATGAGGGTCTCTCTTCATGTGTCAGTTTTTAAAAAGTTCATAACTTCTGAATATGTTGCTTAATGAGTGCTTTCCTTTTCTTTTCTTCTGTGTTTCATAGGAGGAGGCCATCCCAGAGCTTGAGATAGACGTGGATGAGCTGCTGGATATGCCTAGTGACGTTGAGCGGGCAGCCAGGGTCAAGGTAAGATATGAATGTAGACTTTTAATATAGATTTAAATGTTGGAAGAGCTCTATATGACTAAAACTCTATGTTGTCTGTCTGATTGTTCGCAGGACCTGCTGGTTGACTGTTTTAAACCTACTGAGGTGAGGTTATTAGTTTATTTTTATTAGGGCCCGACCGATATGGACTTTTTGGAGCCGATACCGACTATAAGGGGGGGAGAAATCCGATAACCGATTAATCGGTCGATTTTTTAAATATTTTTTACAGTATTTATTACAGTATGTTATATACTGTAGATATACTGTAGGCTACTGCTCTTCACACTGACAGGAAGACCGACTGATCAAACTTGGATCAGAAAAACGTATTAAACTAACACCCCCCCGGCCACCGCCGATTGGTGCCTCCGCATCTTAACTCGCGTTACTCATTTCCGGTCTGGTCTCATCTGGAGACATGCAGCTGCCTCAGTAAGAGAAGTACCTCGATCACGTAATGTGTACTGTTGTTTACTCTACCGTTACTGGCAAGGCTAACATTGTAGCAAGGCTAATAGCAGATGGCTAACTCTAACTTTAGCTTGCATATTATGTGGTGCTTCACCATTTACTCGGCGTGACCGAGACCAGCACAGCGGGGAACATCGTGAAGTGGGTTGAACTGAAACTTGTTGACTTATTGTGTATTTCACAAACTGGTTTATTTAACGTTGAGGCGGACCACTCTCCTCTGTGCGTCCCTGAGCTGTCTGCTTCAGATCCGTAACTCTGCTGCGCCATCTACAGGATAAGTCGGGGAACTTTTCAAATGGCGGAACATTTTCGAAGTGAAATCGAATCTTATTCTCCGCATTTTATTTTTCTTAAAATATCAGTGAAAATCGGTGAGCTTTAGCCAATTACCGATTAGTCTCAGTATTAGTGGCCGATTTAAACAGCTCGCCGATAAATCAGTCGGGCCCTAATTTTTACCCTAACATCAATGTCCGTCTTGTATCTATGCACTGTGGGGTTTTTTTGTCTCTGACTTTCCATTGTGTGTTTAATCTCCTGTAGGACTTTATCTCAGAGCTGCTCGACAAGATCCGAGGGATGCAGAAGCTCTCCACGCCTCAGAAGAAATGATGGCATCTCTCCTCTTCCACCTCCATCTTCTTTTCCCTTCCCACCATCCTCCCTTCCTCCTCAGCCCTCATGTCTCGTCTTCCTACTGCAACTTTCTATTCTTTCTATTTTGAAGTCTGTTTTCTTACATTCACAATCTTCTTAAGGAACTTCTTCTTGTTCCACCCTTTGTTTTAAACCCATTTCTTCTTCGCTTGTGTTTGTCTCTTCATTTATTTTCATGGATTTTCTCCTGTTGCCTGGATTCAGACCTTTAAACTGTGTAGTTTTAGTGAACTTCCTTGTTGTCTGTTTAAATTTTTTTCTTAAAAACTATCAGCAAAGAAGAAAAAGGAAAACACAAAAACAACCACAAGCAAACTATCGGTCTCAATCCAGGCACTCTCCTTCTCTCTCTGTTTCACTCCTGCTCCTCCTTCACCCTCTGTTTGGCTTTACTCCTCTTCCTCGTCCAGCTCTTCCTCCTCCTCCCATCCTGCTGAGGCCATCCTTCATCCGTCTGAGGAGGAAGAGAAGAAGAGAAGAGATGTGCTCTGTAATTACTGAGATTGGAGCAGCTGGGAGCGGGAAGAGGAACAAGAGAGAGAGAGAGTCTGAAACAGCACGAAGAGAAAAGAACGAAGGAGGAAGCAGCCAATCAGATTGATGCAGGGCCTAATCATCGCCGATGTCTCGCCCAATGAGGCTCGTTTTTTTTGTCGAAACCTGTATATGATCCAACCAGGATTCTTTTGATATTTCTCGTCTGAGGGCACAGGGACATTAACTTGACTGTAGTTTTTTTTTCTTTTTGTAACTTTTCGGGGGTCCGTACAGATTTTTCCACATCATTACCCCCCGTAAATCAAAGGCATTTGCTACAGTGGTGCATTTACAGACTGTCTTTCCTCATGTGTGTATTTTTTGAAAATCTGCACTATGTCATTTTGGAAAGAAAATCGAAACCGTAACCACAAAGGATAATGTTTGTTTTATCTTTAGCCCAACAAGAGGAAAAGTTGATTCCTTGAAACAGTGGTTGAACCTTCAAAAGTCACTGGTTGGCTGTGGTGGTCATATAGTCCTGCTAATTTTAGAGTTGAAAATCCTCCTTTGAGGCTAGAGTAGAAGTAGGTGCTCTTAGGGTGGGTGTGCTGGGATAGAATCTGAATTCTCTGGGGGGAAATGTTTTTCTTTCTTCAAATGTGTGGTGCAATTATAGGAGAGGCTTTTTCAGAAGCCACTGCTGTCCAGTCTGCACATACAAATGTACGTCTGTGTGTTGCTAAATGATACATACATGTGTTGCTACATAATGTACAGCAACAGTCATATTAGGAGTGTTTCTCTGGCCTGTATATTCTGCTGTTCTGTGCGAAGAATTAGACTTTAGTATAGGACTGGTTCCTGTTGAGTTTTTTTGTTTCTTTGTAACACACATCGACAGTCGGACAGGGGGACCCTAACAAAGCTGCCTTGTTTTTTTTGTTTTGTTTTGTTTTTGTATCATCCCTTTATTCTGTCTCCTTAAACTTTTGACATAATCAAGTCCACTAGACCAGTTCAGAGCGCTCACATGTACATGGAAATACTGAAAATATCTTTCGGGTCCCATGTTAGTGTTGAGAATTTGGGCTGTCCTCTGCCTGTCAGCAGACCCACCAATGAGATAAGAGGAGAGGGATGCAGCCATTCTGCACTGAAGCTGTCTAGATGCATTCGCCATTCCTTTTTCCCTCTTGTGTCTCATTCACACACACACACACTGGCCGCCTTTGGGGTGGACGAAACGGAAACACATTAGCAAATACAGCTGCCTCTTCCACAGATGTGCGCACACACACAGGCACTGAGAGAGAGGTCCAGAGCTATCACAACATTTGTGTGTTTCCCCCCGCTGCAGCTGCCAATCATCCCTGAGAATAAGCCATCTGTCTCTGATCCTGAGCCAATCAGATTGGAGACAGAAGCCCACCAGCCAATTGTAGGAGCAGCAACATTTGCTGTGATTCTTGTGGCTAAGAGCTAACACCTGCGGTGACAGCAGACCTCCACTGTCCGTGTCATTCTCTCGCAAAGCCATCACACACACATGCACACACACACATATACACATACACACACACACACGCCCATTTTCATCTTGCTGCTGTCATCTTCCCTAACCCCCCCATATTCATCCTTATGTCAACCTCCTTGGATCCTTTCTCCAGTTTCCTTTCCTTTCTTTTCTTTTTTGAAAAAAACAGATGTTGCCTTAGGTATTATTTATGTTACATAAACCAAATAAACGTGAGACATTCATTTTTAAAAAGGTAACACAGACTGCTAAAACGTGTGTTACTGAGCAGAACTGCGGCATCCTCTGTCGCTCCTTTTTTTTTCTTTTTGAAAAACAAAATGAGATTCTCTTGTTTTTTGTTAATTTTTTTTTTTAGAAGTGAGTGTTTAATACTTAGGCCTTGATACAGTGATTTCTGTTTAGATAATACAATGTTCTTTACATTTACCATTTGAATACTGGTCTGTTTTTATTGTGATCATGACACTTCTTGATGCCAGGCCTTGGATTCACACATAGTTGGACAAAATCCATTCAGATACATTTTGGTGCGATTGCTTTTGCCTTCTTGGTGCGGTTTCCAAATCAAACGCAGTCTGCAATTTTTTGGGAACATTTTGATCGTTTGGATTGTTGGCAAGCTCAATCAGTTGCTGCATTTGAGTGGATTTTAATTTCTAAATCCAGCTTTGGATTCTACCTTCTTAGACTGTTATTGAGAAGTCTGTTTTTTTACTGTTGGGGAAAATTGCAAAAAAATATATATATACTGATTATCATCAATGAGGCTAAATACAAGAGCTAAACCAGTCAGATTGGAGGAATGTAGGTGATTTTTTGACAATTAGATCAAACCAACAAACAAATGTAGCAATATCAACAACAGGTCTTGTTTTTGCCCAATTTTGTTACACTTTTATGCAACTTTAATAAAAACATGTAAAATGAATTCATTGTCATTGATAACTCTTCTTCATGATGATAACGAGAGTGATGTTGTGATGATTATGATACTTTATAAGCATTAGTACAATGTGTAGTTTTTTGTTTGTTTTTATAAAATGTAACCTGTTAGGGAACCTTTCTTTGCACATTATTGTGTGGCATTTAAACTTCAGGAAAGTCACCTCAGGCAGGAATAAAATCCTGAATAATACTAAATAACTAAATTATATGACAGCAATACTGGCAATATGAAAGATGAAATACTGATCTAATATCAGCAGTCCACTTGTAATTTTCTTGAAGTGACATGCTAAAATGTCTGCCATGAAAAGAGCCCATTCAGATGATATCACACCCACCACCATCAACCTTTGCGTGGCTCTCTGGACATCTTGCTTTACTTTGATGCTATCGTGTGGTTACTAGAGGTATGAACACAGGATATGAGGCAAATCCTCCACACGCCAACATTTTTGACAACTGTTACTCTAATAGCTTAAAGTTTTGTTTAAGAATAAGGACTAACTGCTTCAAGGCAAAACGGCTTTGTGTCAATCACTCTAATTTCGTGTTGAACCAGCTTTTTAAAAAGAACATGAAAAAAAAGAAAAGAATGTGAGGGTCTTATTTTAGGATGGTGAATAAGTCGAGTAAAGAAAACAGTTTTAGGGAATATTTGTTTTTCGCGTAGTTCAAAGATTTTCTTTTGTATATTCTGAGTTTGTTTATCCATCCATTGAAGTGGGGCTTCATCTTGAGGTATTTACATCTGTGAATGAAATATTTTCCTAGTGTAATTGAAATGTTCACCGTGAAGTCCAAGTTCTTTTCCTTTAACTGTAGTCCAATCTTGATAGACATCCAATTTAATAGGGGCAAAATAATTTGTTTAGATAACAACCAATTTTGACATAATGTCCAAAAGTGTACAATATGCTCACCTTCAAAGAAAATATGTTCTACTGTTTCAATGTCGCTACCACAAAATCCACACATATTGTTTTCCCAATTAAATCTTATATGTAGGAAGTGGTTTGGTGGATAAATGTCATTTAGTATTTTAAATGTGACCTCTTTTGCTTCATGAGGGATTGGATAAGACAAGTATCGTTTTCTTATCGTTCTTGCTTCAACAGCACTAAAATCTCTCATAACATATTTTCTTGTTAAACTTAAACTTAATACTTCATACTTAAAACTTATATTATATTAAAAATATTAAGACTCAAGGTTTCAACATGTCCCAAGACTGATCTAATACCAAAACAGAAAAAAACACATCATGACTCTTAACTTCTAGATAGCTTAATAAGTTCTCATGAAAAGCATTGCTGAAGGTAAGGTTCACAGTGTTAATATAACATAATCTATGTTACATTACATCAGTGGTTCTCAACTGGTCTCACTCAGGGACCCACATTTTCCCATGGTCCTTAAGTCGCGACCAACTTTTATAGAATTCAAACCATGCAAATTTATTTTTTATAAAAAAAAAAGCCCCAAACTTTCGACCAACTTTTACAGAATTCGAACCATGCAAATTTATTTTTTATTAAAAAAAAGCCCCAAACTTTCAAGACTCAAATCTTCAACAAAAATCCACTATTTTATTGAGTAAAGTCCATTTCAGAGCACATGAAGGAGACAGCATGAGGCGACAACTACTGAAGTTCCGTGTACAGAAAATATCAAGCATGTAATAGTTGAGAACCACTGCATTACATTACATTACATGAATTACAATAATCTCTCTGATGCGCGGGATCCCATGCCCAGCCCTCTTCTTTAGTCTTGTGCGTTCCAGCAAAACCCTTGATTGTGATTGGTTCAAAAACATGGACTATATTTTGATTGGATAAACGCCGTTTGTTGATGCCCCCTCTTATTGGTCACTGTAACAGTGGTCTCAGCGCCGATTGGCTGATCTTACGGGTTGTAGAGTCTGGCAAAGTGTCGAACTGAGGACTGAAGTGAAGAGGAAGTACTTTTCAAAATGAAAATATAAGAAGTGATACCTCAACTTTCAAAGGGCGAGCAGAGGGAGGAGGTAAGTAGACTTGTCTGTGTTTTTAATAGAGGGGGAAGCATTTCTATCATAAACTGCATCGCCTGTCTACATGGACGGATAACGTTACTTGTTAATCCTTGAGCAGTTGAAGACAGTACGGGAGAGAGCTGCTGCTGCTCTGCCGATGCTTAACATGCTTCATGACAGACAGCCCATCGTTTATTTTTTTCTCTTTTTGATAAACAGAGGCATCTGTTAGCGGAATATCTATCCATTTACTCATTTTACGAGCCTTACCAGTGTGATAAACAGGCATTTATTCTGCCCAGTGGTTTCAAGTGTTAGCTAACGTCAGTGTTGCACTTGACTTCACAGCGGTTTAATCGCTGTTTACTTTAAATAAAAATGCGACTGCGCCTCTCGGTTAATTCTTCAAGGTGTTAAGTGACTGCTCTGTCCAGAAAACATGCTTAACACACAGTTTTAGTCTTTCTTGTACTTATATACCGCCTCTGAGCTCATAACGTTGACCATCTTACTGTATGACATCACGGAAGCTACTAGTGGTCAAGCTAGCAAAATTAGCCACACAGTATATCCGGTGGGAAACTTTACCAATAGAATATGAATGAATTAACCCCGGTTTTAAAATATGTTTGGTTTTAGGTGGATTTAACAACTCGGATTTTACAGACAATGTTAAATGAAAGCGTTGTTCCTACCTTAAAGTCGTTGCGCTCAATTAAGAGATGTCCAGTAGTTTCCGGTCTCGTGCCGTATGTCTGTGAGGTGATTGACAGATGGGAGGGCGCCATAAGGTGGCTCGACGTCCCGCGGGTGTTGCAGTGTTATTCTGCTTATATTCTGACCTGTATGCATTGTAAGCCACTATTCACAATAACACCGCTCACAACCCTCTGCTCTACCATCAGAACAGAGTGTTTTTTCCTCCTTGCTCCTGTTTTGTTCACTATTATTATCACCAAGCTGTCGTGTTGCCGTCGACCAACATCACATATTAAGAACAAAAGTAGAGGTGGCAGATTGTCAGTGTGTTAAAGCCTGTTTAGTTCATCTTAGAGTAATAATTATGTGGTAAAAGTGGAATAGAAAGTGTATATAAAAATAGATAGACCATGCTTTGTTCCAGAGGTGGTCCCAGTTCCCTTAAATCTGAGTCCATTTAAATTTTCAGTGAGGATACTCAGAAATTGTTTGGAGGCCATCAACTAACTATTGCAACTCTGAAGTATTAATGATAATTACACATGTTTATTTAACACCTTTCTGGAACTAGTTTTAAGTAAAATTTCAAGTTATCTGAAATAGAAACGGAATAAAGTTACACAGCGACATATACATGACATTGTCACGTCGTAAAAAATGTGTATCTCTCATCCAGTCATGCCTGCGCAACCTCCTGTGAAGGAGCCAGAGGAGGAGATGGAGGCAGAAGGAGAGTCACAACTCCCTGAAGCCAATGGAGAGGTGGAGCAAATAAGAGAAAATGACAAAGGAGGTGGTGGTGAAGAGGAGACGATGGAGGAGAGCACGGAGGAGAGAGACAGTGACCTGGAGGAAAGTGAGGAGGAGGAAGAAGAAGAGGAGGAAGAGGAGAGCTCAGGTAAAACCCAAGTCCACTGCCGAAAAGTAATTTAACTGTAAACGATAAGAAAGAGGCCTACAGCATTAATGTCTCAGTGTTTGACTGCTGTGTCTCTCTCCTCTCTGTGAAGAGATGGATGATGAGGACTGCGAGAGGAGGAGAGGAGAATGCCTGGATGAGATGTCAGATCTGGAAAAACAGTTTCAGGAACTAAAAGAAAAGTGAGTTAAGAAGAGAGATGAAGGAACTAAATACTCTGTCTCTGCCTCTCTGATGTTCTTTGAAATCATCCCTGAGTGACTGCACTTTTATGTTTGCAGGTTGTTTCGGGAGCGGCTGAACCAGGTGAAGGTGAAGCTGGACGAGGTGCTGACAGGGAAAGCTGGGGAATACAGAGAACCACTGGCTGCACTACAGAACAGTATGCAGATACGCACACAGGTGGCTGGTAAGGAAAACACACTTTTATTTTGACATAACAGCAGGTTGAAATATACCAATAAATTCAAGCAAACTGCATTCTTTTGGTACTCTCTACAAACTCTCCACAGCTTATAAACATTCTTTTATCATCAGAGCATCACACACAAACCTACCAAACATACATGTCTATCACAAATACCTTTGATATGGTGTGTTTGTGATTTCGTCCACTATAAATTAGATGGAAACATGCCAGGTTAGTGTATGTAATGGATTAGAAATCAATATCACAATCAAGTCTGAAAGCATAGAGTTATACAGTTAGTGCTTTTGAGCCAAGATGTGGAGAAAGTAAATGACTATTGGCCACAGGATCAGATGATTCTGTTGAATGCAGGAATGCTGCATGTGCTGCTTGGTTGACTGTAAGAAGACGAAGGCAGTCTAACAGTGGGGGGTTGTTGTGGCATTGTCGCAGAATCTTTGCATGCAAGACAAAGTTGCAGCATTTATTTTGCAGAGGATACACTTTTTTCATGCACCTACAGAAGTCCTTTTTTTTAAAAACTTGTGATCCTTAAACTCTGTAGCCACAAATAATGCTCAGAACAGCACCTATCTTCACCAACAGTACATATAGGGTCCCAGCCATAGTACTAGCCATCAAACATCTTTTTAGCTTTGCCTGATTTCTTTAGCAAAGAGACTAAACACAACTCACCTACTCTCTTCCAGCAGCCACTCGTTTGTAGCGAGACCTCAGGCCAGCCCATTACTGACTACAGCGGGGTGACGCAGCTCAAGGAAGAACATTTATGATAATTTCTTTATCATTTCCTTGAAGTAATAATCACCATATTAATCATTTTGCTCTGCAGACGCAGAAGTTCTTCTGTCTTAGCGTCTCGGTCTGATTGCATTTCCATGAAGAAATGATCATAAATGTTCTCCTTACAGAAGAACTACCACAACTACCACATCTGCAGTGCAAAATAATTAAAATGGTGATTATTACTTCAAGGAAATGAAAAACAAATGATCATAAATGTTCTTCCTTGAGCTGCGTCACCCCACCTTAGTCCGTAATGGACTGTCCTGAGGTCTCACTACAAAGAAGCGGCTGCTGCAAGAGAGTGGGTGAGTTGTGTTTAGTCTCTTTGCTAAAGAAATCAGGCAAAGTTAAAAAGATGTTTGATGGCTAGTGCTATGGTTGGGACCCTCTATGTACTGTTGATGAAGTTAGGTGCTGTTCTGAGTATTAGTTGTGGCTATAGAGTGGCGTTTTGTTTGAGGTTTGCTTATGGCTCCTCAGACTGCTGTGTATTGCTATCGTGTGGTCGTTCCTAAAGTTGGTAGAGAAGCAAGCGGTCGGCAACATTCATCTCTCGAGGGGGGGTCTAACTCGGTGTTACGGTTTGTTTGACCCTAAATTAATTTTACTCCGGAATATCCCTTTTAACAGTTAAATAAATCATTTCAGCTTGATTTGATCACTGATGGTTTTTATCTGCTTGCAAACACAGGGTCAAAACATCTAAAAATACCTTCTGTAACATCCTCTCTGTGTCTCTAACCACAGGCGTGTACAGAGAGTTGTGTCTGCAGGTGATAAAACACAAACACGAGTGTGAACTACAAGGAGCAAGGCAGCACCTGGAGGTAACACAAAACAGCAAGCATTATCCGCACAAGGACGCATACTCAGGCCGATGGTTATAAGTTTGTGTGTGTGTTATAGAGCGAGCGGACATTGCTGTTTGATGCCATGAAGACAGAACTGCTGGAAAAGATACGAAGACTGGAGGAGGACAGACAGAATATAGACCTCAACTCAGGTAGGGTACTGTCCCTTCGAATGTTGATATCATTGGAGGTCACCTTTTTTTATGGGGAGAAAATTTTACAGGTCTACAAAATTCTTCATGCTTGTGCTAACAGATTTCCTAGTGCATAAATACTGTACCGGTCAGCAACAATGGCCAGTCACACACATGCTCTGAATTATACATGCAGAACAATGCAAGGGTTGCAAAGTTGAAAAAACACATGTAGGCAGAATTTATTTTCCTCCATGTTGTTGTTTGAAGAGCCCATGTCAGCGGTTGAAACTGACAGCTGACCGTGCGTGTGTTGTCAGCATGCACGATGAGATGATGTATAAAATTAGACTTGATTCTCATTTTTGCCTTTTTCAGAATGGAGCGATGAAATGAGGAGCAAGAAGTGCAAAAGGAAGAACCTGCTGGGTCGGTCGGAGAGGAAGAAGAAGAAAGTAGCTCTGGTTTCAGGTGAAACTTGTACCGTTCTCATTCATTCCTCTTTTACCTCTGTTTACACTTCGGTGCATTGTTCAAACTGCCAGTGAAGAAAGTAAATAAAAAGCCATAAAAGACTGAAAAAGTCCACAAGCCTAATCTGAAAGCAACAGTGAACTCACAGATGTTTTGTCATCCCGCTCGTCCATTTCACAGGTCCTTTTATTGTCTACATGCTGAGAGACATCGACATCCTTGAAGACTGGACTGCTATCAAGAAGGTAACATTTCTGCATTTCGTAACGTTACAACATACACCTCAACTAATAAATGTGTTTGTCTCATTGGGTCTTTTTGTCTTATTTAGGCACAAGCAGCTCTCACACCTCTAAAGAAGAAAGTGGAAAGTAAGTCTGCCTGGATCACTGATTTCTACAAAGGCACAGTTGGAGTTTTTTTCTCTAAGCAGATCTTCTCTTGTCTTTCAGAGCGGTGATAGTAGGAGCAACTTCTCAAAGACCAGTTGCAAAGAAACCAAAACCAAACACACACATTCCCAGCGACTCCCACTAAAAAAGTTCAGGTTTTGTCTCCCTGACTGAAACTCAACAGACTGTTGTGTTGTTTTTATCTGCGCCTTTGACCCTGACACCCCAGCACCCCACTGCTTGTTTGTTATCTATTGCTATTTAAAAGAAGTTCTTAATAATATGACAACCATGTATTTATAGAATGATTTATAATGGTGATTAAATTTTAATCTTTTGTGACACAAAGATTTTGTATGTTTCCTGTTTTCTGGGTGGGTTTGTGTGTGTGTGTGTGTTTTCTTCGTACTGAAATTAAGTTTAAGCACCATTTTATTTAGGTTACTTTAACTAGCCAATATATCAGAGAGTCTTTTGAAAGATGAGACAATATGGGAGATTTAGTTCAAATTAAAGCTCCTGTGAGGGACTTTAGATCTGTGTCCATGTTGGAAGGCCTTATGCACAAAGCAGCCTTAGCTCATCTTTTTTTTAATACTTGATTTACAATTTTTACCTTTACATGTACCAGAACAAAGAAACAGACAAAAGGGGCTGCCAGACAATTGTAAATTACATAATTAGATTTGAAAAAACCATACTAATAGTTGTAATGTTAAACAAGTACCATGTGAAAAGTTGAGTCAGACATCACACCTGATAATGGGTGAGTATCAGGCGTGATCTCTTAAATCTATTCTGTTCATTGAGTTTGTACAGGTGCAGTCTTCCCATTTGAATAACTGATAATATCTCACTGAGCCAATGAGCAAAAGTGGGAGGAGTGATGGACTTCCAAGTTAAAAGAATAAAGCCCTTGTCAGACAGAAAATCTAATGTTGCTGACTTTCAAGTTTCAAATGTGTAATTTACTGCAGAAATTGTTTGAGTTGTTTCTTGGCTAACTTCTACCCCCTTTCTGCTGGTGTCAAGCACTAAAATTTCAGTATTTAAATCATCAGTCATGGTGTTGATAGTCATATTTGCTGTTGGGTATCATAAAAAGACATCAATATGAGCTTCAGTTTATTTTAAGGATTTCAAAAAACTCCTCACAAGAGCTTTAAGTACTCATTTATACCACAAATTAGTGACTAAAATGATAACAGTATTATGATTGCAAGGTCATGAATATAACAGGAAGTCAGGGTCATCTGTGCTCTTTGGTAAAAGTTTGGTAAAAGACATCCAGAAGCCTAGTGCTGACATTGACAGATCTTAACTTTCTGAGAAAAAAAACAGTCTAGACTGAGTCTTTCAACGAGGCCTGGGTATTTTCTTTCCAGTTTAATTTATTGTCCAAATGGACACCAAGGTATTTATAGGACTCAACAAGTGGGGCTTTTGCAACACTTGTGGTGGTACAACATTTTTGGGGGGGTATCAGTGAGAGCACATTTGTAAGGTTCAAAATCTGAATACAAAGTGATTTTGACTCATTTTCTTCACTACTAACAAAGACAGAGGAGAAAACAGGGACTATATATACACACTGGATAACGAGTAACAGGTGAGGCAGACGAGACACAGGTGAAACTCATGGATGATTAACGAGGGAGGGAAAACTAGGGAAGTAAAAACAGACTAGAAACACAAGGAATCAACTACTACAAAATAAAACAGGAAATATTGAAAACTGATCTAAAGAATAAAACAGAGGGAACAGGAGGGAAACAGGGTCAAACACAAAATGAAAACTCACAAGATAGGAACAATAGGGAACAGAAACACTAGGGAAAAATCACAAAGAAAATACACTCAGATAACAAAACCAGGGAGAAACTAAATCAACAGAACATACCATCACAGAATCAGTGAGTTAGTGTGTTTGAATATGCTTGGAAATAACAGCAGACTAGAGTTTTAAACAGTCTTTATTTGACATAAGTTTGAAAGAGGAGAACATGACACTTTCTATACAGTAATGATAGTAACTGTTTTACATAGCCAGGGGCGTGTCCAGACTTTTTGATTGGGGTGGCCCAGCTGGGGCACTGACTGAAACAGAGCGGCAACATTAAAATCTATCTAGTTCAGATACTCAAGGACTCAAAACAAAGAGATAAAGTCCAATTCAAAGTACCAACTCAAAAGCAGCTCATACTATTTTTGAAACACAGTCCAAATAGTTACTAGTTAATATCACCTATAGCCAATCAGAGTTCAAGGGGGCCAATGCCACCCAAGGCCACCCCATTGGACACACCCCTGCATAAACAAAAAGGGAGAGGCTGTCACCAGTGGTTTAGTGTTTTCTCACACAAGTATTTTTATTAATTTCATCAGCGAAGATCAGACATGTTCTTATTCAGCAAAAAGTGAGGCTGAATTTCTTATTCTCAACAACATCCATCAAACACTTCCTTGATGTAGAGGGATATTTCTTTTGCCCTTTCTCTTAGATTTTTCCCATCTCATCTTTTCCTGCAGCATGACAGTTCCACCTCTTCCCCCCTGTTCCTCATCTCCTCAGAGCTGCTTGCTGAGCTTACGTGCCTGCCTCTCCCTGGCTTCAAATGCAGCTTTGGTATCCATCAGCTCGTCCAACTGTCGGCGGATCCGGGCCATGTCGAGCTGGGAGGCTTCACACTGCTCCCTGAGGGCCGCTGACTCCACCCTCAACTGCGTGGCAGCTAAGGAGAGCTGCTCGCTGCGTTCCCGGCACTGCATCTGCATCCTTTTGGCATCATTCAGGAGGGACTCCACGCTCACCACCACAGATTCGCACTGGTCCTGAGACATCTCCTAGAACACAGATGTAGGGATAGACTAGGGTCAGAGGTCAGTACTCTCAGAGATAAGTATCAGATGAAGGCAATTCAAAGTGTTTATTCAGAGATGCACAGACTGTGCTCTGTCCCCTGGGCTTATGTATCATCTGACTTGGCAAAAAACTGCAGCTCTCCAGCCAAAAAAACAGATAAAGTAAATCTATAGGAGGCAGTCAGAAGTCGAGCACAGATCAACAGGTTTAAAAGAGAACATTTGATCTGTGCAGTGTGAAGTAGCTTAAAGAGGCTTATCATAGCTTAGCCTAGTCGACAGCGTCCACTGCTCCCCTCTGGGTCTCTTTTATACCTCTTCTATTTGACAACTCAGGTTCATTTTACCTCTATTTTCTCTCTCAGATATGTTTGTGTCTTATTGTCGCTTCATCTAATTAATATGAGAACACAGCTGTGAAAGTGTCTTACCATAGGCTCCAAAGTCAAATTTATCACAAGCCTTGTCTTCTGGGATTCAAGCCGCAGACAGTCCTTGATGTCCTCCAGAGTGGTCTCTTCTCCTTGTTATCCTTTGCTGACTCCCTGTGTGCAGAAAACAACACAGAAGGTCATCCCCATGTATGGATCCTACTCAAAGGAAAGACAGTAGAAGTTGACTCACACATGCAGCTAAGATTTTTCCTTCCAAACCAGAAAGTTTTTCCCGTATTCTTCTATTTTCTTCTGTCCTCCTTCCCCATCTGTCTCCCTACCGTCACTCTCCGGTTATCTTTAACTTCGGAGTTAACCTCGGAGCTCAAGGAAAGCCAGGTAATCCACAGAGATTACGCAGATAAAGAAAAGGAAAGTGAGTTGTGTTGTAACCACAGAAGTAAGCTCATTCTGTCTATTTTGTTCTGGAATAAAGTCTTGCGATCATGAAAATAAAGTCGACATCAGGAAATGCATTCAGACAGTGTTATAATTCACTGTCAATCACTTAATTTTGGTTGTTGATTCATGTACAGGATGTCCTGCTAGGTAAGATTGGACAGGTAGCTGTCTCTCAGGTTAAAGTAACCTTGTCATGCAAAAAGAAATGTGTTCGAAGTAGATCTGATATGTTTTTGGAGATTATTCCACAAATAAGAGAGGAATAAGGCTAAATGTTAGGATGTTTCCTCAAACAGGAATTTCCATAAAGACATTAAACTCAATCCATGTAGCACCTTCAATTATTACCCACATGCCACCCAAAGTGCTTCACAGAGGAATAAAAGATAGAAAATAAAAACAGACACTGACAGAGATAAATAAAAAATATTCAGACTAAAGCAACAAAAAACGACAGGGATAAAATAATTTAAAGCTGCTGTGAGGAACTTTTGCTTTGTGATATATTGGCGCCCCCTGTGGACAAAGTAATACCCATAATCTATAGTCCTGTCCATTTAATATTAGTATATATTATATCAAAAAATAATTAATATAAAAATAAATTACTTTATATATGATATTATATGAATTATATAATATTTTTAATATTTTATTTAAAAAGTGAAAAAGGCAAGCTTGTCCACATGCTGTCTATCACCTGCTCTGACACCCACCTCTTCACTGCACTTGTATGCATGAATAATTTCTACAGTAAAATTATCATACTTGGTTTTCTTTGGTTTAAAGGTAACAAAGAGTCATCAGTATCAGGCTGCTTGTTAAGACCTTTGAGCACTGAAAGCAGATTTTTTTCTGACTGCTTTGGCACCTGAGGGATTCATAGTACACTGTGGTTGTTTGGTGAAACAGAGATGTAGAATTTAGTGTCATCAGTGTAAAAATGATAATTGACATAATAATTTCCAACTGGAAGCAAATATAATAAAAATAAAGTAGCTCCAAGAATACATCCTTGAGGTACACCATATTCACAACCTTTGGTTTCCCCAGGTTGTGAAAAGATATGAGCTAAACCGGGCTGCAACACAGCCAGGAAGACCCACCATTTGTCAAGTCTGCTAAGTCTTTCATTTTCACAAAAAAAATCAAGAGCAACAGCTTTATCATGATGCAGGGAAGTCTAAAAGTTGAGTCAAGAGGATAAATGCATAATGTAGTAGCTTCATTTCCCCTGCCAAAATTATCCCAAGAGCCACTTAGGGGGGGTTTGGCCAGGTAAACAGATGATGCATCTTGCGTGCCGACTTGTTTCCAAGTGCGAATTAAACAGTTTATCCAAGTCACATTGTCTTTGTTTATTATTATTTTTGTTAAAGAAACCAAATGCAAAATAAAGACAAATGGTGACGACTTTGATGATGGTCAAAAAACTGTTTGCTTCTCCAGCAACCAACACACCTTCCACTAATTGCGTCTTCTTCTCAGGACTTCACGCCACAATTACAAATAAAATAGGTCACAAACCCAAAGAAAATACAACAAATGGCTCAAACACGTAACTTTACATCCATATCAATGAGAGTATAATGTGAAGTTCAACTTTTCCACCTACTTTGATATATTTGTTTACCATTAAATAACAGGGAATTAACTACTCACACTCTACAACAGCGCAAAGAAAATCTGCTTTTAAATGGGGCTTTGCCTGCTTATAGCCAGAAGAGGGCGACACAGCTCAACATATCTATGCATTATGGCTCAATCACCTGAAAGCAGCAAACACATCAGCCAGTTGTGTTTCAACTCTTTGGTTTATTGGTGTAAAAAGCAGCATCACTTAGAATCATGTGCTGAACATCTTGAGAAAACAATTCCAAACACATATCAAACTAGTAGAAGCTTCTCTGATATGAGACAGACAAGTCATGGTGAGAACACATCAAGTAGTCAGAATGATGTAATATCCTGTTAAAGCAATCTAAGCAAGTATTTCCTCAAGAAGAGATTTGGTTCATGGTAAAACTGAACTATCCAGGATCAAAACACAAACATTTGTGACAAAAAAGAAACTTAAAAACAATGTTAAATGAAAAAAAAAAAGATAAATACAAAACAAAGAGAACTTCCAAAAACAAAAGAGGTGACGACATGTACAAATGCATGACACCAAATCAATAAAGGGTTAAAAAAATTACCTAAACTTGCTTTGAGGGCTGTGTCCTTATGGAACAGTAAAGCATATTTAGGCAAATTTACAACCCTTTTGTCAGTTGATAGACTGCATATTTTCTGTTATGCGCAGAGCTGAGTACATTCTTTTTTTTCTGTCGTGACTCTTGTTAAACAAACAAAATTGTTTTTCCTCACATTACATGCAAATAGAATTACTTTTCTACTTTCCAGAGTGGAAACCAGGCGCTTGGTCTTGCAAAATCAGTGTCTGAAAAGTATCCAAATTGACACACAATAGCTGTCATTTTCTACAGCAATAAAGACAAGGTACAGTTGGCAGACGTGTTGAAAAACCATGGTGGAAATGAGGAGATAAAAAGCATTATTAACATCCTGTTTTTACAAGTTGCTGAAGGACACACTAGTATGGATACACCGGCTCTATTTGATGAAGGATTTGTAGTTTTTGTCATAAACACTCTTACAGCTTAACTGCCTTTTTTTTTTCTGGATGTATGAGCTGTTTTTGGAGATGCATTTGTAGGCTGATGGCTACAGTGGCCGAGAACTGCCACTGCTGCAAATAAAAAAGAATGCAAAAAAAAAAAAAGCACATTGCTGCAAATGAAAAATGGATGCAAAAATAAGAAGTCACAATGGAAGTTACTAATGAAAAAAAAAACAACAACAACAAAAAAAACAAAGCCTGCAGCAAATAAAGAAAAGAAGCAGTGCAGGTAAAAAAAAAAAAGTGGCAATGCAAAAAAAAAAAAAAAAAAAAAATGTTACTCACTGCGAAAATAAAAGGGTGTAATACAAAAAAATAATTTAAAAAGCCACAACGGAAGTGAGCTACTGGGGACCAATAATGATACTGCATCAGTGTTTTAAGATCGACGCACAGAAGACGACGGTGAGAAGACGAGCAAAGGAGTAAGTGGAAAGGTCATTATTTAATTTCGCTTCATAAACTTTTTAATGTGTAATTTGTTCAGGCCATGTAGTGCCTGAGTAGATATGAAGTTGAACTAAAGATAACACTACTCCGTTATCTTCCAGTTCAACTTCATATCAACTCAGGCGCAACATGGCCTAACCAGCGAAATTAAACAATAACCTTTCCACTTACTTCTTCACTTGTCTTCTGTGCCTAAACCGTAAAACACCGGTGCATCATCATTATCAGTCCAGGCAGCTCACTTCCGTTGTGGCTTTTTTAATTTGCATCCTTTACTTTTGTAGTAAGTCAATTTTTTTTTCCATCGCTACTTTTTTGCGTTGTTAAGTTCTGTTGTTTTTTTGTTTTTTTAATCTGCACCATTTCTTCTTTTTATTTGCAGCGTGCTGCGTTTTTTTTTTAATCAGTAACTTCCGTTGTGACTTTTTTTTTTGCGGCACTGGCGGTTCTCAGCCACCATAGATGGCTTTAAACATGTTAAAAAATAAAAAATAGAAATAAGGAAAGTCTCTGCTTTGAGTGGAAAGCAGACAAACTTATGTTATTCACACCACAAATAAACACAGTAATGAATTAAAAAATTGTAGGTCTGTAAAAGACTCTCCCATTTCAAAGTTATGTAAACAAAATGTTACACACACACACAAAACAAAACCATTTCTTTGTGAAATGTAGTCGTCAGGTATCTATGACGACTTTGGCTAGTTAATGAGTATTTGTGGGAAACCAGTGAATATAAATTGAATTATCAGTTGGCCTCTAAAAATGACAGTCTATTTGTTCACTTTATCTTATCTGTTGCCATGACGAGGTGGCCGAGTGGTTAAGGCGATGGACTGCTAATCCATTGTGCTCTGCACGCGTGGGTTCGAATCCCATCCTCGTCGTATCGGAGTGTTTTAACTGCACACCTGCACTGTAATCACACTGTCAAGAGCTTAATATACAAATTGGAACATATGTTGACACTCAATGTGCTACCTATAAAACCACACCTGAGCGCAAATTCTTCCCACATCATCACACTGCATTTTATTTGTGTTCCGGGACACCTACTCTCACTGGGGCCGTGTAGGACGGTTGAAGAAGGGCTCTGTCTCTGCAGCTGTCACTCCGGGATCACCGAAAAGCCCTCCTGCCGGCCCGCCAAACCCTCCAGCAATGACCTTTGACCCTAAACTCTGACGCCTCTGAATGAACACCAGAACTCCGATGATGAGCCAGAAGAAGAAGTTGACCCACACTGCCGTCTGAGAGGAAGACAGAAGATTAATCATGTGTCTTTCGGTAATGTATACAACTATTCATGCATTTCGTCACAGAAGCTAGCTATTGGAATTCAATGGAGTCTACTGACCTCTGCTTTGTACAGACTGTTGTAGAACTTTCCTGCTTTAAGTGGACTGACCCACTGCCTGGTCTGGGCATCCTCACATCTTGAAAGACAGAAAAGGATTGAGTAAGAGAACAAACAAACAAACAAAATCACTGAAACAGATTTGCAGATATGCAGATTGGAAATTAGTTTGTCTTTTGCAATAAATGATGTAACCTGGTTCTTTTGGTTTCTATAAAATAGACTACATTTTCATGTTTTTAAACTGATACCTGTGGCCCATGGAAATAGGAATTATCTGTTCTCAGGAACCATTGAAAGGGAAGTTAGGCTTCTCTGGCACAAAAACTAAACTGAAAGTTGAGCACTTCTAAATGTGTGAAAGCTGGAGAAATGTTGATCAGTGGAAGTAAACAAAGAAAAGAACTGGCTGAGTATCACGGGTTCTTCTTTGTTTTAATGTTTTTGTTTTAATGACATCTCAGCTCATGTGACAATCAACAAAGCTTTTATGTCTTCCCCCGATTTTTATTTTATCTTATTTCATTATTGCCAGTAATGTGACATTTCCACCCAAGTGTTCTCTTGTTGTTGTTGTTTTGTCTTTATCTTCTTTGTTTTCCTGCATGTTAAAGCACTTTGTAAACTCATGTTTTTAAAAGCTTGTAGAAAAATAACAGCAAAGACGGAGCAAAGCAAACTGTCTCGAGTTTCAAAGGTAGTTTTAGCGTCATTTTCAACTCTTTATTTGACCGAGTTCGGTTTGGCGTGGACATGTCTGTACATGCTTCGTGCAGACGAACGCTTGTGTGTGTGTTTGGTGTTTATGCGTGCCTTACCTGGTAATGTTGGGAACAGTAGTTATGACCGAGTTGCAGAGCGAGTCGCGTCCGATTTTCAGCATGCATCCTGTGATGAGCAGGAAGAACAGGAAGGCGCCGCACACGATCACGATCATGTTCATCCACAAACGTTCCCTGTGGAGTGAGGGCGTGAGAATGGAGGGAAGTTTTTATGAAGCCATGGAAAGAAAAAAAAAGGAAAATCAAAGAGTACTTTGTTATTACAACCTCAGAGCATGATGTCAAACTCAATTTAACACACAATAGAGTTGCCACAGTATGACCTGCTGCCTTTTATGATAATTTTTCTGATTTTTCCCCCTCCTTCAAGTCATGACCAGTGTGTACCATTTACGTTTTCAAGAATACCACACTGTTAATCCAAATCTGTGTTTGATACTGGTTTGGGAGCTGGAAGTTGCAGCTGTCAGTTTCTAGTCTTACCTGTTTTTATACCTAAAAGGAAACAATGGTAAATAGCAACCTCAAAGATGCTAGATAAGACAATAAGATTATGGGAAAGAGTTCGGTTCAAGTTAGAGCCAAATATCAAGCTACGTATAATCACATATTGTCTGTACAGTTACCTCCTGATCTCCCCATCGATGCAGAAACTGTAGAGCCAGTACAAAGACAGAGAGAAACACACCACGGCCACCATAACTGATATGGCAGACACAAAATAACACAGAGAGGAGGCGCTGGATGACTGGACGTCAATGAGGCTGGCTGATCCATTGTAGTGCACAAGTCCGTAGAGCATGCACCGGCCTCCAAAATTACCCTAAAAAGAGAGTGAGACATTGGTTTTTAATTCATCAACTATGTCAACTTTGCTTCTTCTGATAATAATTTTGAGGAAAAATACACAAAAATCAAAAATTTTGTACATAAATTGCAACATCTGACTCCTATGAGGGAGTGGACAGAATAATTGGGCACGAGGGCCATCTGGTCACATGATGGGAACAGTATCTAAACACATGACTCTGTTATTAGTCGCGCGCTGGCAAGCTCACATCCATCTGTGGCATATGTGCTCATTTTACTCACTCATTCATTTCTATTTTAATTCAAATGAAAGGTGTAAAATGAGTTTAACCCCAATATAAACAGCACACAGTCTCACTGTGGTAGAGAAACTTTTTAAAGGCGTGGAAATTAGTAAGCAGTGATTTATGGAGACCATGTTTGAGTAAATCTCAGGGAAAATCCACAGCACAGTTTCATAAGTAAAGTAGGAAATAGTGTAATATAATGTTGCGTCACTGGAAACACGGAGTTATAAGGTCAACAGGAGAAAGTGAAAGTGCGTGTTTCTTTTACAACTGCTCGCATTCTGCTTTAACGATAATTAAGTGAAATGACAAAAATATGCTGAGCTCTAGAAACACTTTTCCCCCGTTTATTTATGTTATTAGGCTTACTATTATTATTTCCAATATTTTTTTTCTTTTTTTGGGCGCGGAGTTGTCAAGTTGATGTCGCTTATCGACTACAGAGTAGGATAAAAGCTGAAATGAGGGTGAAAAAATATATATTTTTTCCAAACATACAGCAGTCTACCGTAAGTGTTTTTAAGGCTCTTCGATGAAGGTCAAACTTCAACCACAAGCACGCGCACTTAAAAAAAGTGAAATTACCCGGAAGAGTCCAGGTATAAAAGTTACATGCGGATGTAAATTAGTAATTTTTATCCATAGTTTGTGTTAAATTCACCTGGACTATGGTGATGGAAGCGGCGGTAACAATCCCACACACAAAGCAGCTGGCGTACAGACCCAACTCCAGCAGCAGCAGTCCCGTTAACGCCATCGTCCAGCACCCCGGCTCCTTACTGGAAGTGATCGGGACAAAGATAGTGTCAATAAAGCCGGAAGTTTCCGGTCAAGATTTTCAAAATAAATTCTTGGAGCCCGAGGTTGCATTATTAAATGGTATTTAAGAACATACAATGGGCTCTGTGCACAGCTCCACTACTTCCTGAATTTAAGGCAGCTCCTTTATTGGACGAACTGATTAATCCAGGTGTCACTTATTATTGTGACTAATTAGACACGCCTGGATAAATCAGTTTGTCCAATAATGTGAAACAGGAAATAAAGAAGCCGCTTTAAGTTCAGGAAGTAGTGGAGCTGTATAGAGCGCGTTAACTTACACTAATTGGATAACATTTGTGTAGTCTACCTGTACTTTTTAAAGTATTTTCTAATTAATTCCTTTTCTTTTACACAGTTTTTTTTTTCTAGGGAAAGTGTTTACTTCCCTGTATTTTACATATCACCAATTGCTCATAAGGAAATTGCTTGAGAAATACATGCTTTCTGTCTCAAGACCAGTCATAACAACCAGATATAAATAATACAAAATAAATTGACCTAAGGTATGAGTAGGCAGATAAATCTTGTTGTTCTTTTTAGGGTTCTTGATATTAGTATTACATAACTCTTCTTTCAATAACCGTGACAAGAAAAATTAGCTTGCTGACACATGCAGCAATTGTCACTCCTTTTTTTTTTCCCTCTGAAAGCAAAAACATGGCAAGTAAGACCAGGTGTCTGGACAAGAAAAGCAAAAACTAAAGAAATCAAGTTGAATAAGGATGAAAGTTAATCCACATAAGCACTGAAATGTGTTACAGAATAGTTATCTGAAAAACAACGTTATCCCCACAATTCACTTACCTTGTCTCTCTGCAATGTCAAAAAAAAAGGCGGGCTTTACTTTTGAAGAAGGGATTGTGATTTCCGGTATTATTTTGGCTGGAATTGTGTTCTCTCACCTTTCACTCATCGTTCAGTTTGTAAAAGCGACAATCCGGCCTGCGAGCTCCAACTCTGACACTGATTTCCAAAAGCTTCTGCTGCACCACATATCCGCTTATGAATGTGTGAAAAATTTTGCATTTGTCACACTGATGGGATGGGAACTTCAACACTGGTGGCTATTCATCAATTTTCTGCGGGTCAGGAGCTGGTTTGAACTGATAACACACAAAGATAAAGTGAAAGTTGAGGGAAGCAGCAAACAGGGGCCTTGGACAGATTTTTATTCAGCCTGTTTATATATTTGAATAGTTACACTTGAAAACAAATCAATAAATTATGTGAACTATGTAGTTGCTGATCAACATGATTGTAGCAGCAAGAGTGATATTTCCAAAGTGGAGCATCACATGCATACTTGTGTGTGGCTCTCATTCAGTGGGCTATCAGGTGGCTGGACTTAGTCAAAGGTTGAGCTACTTGAGGACTTAAAGGCATGTCATTCTAGTATTAGTGCTGGCCAGGGTGGTGTGTGTTAGTGATGGCTACCAGTGGACTCCATTCCCAGAGTGCTTAATCAAACCTTGTGACTTATGTCATATGACCATGCTATTTTGATATACGTAACACAATTTCAAGTCTAGCCAATTTTGACGCATGTTGTTGAGCTCAACCTTGCGAAAGAAATGTAAAGAAATGAGAGATTCCAGTGATAAAGCTTTGGATCAAAGAGGGTTGATTTTTTGATCTATTACTTCCATCAACAATAACTCACCTTATTATGAGGAAAAGCTTGAAACCACTTTTCTCAGTTTTAGGGAAGTACAGGTAGATGACTGGGAAATATAGACAAAAAAGAGTGTCGTCAGCCTGAAGATAAGGGCTTATTTGTTTTTTCTTTTTCAGGTATTTGCCCGGCCACCTTAATATTTTGATTCTTTATGAGAGATACTTGGGTTTGTTAAAAAATAATTTCCATATCTCCATAATTTCCATATTTGTTTGTATCAAAGCAGGAAATATTTTCCTGGGCAGAGAGTTTGCACAAAACTCACAGGCAAGGTGGTAAACTGGTTTGGTTTGGGCAAGGTCTCATAAAAAGTTAAAAGCTAAAGGGATGGGTTGTTGTCAGGTTTTCAGCTGGGAAACATAAATTGCGTTGCATTGCGTAATGTTGCTTTGAGTTACGCTGTATTGTGTTACCTTGCATCACATTGTGTTACATTGTATTAAGCTACTTTGCCTTATGACACATCGCATCACGATATGTTGCATTACAACATGTTGATTTTCGATACCTTGAGTTTCGATACCTTGAGTTTCGATACCTTGAGTTTCGATAGGGTGAGTTACAATAAATCGAATTTTGGTAAATTGAGTTACGATATGTTGGGCCATGATGCTATGTATTACAATATGATATGTTTTGATATGACGTGTAAAGATGCAATGCATTATGATATGATGCACGGTTACAATACAATGTGTTTTGATACGATGCATTACCATATGAGGTGTTATGATACATTTTATTACAAGCTGCGTTACAAGTTGTGTTACAACCAGTTTCATCACGACATTTTGTATTACAACAAGCTGCATTATGAAACATTGTGTTACAACATGGTTTGTTACAACAAGCTGTGTTATAACAAGCTGCATCAAGACAAGCTGTGTTATGTCAAGTGGCACTATGCCATTTTGCGCTGCAACTTATTGCGTCTTGTCACGTAATGCAACATGTTGCATAATATGTTGCAATAGGTTGTGAAATACCATGCATAGTGATAAATTATGTAATGCTGTGATATGTTGTATTATTTGGTGTTACATATGATACAATACAGATGATACAATACAATGCAATATGATGCAGTGTATTTTTTGGTGCATCCACAGATCCACATCACATTCATATAGTGACAGCAGAGGCTGCTTTGTATAATGCCAATCCGTTTCATCTAATATTACTTACTTGTATTCACATACCATTAGCTATGCCATTGGGGGTATCTTGGGGTTTAGTGTCTTGTCTAAGTACACTTTCACATGTACGTGAAGGAATTTGGTCAGGTTGCCAGCCTTCTGAGACTACAAAGTCGTCCTCCGAGCCAGAGTTAAACAATGGCAAGAACATATTTTCATTTTAAAGTGACCATCATACAAAATACCATTGTGAAAAAGTGTGTGGAGCAGCAACGCATAAAGAGTTTCCCTGCATATATAATAACTGCAGATATAATGCAGCTTGTTAGTTAAAGAACAGCAGCTTTCACTGCAGAACCGAAATTTTGTTACAAACCACAGACATTGTGTGTGTGTGTGTGTTGCTGTCTCAGGTGCCTAGACTTAGTCCTGAGCTGAGCCTCTTACAAAGCCATCATCCAAGTATTAGTGTCAGTGAGAATGTGTGTATCTGTGTGTAGATGTGGCAGTGTAGATGTTGTGGTGGTATTAGATTAAAGGCTTAAAGTATGATGGCATTAGTGTTGGCTACCAGAACCTGAACACCAGGGAGCTTGTGTGTTCTATGCATGTGTGTGTGAAACCAGATATCACACCACAAGCCTCGTATCACTTTAATTCACTGATAAGTTTCAACATCACCAAAATTCACCAAAGTTTGAATTAGGCACAGATATAAAGAATACAGTATGTACAGTATAAGATAAAGAAAAGCAACGACAGAATGATCAGAGATTATGAAACAAAAGGCAATTTAAATATAGGAAACATGCACTTAAAAACACATCACAAATACTTTACATGTAGGCTCAGTCCAACAGAGTTGTGTTGCTCTTGATCAATCAACCAACGTTTAATGAACAGAGATTTTTTTTAATATTCATAATATACAGTAAATATAGTGGTTTAGTGTTTAATGTGAAACTGGCCTTAAGAGTTCAGCATCACTTTAGAGAAATACAAAAACAGATTTTGATGGAAACTGTACAGCAAGGAAAGAACAATACATTGTTTTATATGGTGTCCCTCTTGGCAGAACTTTTATTACATTTTGATTACAATGTGCCATAATGTACAGAAGCTCTAAAATTATTTCATACTGAACGCAGAAATTTAAAACAGAGGAAACTGAAATCTTACATTTCCCCAAATAGTTTCAGTTAATTATGTATCACTCTTTTACAATTTTTCCTCATGTTGTCTCAAAGATTTTTAAACCTGATTGGATATAAAAGTTTTTTCTTTTTCTGTCACGGTGTAATACATGTGTCTAGAATTTAAAAGCTGCAGGGCAAACTGAATAAAGAAGTACTTTAGAAACTTAAAAAAAAAAACCGACAAAAAAGCAACAGTCAATTTCTAGATAACAACAATCATGACAAGCGTCTAATGTAGTCCTGTTTAACAGCCCTGAAAGAGATAAACAGTGTTATTTGAAGTGTAATGGTTGGAAGCTAACTTTGAAACACAAGTGAAGATTATCCAGCACTTTTTCTTCAAAAATGTTGATCTACAAGCTGAAACAGTCGGATTAGGGACACCGCTCAGAAAACTTTAAATCCTGAGCTACTGTAATGACTCAGGATGTTTTTTCTTTTTTTGTCTATGTTTGTCGTTCTCTTGGTGTGACTGCTTGGTAAATAGTTGTAAGTAGTATATTTAAATTCTAAGGGGTTTACGCAGAACTTTTTCATTTAGGGACTGTAAATTATAACATACTGCAGAGGAATGCGGATCATATTTCACTGTGAATGCTTAGAAATATCAACAGTACATCTCATGGTGGCACACTACACACAAAGTTGTGTGTATTTCTGTCCATTCCAGCTCAGTGTTCATTAACTCTTTATTCTATGACTGTTTTTTGTTAATCCTGTGTAGAAACTCTGCAATATCTCAAGTCAGTAGACGGATGAAGAATTTCGGAAAGGGAATTCCACTTTAATTCTGCGGTACGGTCACGTTCTTCAATAAGTGCAGTCACAAGACTCACACAGCCTACAATGTGTTAGTCTTCTATAGAGCTTGTGTGTGTCTGTCCATTAAAGCAGGAATGTGCCTCTTCCTGCGCACAAAGAGTCCTTTAATTTTTCTTGTTTTTTTGTTTTTTTACAACAAATAAATCATGATCAAAAATAATGCAGAACAGACTGGATCTTTCCACACCAGCTCTCCATTTAAGAACTTAAATAAAATTCCCCTTTTCAGTATGTTTTGTGCATGCATTTGTGCATTTTGTTTACATGTGCCACATAAAATGGCTCCAACATCAGCCAACAGGACAGCCAGGCAGTCTAAAGGCATCCGGTACAGGACTGTCAAGCTTACAGATAATTTTATAAATCCCTTTCTTCCAGCAGGGGTCGCTGTCTCTTCCAGTCCAGATGGCAGAGTAGAACTCTCTCAGAGCCACTTCTGATATCTCGATAAACCTCTCTGGAACCTAAACACAAATATGAGTCAGTCAAAGGATTTCCAGGAGCGAGGACTTCTAGTTTATAAATGAATACCATAGTGTACATTAAGCAATTTTACACATTGTTTGAATAGTAATGAATATTTTAACTCAAAATAGGTCATTTGTAAACTCTGTAGGAACTAGTAGATCTCTGCATTTTTATCAACAATTTAAAACCTTTGGACTTCCTTGACCAAAGCTACCACGTAGGACTGCTCTCTGCCTTTTGTCACCATGTTACCTTGCCGGTGTGGCCTTGTATAAAATTTGATTACACTTTTCTTTACAGCCTTACCTTTAAAAGTAAAATTCTACTGAATATAAAGTCATATTCTGCACCATATTTCTGCACATCTAGCCCCAAGCGTGAAATCAAATTTGCTTTTTAATGTCTTAATTGAATCTTAATGCAATAGTAATCTATGGTCACTAACCTACTATAAAAAGTCAAATAATTAAATTAAAATGAATCATTAAACATAAACTACATTTCTTTCGCTACTGAGGTGGTATGAAAAAAGGTCAGATAATGAGCCGCATGAACTCTTGCCAACTTGCATGTGTTAGTCAAAAATGTAAAGCCAAACATGTTGTATTACAACCCATGATTTTTTTCCTGCAGATATGAATCACTTAAGATTACACCACTTCTCAGTCCATTTACATTTATTATCCTAAAGGTTTAAATCGTAGCAGAAGGAGATAGATTAGCGAATGTCTGTCCTGTATCAATCATTGTCACAGTGGTGCACAGTCCTCAGGTATGTTGTGTCTTTGCGCATGCACATATGGCAGAGTGGCACTTATCAATAGGGCACTAAGTAGAACTTTGAACAATAGGTAGAGGTACAACATTGATAAGCATCAGTCATGAAAGAGAACTGCGTTGCAATTGGGCTATTTTTACTATGACCACATGGCCGGTTAGCTCAGTTGGTTAGAGCGTGGTGCTAATAACGCCAAGGTCGCGGGTTCGATCCCCGTACGGGCCACTGTACTTTTCAATAGTATGTGATACAGTTACAACTTCTGAGCAATGCAAAGACATGACAGAAAAGTGTGAAGGGATCATGTGGCAAAGGTAGAATGTACAAACTGCTCCATAAAGAAATAAAACGTCCATGTAAGAATTGGTTAATGAAACTGTTGCTTTAGCTATCATTACTCTTTTATTTTTCCCTATCCAACTCAATGGGCTCTATGCACCGATCCACTACTTCCTGAACTTAAGGCAGCTTCTCTATATCCTATCTCACATTATTGGACAAATTAATTAATCCAAGTGTGACTGGTTATTGTGACTAGTTTGACACACCTGGATTACTCAGTTTGTCCAATAATGTAAGGCAGGAAATAAAGAAGCAGCCTTAAATTCAGGAAGTAGTGGATTGGTGCATAGAGCCCATTCTGTACAAGATACGAGGAGATCAACTGTTTTTCAAACTGGATAGTGACTATCAGCTGGTGGTTATCTCAGGTCAGGGGTGAAACGTAATCACTGCAATAGTTGCAGATTTACCCCTCTTTTTTTTTTTTTTTTTTTACGCATACGCAAACTTTCTTCTCAAGGCTGGTTAGCTCAGTTGGTTAGAGCGTGGTGCTAATAATGCCAAGGTCGTGGGTTCGATCCCCGTACGGGCCATATGGGTTTTATTGGTAGGCTTAAATTGTCCTAGATTTGGACTAATCCAGTTGCCATCTGGGTGAAGCCACTCCGAAAACAGCACCCTCTGGTGACGGGTCATATGGGCTGCGGTATGGGTCATAAATCCTGCCTCCGCCAGCAAAGCTTATGGGGCTGTGCAAAATGCGTACAACGCTACTGCGCAATGTTTGTTTCAGGAAGTGGAGAAAAAACACAGAATTACAGAGAGCTTTTTGGTTTCAAATTCGTATACTGGCAGAAGGCGGAACCAATTTGTCCATAGTGTATACAGTCTATGGTATGACTCATATAGAGCAAACTCCACCAATCTGATGCAATCCAGAACAACAGTTCTACCAATTTGAGCAGTAATCCATTTACATCAACAACTTGTTAGTAGTACTTCAAGACTGGCAACCAACAAAGAGGAAATTGACCACTCACAAATAATATTTTCTTAATCATTTATGATCATGTCTTTCATCTAGTGCCACAAAATGCAAACTCCACACATCAGTAAATCAGCTGCTTCCAACTGCCGGTCTGTCTGTCTGAAAGACCTCAACACATGGTGTTTTTGACTAAAGCCCTTTTTTTCTCAGGCCTTATTAGGAGCTAGAGATGTACTTCCTATATTGGCATTACATACATAAAAACACACGGCCTTGGAGTGCTTTTTTTTTTTTCATTAAAGAACAATTGTAGCCAATCAGACTCAAGGTCTCCCTCATATTTTCACTACACTGTGAAGTAGATCATTGTCAAAACAAAGATCTCATACACTCAGAGAGCCAAAGGGCTTAGTGGCAAACAGAGATGCCTCACGGACACTGTCCTCACCTGGTAGACGTTACTTTTGTTGTAGTGCATGTTTAGTATGCGGTAAAGCTCTGTGTCACGGCCCACTCGCAGCTGACTCTCTCTGCCCAGACGAGGGGGACCTTCCCTGGGTTATGGAGACAGACAAGCACCCCAGATTAAAAGTTATCACATGAATTATCATTTGTTTCATCCTTATGGTCCAGACCACAGGTTGAATTAAACTCATCTTATGTGACTGAAGTTAAAACCTATAAAACTGAGTGAAATTGTGAAAATTTTTGAGGAAAATGACTTTGACATGAGTCAGTGCCAAGTTAAACCAACCGGTTGAGAGCCTCACGGACAGCCTGTCGTGCAAAGCGTTCCATCTGGATGTAGAAGAACTCTCTGAAATTGCTGAACCATTTAATCATCTGCGAGGTCACACAGCGGTTAAACTAGACAACAGAAACACAGCAGCGAGAGTTAAATTGGTAAAATCTGTTTAGTTTCAGTAGAAAAGTAAAAAGTGAAAAATCATAAAATAAGTCACACAGGAGCAATTTTTTTATGTTGTGAATCCCACTTGAATTGTTATCCGTCGGTAAAAACAACTTAACGTTATACCATAACATCACTGTTTGACAACTGCATTTTGACCATTTTGTGTGCAAACAAGTAAGTTCAGAAGTGCTCCACCAAACAATGACTCAAATGTTCAGTGTTGTGTGTGAAATTGAGGACAGAGGGGGGAATTTCTGGATTTAAGATTGACTGATCATGATCTTCATGCCTGTAACTTGGAAGAAAAATGAAAGAGACATTTACAGATAATGCTGCAAGATGTATTAACCAGTAAGTTTAGTTTGTGTTCAGATTTTATATAAATGTTTTTTTAAGCCCTAATAAAACATTTATGTACTGTGTCTACACTATGGAAAAAAGGGTTTAAATAGTGAAAATACTAGAGAACTGTGCCATCAGATACCATACCTCTTGCTCTTTCTTTTATCTTATTGTAATGCATTTAAGTCAAAGCTGGTTGTTTCAGATGTGCTTTATAAACAGAATAGATTTGATCAATTGAATAACAAGTTCAATTTCAATTCCTAGCTTTCTTTTCCTTCAGTTTGAGCTCAGTCATAGTGTAATTTCATTCCTGAATCAAATTCTAGCATTGATCTACAGCATGTGGATATTCAGTATTTGGACTCAGGATTTTAAAATCTACTATTTATTTTATACCGAATTAAGAGTCTCTGGTTTCGCTGGACCTTCAAAAATAACTTAAGTATTTGTAGATTTTTTTAACACGAAAGATACACAAGGCATGATTGGAAAATTATACAAGAGACTTAAGCTGATTAAAAAGAAAACAGCAGATTGTAAAAGGCCATTTTGGGAAAAAATTTTAAAAAATTAAAAAAGGAAAAACTTGTATTATCAGCAGAAATTTGGCCTCCAAATGGCAAATACAACCAACGTCCACAAACTTTTTTTTCTGGTGAGATTTGTGCTGTGAGAATGACATTTGTGTTTTGCTTTTAAGTCCAAGTAAAGTGGTTCAAAACAGATTTGCTTGAGGGAGACTCCAGGTTATGTTCATGTCTTTTGGTCTAGTCCATTTCTCAGATCTTTCTGGAAAGGGCGTAGCATTTGATTTCAAAAATTTAATTTTACTTGATTGTAAGATTTTAACTTCTTTTACCCTATTTATTTGTTAGTTTTATTCCATCGGGTTTTAGTCTTTCTTTTTACCATTTTTATTTTTATTTTTATCTCCAGTGTTTCACAGAGGCAGCTCTTCTCTCATGTAACGTCTCGATGTCAGGTCATGTCTCTTTAACAATATATCTTAAATTCTCACACTGTGTGCGCTTGTGTGTGTGTATGTGTGAGTGAGCCAGTGAGGATGAGTGTGTGTCGTTGGGGGCGTGTGGGTCCATTGGTGTGTGTGTGATTGGGAGGGTTGGGTTTTATTGTTGCTAATTGTTTTTCGCCTCTGTGAAGCACTTTGAACTGCATTTTTTGTATGAAAAGTGCCATAAAAATAAAGTTGAATTTTAATTTTAATTTGTTACACTTCACTTTTTTTTACCTGTCTGACCCTTGGACAAATTCCTGAAGGCCTCAGTTAAGGGACACATATCTTTTCAAGATTTTCATACCTACAACTAAGAAAGCAATAACCATACACTGACTTCAGAAGAACCCTTCCACTATTAAACTCCATATTAACATTAAGTCTGTGTAAAGTGTGGAAACAGGAGTTAAACTCATTAAAGGAGTAAGGAGATCCTCTGGGAAAGACTCATAATCTACCCTGTATGTCTGAATGCTTCTATCTGCTTTGTCTACTGTGCTGATGTCTATTCTATTTGACTAATGTCCTAGTCCTCCCTTGTGTTTTTGTTTGATGTTCATATAGATCAGTGGTTCTCAATCCAGTCCTCGAGCCCCCCTGTCCTGCATGTTTTGGATGTTTCCCTGCTCCAACACACCTGATTCAAATGATTAGCTCGTTATCAAGCTCTGTAATGGCTCAATAACGAGCTAATCATTTGAATCAGGTGTGTTGGAGCAGGGAAACATCCAAAACATGCAGGACAGTGCTAAGAAAACAGAGGAATGACTGTGCTTTTGACTACAGCTGTTGTGCTCAAAAGCATCTCTTTAAAATCCTCTGTAACTATACATGTCAGTTCTCTTACTGACCACACTGACTCTATCAGTGCTTGAATTGAGTATAGGTAATTGTAGGATAACAGACTGATGCAGAACTGTGCTGAGATACACACACCTTGACATCAGGGAAGTAAGTCTTAAGTGTGTTGGAGCTGGGATAGCGTGTGTAGAAAAACATGAGCTTGGCTTTCTTCAGATGACATGGAGACAAGCCCTCCTGGGTGTAGACATAATGCCAGTTAAGGATGACAATGTTTCCTGTTTGATAAACACTCATCATCAACACATAACTTTGACTTCCACATTTCTAAAAAAAAAAGGATATTCCTCCAGCTGTCAGGTAGAGCTCTCCATCCAACCCTCCCCCTCCTCTGATCCCTCCATCCCCTCTCATCCCTCTCTCCCTGTCTCTCCCAGCATGAGCGTGACGGGCGAGGGAGGGGTCCAGGTGTCCAAGTAAGGGGAGCGGTGGGAAAGATGGGTGAGAGGAGGGGTGAGACGAGAACTCCAAGAAGGGGTCGCTCAGGTAGTCCTTGCGGGACGGGGGTAAGTGCGGGAGCTGAGGGTGGTGGAGGGAGCGAGAGAAGAGCTGCTGCATGGAGTAGTGAAGGAGAGGGAGAGGGAGAGGAGGAGGGGGTGGAGGTGGAGGCGGGGGAGGTGGAGGGAAGGAATTTGAGGAGGAAGAGGAGGAGGATGAGGATGGATGGAAGGATGTGGAAGAAGGAGGGTCCTTGGGTTGTGGGGCTGAAGGCAGGAGGGGAGGGTGAGAGAGAGGAGGAGGGCGAGGAAGAGAGGGGTGATGAAGGGAGAGGCTAGGGTGAGAGGGGTTCAGGTGAGCAGAGAGAGGTGGGCCGAGGAGTGGATGAGCCTTTCGGATGTCAGGTGACCTCTGAACAGTTAACGACATCCCTAGATCTGTTGGTTCAGAGCGATGCGGGGGCAGACTGTTCCCGTTAGAAGATTTTTGAAGCTGCTTCTCTTTCTCTTCATCCTGCTCTCCTCTTTTCTCTTCTTCTTTCCTTCTCATTTTCTCTTCCTCTCGAGCTAAGAGTCCCATCCACTCTCCCCTCTCCCTGCCCCCGTCAGTCCCTCCATCAGATGGGAGGAAAGAAATGGCCGCTGGAGGAGAGGAGGGAGTGAAATCTGTCATCTCAGTGTAAAGACGAAGAACTCGATCGATGACTCGAGCCACAGCGCTGCCCAACTCCAGTTTCAGTGCCTGAGCGAACTTCTGCCCTCCCTCTTCACCTTCTTCTTCTATCCCTCCTTGCCAGTCTCCTCTTATCAGTCCTCCGCAATCCAACCACAACCCCGCTCCCTCCATCACACTTTCAAAGTGCAAACCGTCTCCTCTTCCTCTCTCCATCCTCCTCTCTTTGTCTTTTTGCTTCTCCTCTTTCCGTCTGTGAAAACTGTCGAAAGGAGAAACTGAAAGAAAGGAGAAAGTTTCCTTTTCCATCTCTCCTCCATCGATGTCTTCCTCGTCATACAACCCTTCTGTGATCTCTTCCTCCCCTAACAATCCCACCCCTCGCCTCCTTCCTTCCCTTCCTTCTTTGTACCTGTTCCTCTTCTTCCTCTCCTCCTCTGCCATGTTCTTTTCTCCAAAAGCCCTCCATACTTTCTCCTGCAGGGCCTGCAGTCTCTCTCTTGCTTCTTCCAGCTGTTCTTTCAGTTCCTCCCGTTCTCTCCTCTTTCCTTCCCTCCCTCCCTCACGCCTCCTCCCTCCCTCCTCTGCCTCCCCGTCTCTTGCTCGGCTCTCAAGCTTCATCCTTTTCACTTTCAAGACGTCTTGACTCCACTCAGCTGCCAGGGCAGCATCAGTGTGCCTCTTCTTCACCATCAACAAGCTCTCCTCTCCCTCCATCACTCCATCTCCATCTTCTATATCTTGCTCCACATGCTCATCCCTCTCTTCTCTGTCTTCCTCCAAATCTGTGTCCCCCAGATGTCTATGTGCGCTCAGGTTTGGATTGAGTTGTCCTCCGAGTCTCCTGGGGGCTCCACCTGGCTGGAGAAGATGGTGGATGAGGGGGAAGCCAGGTGGTCGGAAGGCAGGACGACCTGTGCTGGGCTGAGAATGAACTCCAGGGAGGTCTGTGGAGCTGTGAGTGGGAGCAAATGCACGGATCTGTGGAGAAGAGTCGTTGAAAAGATCTGTGGGGGAATCCATCACTGAAGAAACACAGAGAAAGGAATGGAGAAAGATAGGTGAGACACAACCACAACTGGTGTTTGGATGAGAGAGGACACATCAATCTTAGAAAGCATTTGGTGTGTCCCAAATCGCATATTTCCAGTACTAAATACTTAAAATTTTGAGTATACTCAATGCAAAATGGATAAAAAGTATGGATAGTATGCGAAAATTGAGGATGCAAAAGTACCCGGATGACGTACTCAAATTGGTCAAGATTTTGAGTATCCAACTGTGGACACTCGCCGCACTCATTTCATCAGTAAAAATGGCTGTGGACAGCTGTGGTGCCAGTGGGTCGGTGACAGTTGACAGTCGAATGCTAGTTAGTTCTTTAGAAAGTTAGCTGGTAGCTGCCGGGTTCCGAAGCGTTACCCGTGGTGTAAAAATGAGCGATGAACGTTATTTTTGTTGCTCATTTTACCTCAAAAGTGGATGAACGAGCGCAGGCAAAAGGTGGCGGTAATTAGCTGATGCAAAGCTAGCCGCTGACAAACTGGCGTAGAAGAAATCACTTCGTCATTTCCAGGGAGTGTTACTGCGCAGTAAGCGATTTGGGACAACACTGCACCCTCGAAACTCAAGCACTAGGCGATTGAGTACATAGTATGCTTAGAATATTTAATTTGAAAAATCCAAGTATTTAGTATGGAAGTACGCAATTTGGGACACATCAATTGATTCCGCTTAGTTCAAGGATGTTTCAAGGAAGGACATTTCAATGAACTTAAAGGGTGAGTTCACCCATAATAGCACAAAAGTATAAGTACATTTAGGGCTGAGCGATAAACTGAAAATATACAGATACCAAAGTTTACGACAATAACCAACGTCATTTTGCCCATGTCAGTTAATCAATGTCAAAAAAATAAATTAATAAATAAGTTGGTTCTGGGTGTGTGTAGGTAGGCTATGGTCTCATGTCCCTTTAAGATGCTGTCCTACGTCAGAGACATGACTCCACCCCATCCAGTCCGTAACAAAGAGGGAAAGACAGGTGAGGAGATGGAGGTCGGTTCAAAAGTTGTAGCAGCTGGAGTGGCAAAGTTAATGTGGGAGGGGGTGAGCAGCTTGTTGAGTAGTTATCATCCATTTATCGTTATCATGGTGAACTGCTCAATATATTGTGGTATTGAATTGAGGCCATATCGCCCAGCCCTAGATACATTTCCCCTCTATACTCATCCTTATTGACCAAAAAATGTTAAACAGTTGTCGACAAAGTCTCTGTGTCATCTCAATACCACAAAGGTGAGTGAATAGTGTGTGTCATTCAGAGCTCTAATCAAATGTACATTTAAAAAATCTGTGCCAACTTTCTGGTGACAACTGCTCTTTACAAAAGAAACAGTCCTCCCAAATACTGTCCATTGTGTTTCCTTGCAACAAAAGAAAAATAGCCCTGAATTATAGCTTTTTGAATTTCTGTGTCATTTTCAGCAGTCGGTAGTGATGATTGAATGAAGCCTCAGAGCTGTTTCTGTCATGATATGGTCTGTTAATTTAGTTTTTCCCTGGTTTTGTTATATGAGTGTGTAATCTTTGTGATTTTTCTCCCAGTGTTTCTGCTCCCTACTGTTCCCGTGATCCTGTCTTGTGAGTTTTCGGTTTGTGTTTGACCCTGTTTCCCTCATGTTCTCAATGTTTCCTCTTTTATTTTGTAGTAGGTAATTCCTTGTGTTTCTAGTCTGGTTTTACTTCCCTAGTTTTCCCTCCTTTGTTAATCACTAATGAGTTTCACCTGTGTCTCGTTAGCCACACCTGTTGCTCGTTTGTGTGTCTATGCCTATGCCTGTGTCCCTAATGAGTCCTCAGTGATTTCTGGCTCCTTGGATTATGCTTCTTGTGTTTTGGGGGAGTTTTTCAGTTTTCAGTATTTTAAGTAGTTTTTGTTGCTTTTCATTTAGTTATTTTTAAACAAATCCTTTTTTGTTCCGCATTTGGGTCCTCTTTTCTCATGACAGTTTCTTTCTTTGTGCTGAAAGAGAGCTGATGCTTTGAAGGCTCCAACTCGGCAAACACAGTGACGCCATGTGGACCGGTAAACTCATGGCAGACCTTTTGATGACGGTCTTCAGCTCCAAAATCTACTCGCTGGTATCTACTGTTATAGTCCAATATTTGATCAATTAAAGCCCAAAAACAACATGCCTTCTTATGTTAGTATGTACTGTATTAAGCATCCATACTTAAGGTTTCACACTACAATCTCACTTTGAACTGACGCTGTGTAATGCAAGGTCTGGAGCTTCAGTATCATTTTATCCTTTAGTAATAGGCAGATCAAATATTTACTTTCATTTATTTTCATTATCTTAGAGTAAAAGCATATAAAAGAAAGATAGATGTCTTAATTTTCTGTATTTTCTAATTTGTTTTTAATCATTTAAATGCATCAAAAGGGCTTATGTAAACATTAAAACACAAAGTAGAATGTTTCTGTTCAGCTTCTGTTGCTGCACTGTGTTTGACAATTAATAGACACACATCATGATCTCACTTGGACTGTGTCTCCTGCTTACCTGGATAGTAAAAAAGGTGTCAGATCTGTCAGAGGAGCTGAGCCACTTGCACCTTTATGGTAAAATTGAACTGCAGTGTCCTATAGAGCTGCAAAAAAGCACATAGAGTTAAAGACAATAATTTAAGAGAAACACTTCAAAGATGTTTTGTCGAATGTCCCAGAGTTTTTCAGAAAGCTGATGATTTTTCATGGGAGAGTTAAAAAAGACAGACCATAACTGAGAAAGGGAGGGCATTGGTGCAAGTCAGTAGATGGAGGCGCGGATAACTGTGTGCTGGTGCTGCAGTAGGTTAACATCTGGCTCATGATCTTTGTTACATATCAGCCGCTTTTCCTGTTCCTTTCAACTGTGTGGTGGGGTTTTTAGAAAGCTTGAAAAGTGATGAAAACACATGAGGCAAAAAGCAGGAAGATAACTTCGCTTGCATGTTAGTCTTGGCGTGGGGTCAAATAATAAATCTAATGGAGAGTATTAATGGAGAGGTTCATTTTAAAGATAGCTGGAAAATGAATTAACAAAAGGCAACTTTAAACTACACTCAGGATGGTTTCTTCACAATACCTGGAAATGTCTGTAACGTCTTTTTTTTGCTTTTTTGTTTGGTAATTTCTGTTTATTTTAAGGATTTAATGAAGACAAAATCGCACTTTCATCCTTTTTTGTCAGTACCTAACCTCACCCCGCTCCTGACAACCCTTTCCCCTTTTCCTTCCTCTTTCCTCTCTCATCCCCTCTTCCTCTCCTCTCTCTGTTATCAGTTCAGGCAGCTTGTTAAGCACTGTTTGATCAGAGTGTTTACCGTCAAACACACTCACACACACATACACACACACACTTACACAAAAGCGAAAGAGGCTTGAGAGAGGGCTAACAATGGTCAATGGTCCTTGGGGAGTGAAATGGAGTGAGAGTAGCACAGACGTATGAGGCTATGTGTGTGTGTCTGTGTCTGTGTGTGTGTGTGCATATGTGAGTGTGTGAACAGTCGTCCTACTTAGCTTTGATAACACCCCTAATCCACTTCAGATGGATACACTACCACTGGCTGAACAGAAAAATGGAGGGATGATAAATGGACAGATGTACTGCAGACTAAAAGAGGTGTATGAGGTAGACAAAAACGCGAGCACACACAACACTTTAGATGCTGGGCTGACAAACTACTTGAATGTAACACATGAAAAGAAATCTGAAACATCAGATAGATAAATAGATTAGATAGATAGATAGATAGATAGATAGATAGATAGATAGATAGATAGATAGATAGATCAGTTCATAGGTCCCCCCGTGCAACATGAAGAGAATAATCCCACTATAAATAGCTTAATATCAATTATTCAAATGCTTTCTCTTCTCCACTATAATACAGCCCAGATGGCAAACCAGCCAATGCGCTTATACCAGGGACAGATTAGCTTTTCAAAGCCAGCGGAAAGCTGGACAAAATATGAACACTGAGCAATGAAAACGAAAGCTATTAACCGTTAGATTAGATTTAAGAATGGTACTCTTGGATTACTGTAGCTGTCACTAACACTAAAATTATTAGGGGGGGATGTGTGCTAAATAAAGCACACGTAACTGTGGTTTGACATTATGTGACAATTTAATATCTTTTAAAAAAATGAAGTTTCTGAATGTACGTATGGAAAATTAACACAAAAGTATCACATAGTATAGCCCATTTACATTCATGTAATTGACCTGCAAACATAAACAAATTCAAGTGGTTTAAAATATTTTGTAAGGATGGATTAAAACAGATTACAATATAGTTGAGTATAAGTGATGAAAGCTTTTCAACAATTTCAGATTTAAACAGAATTTAAAATCAATTTTACCAAGTGGCAACTTCATTGTTAATAAAAAGCAAATAAAGTCAAAGCCTACAGCCTTTATAATGTAGTTTTTTTCTGCTGTTTGTCTTTGAAAGTACTGCCAATAATATCTATCTATCTATCTATCTATCTATCTATCATAAAAATTTGGAAGCTTATATCTGAAGCCTGCGCGTGGCAACATCTGCCGGTTTTGCCACGCGAGAGGAATCCGCTTGGCCCATTCTGACGCACGAGCTGTCAGCTTGTGTGTATGTGTGCGTGCGTGCGCGCCCGCGGCGCGTCCTGTGACTAATTGGCAGCGGTGGACTAATGTCGCAGTATGAAAAGAAAATAAACGCACGGAGAGACCCGTAGTTTTATGTCAGACACTGACTCTCGCGACTCATTTTTTTTAAAGTAGAGGAAATTCTGACAGATTTATGTGAGGAGGAGGAGGAGGAGGAAGTTTAAAATGAACTCACCGTCAGTCACAGAGAGAAGAGCTCCAGCGGTGTCCGTTCCCCGAAGCTTCCCCCACTCCTGTGACCATTCCTGTGTGCTCTGCCTCGGTCAACTGTGTTCAGCTGGCACCGGGCGGGCCTTGGACATCTGTGCGAGTAGGAAGGTACCAGCTACCAGCGGGTTTCCGGTTATTTCTCGTTCTCTTGCCTCTATTTTTGTCCTTTGTTCTGAAACTCTCTCAGTTTTTTACTCACTCTCATCAGCCGCCTCCTCTTTTACTCTAGTTGTGTCACTGTGCAGGTTTTTTTTCCTCCCTCGTCAGTCCATCTATCTCTGGCTGGCATCATCTTCACGCGCTGCTCCCGATGTGGAGTGGCGCGCGGTGGGCGGGCAGGCTCGAGAGCTGGCCACTTGACGGTTCGGTCCCTCCCATGTTGGCATGACCCCCAGTACGTGTACCAAAACACACACGTACACACAAGCTCACTCATACTCCCAAACGACTCACAAAGGATGCTAGTTTGACTCGTCAGGACCGCTGCTAAATTATATCAAATTGATGCAATTAACTTTTTTTGCTAATTGATAGCAACAGTTTGTAGAGGTGCGAATTTATTTGCGACTGTCTTACTCGTGAACTCAACTGGAATTTTACATTTTGTAGTCTACAGACAAAGTAATTGCTGTTAAGCTAAAGACACACAATACTAGGCTACTGGAATCGAAACCCAAAATTTTCAGCATCAATAAAAAAGGCATTTTTAACAGTGAAATCATCAGTCCTGTCTCATTGCAGATATTTTCTTAAGAACCAATGCACCAACAGAAAACAGGCAATCATCATTTTACAGTTTATCACTGTAATTTTACAGTTTGTTACTGTAAAATTATCATTTTTATTTTGTCATCAAATTGATGACAAAAAGTTGAAAAAGGATTACAATTGTGTTACTAATCATGATGGTTATTGCTCCTTTTTTTGGACTGTTTATCTATTTGGGTTTTTTTGTTGTTGTTGTTATAGAGCATTTATGTAAACATAGTTTTTTTTTTCTCTCTGTATCTCATCTGTGTTTTTGAGTCCTTGCATATTTTCATGTACATCTATGCTTGATGTTAAAGCAATTTGTAGAGCCCTTGTTTTTAAATGTGCTGTAAATTCATCTATTGGATCTTTGTTTGTCATCTTTATTTTACGGTAGGGTTTTGTTGTTGTTTTTGTTGTTGTTGTTGTTATAGAGCTTTTCTGTAAATATTGTTTTTTTCCCTCTGTATCTCATCTGTGATTTTGAGTCCTTGCATATTCTCATGCACATCTATGTTAAAGCACTTTGTAGACCCCTTGTTTTAAATGTGCTGTAAATTCATCTATTGGGTCTTTGTTTGTCATCTTTATTTAACGGTAGGGTTTTTTGTTGTTGTTGTTATTATCGAGCTTTTCTGTAATTTTTTTTTTTCTCTCTGTATCTCGTCTGTGTTTTTGAGTGCTTGCTTGTTCTCATGCACATCTATGCTTGGATGTTAAAGCACTTTGTAGACCCCTTATTTTAAAGGTGCTGTAAATAAACTATTATCATCTTACAAGCACACACTTAAGTAGTCTTCAGAATTCCAGTGTCAGCACCCTCTATGACTGCAGTGTTAGTGCAAACATTAATCAAACTATCACTGTCACTACAGGCCACAGTGGAAAAATACTGCGTATTTTCGGTGCATCAAGCATTTTAGTGAAGTCTCATCGTAGTGACTGACCGAGACTGAACTGAACTGAGACTGTGACTGAAATCTCAAGTGTAATGACTGACTTCAAGTCTTCCTACCTTGATTATTTGGGACCTGTGTTTCCAGAAAGAGCAAATGAATAGATGCCTGACCTTGAGCAACATTTTGTTACCTGTTGCTGGTAATCTTGCTCACAGTGGTTCACCATGAGACTAAGGCCAGTTTTCATTTCTCTCTTTATTCTGGTCCTCTTGTCATCTCTTTTTGAGGATGAATTATTTTTTATCTATCCAATGCATCACCTGTGTAACCTCCTTCCCCATTTTCTCTCTCTCTGTCTCCTCTCATCTCTGCCTTTCTCTACTTCTGATTAAAAATGGTTAGGCACTGACTGAAAGGTCGCAGTTGTTATGGAAACGAGGCTGGTAACAAAAGCTGGACACACGGGCACAGAGGGAAAGAGAAGGGGGGAGAGATGGAGAGAAAAAAGAGGGAGATGTGTCTGAATAAACATAAACATGCAGAGAGAAGGAGAGGGCAGGGAAAGAGAAAGTGAGAGAGGTCTGAATAAATAAAAACATATGCAGAGGGGGGGCAGCGACGGTCATTGAGGTCACGAAATGATGGCTCCATCTGCAATAATAAATAACAAAAGATAATACCAGGTTTTTGTGATTCGAGGAGGGATGTTGAGCCACAAAGGTGTGTGCGTGTTGGAGTATGTGTGTATTTGGACCGAGTGGGAGAATGCAATTGATAGATAATACATGGATCTGCTTCACAAGCTGGAGAATACTGAAAAGCACAAATTGTTCACAGAAAAGCCTCCCAAAAAGCCTGAAATTGTGCATGAGTGTGTGTGTGAGAGCGGGAACGTCATCTCTCTGAGGGCTCATATTATGTTAACCACTTAGACCAACATCAAACACTCTCCCTCTCTCGCTCGTACACACTCACACACACACACTCACACACACACACTCATACACATACTTCAGTACGAGCATGAAGGTGCCAGCCATATAAATAGGAAGTCCCAAAGCGAGGGGTATAAAGAGAAAAGGACTGATGGAGAGAGACAGAAAAAGGGAATAGAGATTATAAATTCAAAGGGGGGGGCAGGAAGGGGTGACTAAAAAGGATGGGGGATAGCGCAGAGTGAAAAAGTGAGAGAGGGCAAGAACAGGGGGGGAGCGTGGACAGATAGATATGAAAGGATCAATAGATGGCATAAAGTGTATGTTCATTGATTTACTTACTGCGAAAGAGCGATGGGAGAGAAAAAAATGGAGGAGAGGGCAGAAAAAGCAGGGAGAGAGAGGTAGATAAATAACTTGTCAGTGAGGGGTTATACTAGGTTTAAATTCATTATTAATGCTGCATCCATCAATGGCTGCAGTATACAGAATAAACAGTGGGTCAGATGATAAAAGTGTTTATCCCATGACTGAAAAAAAACATTTCATTCATGTCTGCTGACAAATCCAGCTGGCAACTGGTGTATGCAAAATAAAGTTCTGACTAACTTCACCTTTCTGGAGCCAAACAGCAGGAAGAAGTCAAAGACAAGCTAGCAAGAGACTTCTTCTTAATTAAAAATGGCCAATATCTGAGGAGGACCTTCCATTTGTTGGGGCAAGAGGAACTATTCAAGTTGCCTTTTCTTCTCCTAAACCCCGCCCATGTGTTAAAATTGTTTTGTTCATGCTGTGCTATGATTGGTTAGTACTTATAACCTCAGATTTTGCATTTAGGGTTTTCGTCAAGGAGTCCTTTCTGACTCTAAAGCCAGGTATTTTTCACCTCAGAGTACAGAAGTTTTAGAATTTGATACTGATAATTAAGATTCCAATAAAACCATGATAGGCACTTCTTTACTTATTGTGTGTAAACCTAAACAAATTTGTGGTTAAAGTTTCTAAATAGTAAGTTGAATTGCACATACTCTGTGATCTTATATCAGGCAAATACACTGTTCAATTTTGATTTGTTGATAAGTCAGGATTCAAGTTTCCTTTTGAGTGACTAAGAAATTAGTCCAAATCCTTAGACACCCTGTTGAGAGATGGATGTTGCCGACCGCTTGCTTCTCTAGGTACTCCAACTTTAGTAATGACCGCAGACAGCAATACAGAGAGCCACACGCTTAACCAAAACGCCACTCTATAGCCACAAATAATGCTCAAAACAGCATCTAACTTCATCAACAATACATAGAGGGTCCCAGCCACAACACTAGCCATCAAACATCTTTTTAGCTTTGCCTAATTTCTTTAGCACAGAGATTAAACACAACTTACCCTCTCTTTTTCAGCAGCCGCTTGTTTGTACGGAGACCTTGGGGTGAGTCCATCGACTGCAGCTCAAGGAAGAACATTTATGATCATTTCCTTATAGAAATGCAATGAGACCGAGACGCTGAGGCAGAGGACCTACCGCGTCTGCAGTGCAAAATGATTAATATGATGATTATTACTTCAAGGAAATGATAAATATCCCTTTAAATTCATGTTAAAAATGGGATCTCACACCATAACTTCTCAAAAAACTAATGTCCAATTCAAACTGACTCGGGATGCTGTGAAACTGTAAACCTAGCCTTTGTTATTTCATGCTAATGAAATGTATATCCTGGCTGAGGGGCTGGTATGTCAGTATGGTTGGCTTGCAAAGTCTGGCTCCATATATGTAACACATCAGTGCCGGTTGCAGGGTGTATGGCTTCACTTTTGTACTGTATAAAGTGGATTTGTTGTCCATCATTATGTGCAATCAGTGGTTTGATCTATATATCTATAAAAACACAGTAAACCAATCACATCACAGTTGATTTGAGCAAAGGTTACCATAAATAACTCTGTCAAGCACTAAAAAGAGTGCATCCTACATATCCCATGATGCTTATCCAAAGTATTAGACCAGCCCCAGCCAAAATTACCCCAGTGACATTACTGAGACACCATTATCTGGGCTTTATTTTTAGACTTTGGAAGGATCCTCCAAAGCCATAAATGATGTCATCCAACCCAACCGTGGTGTATCACTCATTGCAACTGTACTGAATGGTGTAAAATTGTTGGATTAGCCCTTTAATTCTTCAACTGCACTATTGGGTGAAATGTATCAGGTTGTCTTAGGATGTTTTGGTAATGCTGCTCACCTGTGAACCAGACCACCGCGTTGAAAGGACAATGACACTGAGAGCCAGGCAACATACGTCAAGACTGATGTTTGAGCTGAACAAGAGAGACAGGTTTGGAGCCTGAATGTGAGACAGGCGGACAGATAGAAAGAGAATGAGTGTGTTTATGTGTGTGTGAGAGAGAGATGGGAGAATAAAAGAGAGAGAGACAGAAGTGTGTTCAAATAGCTCAGGGCAAGGTGACAGAGAGAAACGAGCGGACAGAGAGGGATAACAAGCTCATAGAGGGGGAAGTGTGTGTGTGTGTGTTGGAGAGAGAGAAAAGGAAGAGACTGAGGGTGGAAGGGGTGAGGGATAGAGGAAGTTAAGGGAACAAAAACAAAAACAGTGAGTGTGTGTGTGTGCATGTGTGTGTATATGTGTGTGGACAGCCAAAGGTGTCAGAGTATGCTGTTTGGCTTAATGATAACCCACTGGGCATGTAGGTCATAACGGTTTGTGTCTCAAAGCCATGACTGTATGCCTGTGTGCATCCATTAGTGGGGTTGGAGTGTGTGTGTGTGTGTGTGTGTGTGTGTGTGTGTGTGTGTAAATAGAAACTCAGTTGACACACACACACACACACACACATGTAAAGTGGGTCTCTCAGAGAGGGTTTAAGAGTGTGTTTGGTCAGAGGTTGAAGAAGCAGTTTTTCTAGCTGGTAGGACTCAACTATACTTACACACACACTCTCATGTTGCACCCACACATGCTGCAAATCCAGTTTTTGGCACACACAAACAAACACACACACATGCACGCACACACACACACCAACAGCTGTCCTACATGTCATACATGCACATGTGATCCACTATGTATGGTGCTAAATTATGCACAAATACACACATCTTTTCCTTTTGATCTCTCATGATAACACACACACACACACACACACACACACACACGCACATACTCACTCATTCTCTAAAACACACACACACACACTAGGGGAAGCTATTATGCTCTCAGGCTGGAGTGTTTTGATGGTATAATTGCAGTGACCAGTGAGGAGAAAGAGACAGAGGGAGGGATGGAAAGGGATGGGGATGGAGGGAGAGAAAAAGAGGAGAGTGCTGACACTCTCAGCATGCTAATGTTGCGAGGCTCTACCCCCCACTCCCCTGCCCTCCCCCCCCGATTTTATCTCTCCCTCCGTCCATCCATCTCTTTGTCTTTCCATCTTTCCTCTCCATCTCCCGTCCTCTGCGTTTCACAGGTGCAGCACTAAAAAGAGGGAAAGAGGTGGAGGGATGAGAGGGATATGTAACAGGATGGAGCAATGCTATCTCTCGCTTTCTCTGCCATCCCTCCATCCTCTTCAAGCTCCCCACAATGCTCAAAACAAAGGATGAAAAAAAAAGAGGTACTGGGGGATGAAAATAGAGGAAGAGGGAGGGTCAGTTTTTCCATCCCTATATAACAATAGAGGGATGATCTCTGCTTATCCTCTAACCACATCACTCCTTCTTTCCTCTCATCCGTCCTCTCTGTTATCTCCCGCTCCCTGCAACCCCTTTATTTTCTCATCTGGAGAGAGAAAGGATAGCCTTTTCCTCTTGTCGGCCTTCTTTTTTTTTTTTGTCGCCCCTCCATCTGTTTGTCCTTCCAGTCCTCCCTCCATCCGTCCCTCCAGAGAGGGGATTCTGCCGTTTGGAGCTGACTTCTTTCCCTCATTTTTCTCTCTTTTGCTCCCCAATTCTTCCTCTTTTTTTTCTCTCTGTTTAATCCTTTTCTCTCTTTTGGACAGTTTAAAATACCAAACTTCATTTGAAAGAGTGGATATGTTTGACGCATTCATACTGCAACTGAAAGACAACATGTGTTTATGAGTGTAGCCTGTTTCTAAGATTGATGTAATCTCTGATAGGGTATCAAAAAATTTCATCTTACACATAACAAAGGTTGTTAACAACCATTTTACCAGCTACAGCATTAGCACAACCATAATTCGACATAATTACGTACACATTTTGCAATAATAGTTGGCTTTGATCAAACTTGCAATTCAATTTAATGTAGTAATACAGAATTAGCTCCAGTTGACGACATGAAAGTTCACGTCTGCTGCAAGTTGCGGTTTCAGAATAGATTGCTTTAGTTGTTATTGAGCTAAATGGCTGCTTTGCTTTGAGAACTGCTTCACTGAGAAAGCCAAATATGACATTTAAATGATTACAATGCTGTAATAAAGAGTTTCTGCACTTTGTATGAAAGCCAACAGCGCCCCCTAGAGATACAGCTTTCCTCCTGCAGGCCTTCAAATGACTGGGTTCTTCTCATAGGCATGTGTATTGTATTTGTGGGTGCTACAAGATGACACTTATACCAATACTCCTCCTCCTCTCCTTTACACATACATAAATACATAATGGTTTAATTATCATATGTGTTAATGAAGTCGAAAGTTGTTGTCATCGTTTGCTGACTCTGGTCTGTATATCGATATGGAAAGTATAAACCTTTAAAATAATAAATCTGAAAAATATAAAAAAATATATATATATATTTTTCAAACAATAGAGGAATAAAAAGGTAGAGTTTATATGCTTTGGTAGTCATAAATAATTGATGTTTGTTATATTAGCCCATATGGATTATTGACCAATCTTTGCACCAGAGATAGACAGAGAATGAGAGATGGTGCCGAGTCTATGCGCGTCTCTTTAAGTTTACCAAAGGATACAGCAATCTTATAGACTTAAATTTAAATTATTTATTAACAAAACATTCTTTGTGCAAAATGCAAATCACAGATATACAAACAAATTACTGCATTCAACAATAAAACACTGTCAAAAGAAGGCCAATAATTAATCAGAGTAAGATACAAACAGATAAAAAGAGGTAAGTGATGCATGAATTTACAAGCTTATGGTTACTTTGATTTTTTTAATTTTTCAAGTGTGTACCTCACAAGTGTGTTTATGTAGGACTGTGTGTGCTTGTTTGGTACCTGAATTAGCCAGCGTTTTTTAACATGGTGGCCAGACCAACAAAGTGTTTTCACTTCATGTAAGAGTGTCAGCAGACTGAACAAGTGTACAGAGTGATATGTAGTATGTAGGAGTGTCACAGTCCTGAGCTTGTGTCTTTGATCTGCCTTCATGTGTGTTACACACAGAGAAAATAAATGTTTGTGCGTGCATTTAAGGGTCCTGTGTATGTGTGTGTGTAGGTGTCTGAGTGTGTGTAGGCGAGGAGTGCCTGTCGACTAACATTTCAGTGTGCTTCAGGTACTGGGCTGTCCTTCTCATCACAGACTCTTTCCGCACCGGGTCTGGGTCTCCTGGATAGACATGCAGACAGACACAAAGGCAGAGAGATAAAGGTGATTATTCAAGTTGACATGGCATTAAGAGAAAAGAAACGGCAGAGCAAAAACCTTCTGAATTTCTGCTCATAAACTATTTATATTTTCATATAATTATAAATGTATGTATAATGTGTTATAATCACGTTATAGCACTGTGTAACTATACTTATAAACACACATAAATGATCATAATGCTTTATAGCAATAATCACAACACATAAGAATTTTATCATGACTTAAAAGGTCAGGTATTATCATGTGTTATGCTTATTGTTTTAAAGCCTTGTGATAATCAATGAGTGTTTATAATGATAGTTATACAAGTTTATAAGCAAATTATAACACATTATAAATATATGTACAATGCATTATCGATGTGGGCATTGTCAGTGAGTTGTTAACAGATATAACACAGTGCTATAACGTGATTATTATGCATTATACATGTATTTATAATGCGTTGTAGAGATAGGTGTCAAGTACAGTGTTACCAAAATGTTCAACATCTGTGCTAAAAAGTTGAGGCATACATCAAAGTATGAACCATCTGTGAGTGTCAGCATCATTTCCGTTTAATCTGCACCAGTGAAATGATCATCATCAGTATTTGAGCCCTCCTCCCCCCTATAGACTGGGGATGTAATTCAGCACCTTGGACCTCTACTTTCTTCTGAGCCTTACTCCATTACCCCCAATTTCCACCGCATCCGGAAAAGGCTATGAAAAGGCGGTATCTGCAGATCACAGCTGACCGAAATCATTCAAGTTAATGTGTCAATTTCCTTTCTGTTCTGTCGCTGGACTCTGCAGCTGATTGCAAGAGTTCCATTTTTTCCGTTACTGTTAAGAACTCCTGGGGAGCAGGTCAAAGTCAAAAATCCCTCTTCAGGTGAAATGAGAGCAGAGAAGACCCTTTGTACTGTGATATCTGTATTTTCAATATCAGTTTACTTTTTACTTTATGGTTTATTGCATTGAATACAAATTTGCCTGGCAAGGAGGGGAATCCCAATTCTGGGACAGTACTGTGTGAAAGAGGCGAAGGATTATATTCTTTCCTTACCAGTAGAAAAAAAAAGTGCCTCAGATCAGACAGCCATGCAACAAAGAAGAGGACAGAGTTCAGTCTGACGGACTGGGTGGATCAATACAAGAGGGGAAAACATCACACTCAGTTACGGTCTCTTCTTGATATTCATATGACGCTAAAATACAGTTTACATTTTCCCTCCATATCTGCACACACTGCATATAGTCTAAGTACTGGATAAGTCACCCTCTGAGACAAGATTACAAAAGAGCCATTGGAGTGCGAATAGAACTTTTTTCATGAATGATCAGTATATCTTTTTAACTGAGAATGACAAGCATTCTCATAACACCAAGAACACTGAGACATATTCGATATCCCATAGCTGTAGAAGACCCCAAGTGAGCACATGAGGGGTGAAAAACCTTTCTGGCAGCGGTGGGATTCGAACCCACGCCCCCGAAGAGACTGGAGCCTTAATCCAGCGCCTTAGACCGCTCGGCCACGCTACCCTTGCAAATAGCTACTCAATGAAGAGAGAAAACAACACTGACCTAATGACTCATCCATTAGTGACACGAGAGAATTATGGCTCAACATTGAGCTAAAGCAGGACAGTAAATACCAGGACGGAATAGCAGGGGGGGGAGTTTCCATGAGGTCACATACCACACACGCTCTGCTGTGCAGTGTGTATATCATGCGGTTATTTGTGTAGTATCTTGTGTGAGCAGCATATTGGTATGTTGCGCAGAGATAACCAGTCATCATGGTTAAATGCGCAGTATCATTTGTGCTGATAAACTGTCCATTCTGCATTTGGAGCTTGTCTTTTGCAATGAGCTCATGGTCTGTCACTATAGCAACAAAGCTGGCTCTTGTTCACGTCGTAATAGTCATGTCAGAGAGCATTCGGATAAAATGCCAAGCGAAATTGACTGAGTGTTTTGGTTCACATTCAGGATTGTAAATAAGATAAAAACATCACAAAACATCAGTTGTACCTTTCCCCTTATTTTTGATTTGAGTCTTATTTATCTGAAAACTTAGTAAATTGATTTTCTGACGGTCTCTTTGCCCTTTTTACTCAGTTCACCATCTCACCCTTTACTCCAGTGATCAGTATATCCACCGCCGTCCTGTAACCACGAATGGCAGAGCTCAATTCTCCCTTCTCCTCCTGCTCCATAGCAACAGTTAGCTCTTTGGCAGCTTGGTTCAGGTAACCCACGTCTCCCCCATCCAAGCTGGTTGGCGGCAAAGAGAACAACTCTGAGTAGTCACAGGGGGATCTGGATTCACCTGAAATGGAGAAAAAGGAAGTATTTCCAAGTGAGTCTCTGTGTGACAGTTTCTGTTCCCGAGAATCAGCTATACAGAGAACACATTTGAAGATTTTACTGCTTAACAGAGGAATGCAAACACACAATTCTTAATACTTAAGTCCTTACACAGTGCTTTACACTAGGCTCACACCACAAGTCTGAAAACTAATAAAGTGGAGAATGATTACAGGTATGCAGCACAACGGGAAAAAAATGGGTTGAAAAAGATTGAAAGATAGGAAAAAGAAAATGCAGGTAACTTAAAGGGATATTCCGGCGTTAAATTGATTTAAGGGTCAAACACGCTGTAACACCAAGTTAGACACTCCCCTCCAGAGATGAATGTTGCCGACTGCTTGCTTCTCCAGTTTAACCAACTTTAGAAACGACCGCACGATAGCAATACACGTGGTCTAGGTCTCCACGCACAAACCTCAACCAAATGCCACTCTATAGTCCCAAATAATGCTCAGAACAGCACCTAACTTCATAAACAGTACATATAGGGTCCCAGCCACAGCACTAGCCATCAAACATCGTTTTAACTTTGCCTAATTTCTTTAGCAAAGAGACTAAACACAATTCACCTACTCTCTTCCAGCAGCCGCTTGTTTGTAGACCTCGGGCCAGTCCATCACAGACTGCTGCAGGGTGACGCAGCTCAAGGAAGAACATGTCTGTGATGGATTGGCCCGAGGTCTTGCAAACAAGCGGCTGCTGGAAGAGAGTAGGTTGATTTTAGTCTCTTTGCTAATGAATTAGGCAAAGTTAAAAAGATGTTTGGTGGCTAATACCATGGCTAGGACCCTGAACTGTTGATGAAGTTAGTTGCTGTTCTGAGCATTATTTGTGGCTATAGAGTGGCGTTTTAGTTGAGGTCTGTGTATGGCTCCTGAGACCACTGTGTATTGCTAATGTGCGGTCGTTACGATAGTTGGTATAACTAGAGAAGTAAGCAGTCTGCAACATTCATCTCTTGAGGGGGTGTCTTACTCTGTGTTACTGTGTTACAGTGTGTTTGACCCTAAATTAATTTTACACCGGAATGTCCCTTTAAGATTGTTGTTCCTATAGAAAGAGGATGGCCATGTGTCAACCACAGTACTGCTGCAGCCCCGTTTCTTTGTAATTAACTTTTCAAAGAATGTGAAACATCCTATTTTTGGTCTCATTTCATTAAATATGTCATTAAAGTTCATCTAATCTGAAACACAGAGAATTTATGTTAAAGTATGTGATCTGCTTTTATCCAAGTATTATTCTTACAGTGTACCTTAGCTGAGGAACAGCGTCTCTGAGTGTAAGATAACACTACCATCACTATGGCAACCAGGTAAATCCACCTCTGTGATCACATTTTCTGAAGGACTATACTGTCTTCAGACATGTTTAGATACAAACATACACTGTCCAGACCACTTGAAAAGACTACTTGGCAGCGGTGGGATTCGAACCCACGCCCCCGAAGAGACTGGAGCCTTAATCCAGCGCCTTAGACCGCTCGGCCACGCTACCTTGTGAAGACACATACAACTCATAAACAATCTCATAAGAGTGCACTTTCTAGCTATGCAACTTAAACTTTATTTGGTCCAAACCATAAACAGCCTATGGTCCGGACATGTCTTCTGTTTTGAACTCTTAATGGGTTTGTAACTATAATATAATAAATCACACTGATTTCACAGTCACCGAACTTTAAGCATTTGTAATTGAGCCTATAGCTTAATCATTAACTAGTTCTGGAGAAGGATATGAGTCAGAGAGAGGTTTACTTTTATTGCTATGTTATTTTGACACTATGGGGTTATGATCAACTGCATCAGATTATCATGTATAAGTGTCAGCCTAAGCTTGAACCAATATGTCCAACATGAATCAAAGAATTTCTTGGGGATTCAAACCCAAAAAAAAAAAATCACCAACAGGACAGCAATTTGTCTTGTAAAGTTCATTGTATTTTATCAGATTGTACTGTCTCATTTCTTATTGTATCCAAACATATACTAAAAAAATCTACCTGCAGTGACCTTGTTTTTCACCTTGTTTATAGCAGGGATCAAAGACAGCTAAGTCGTTGTCAGACAATGGAGGTGGAACTTCCTCTTTCGGGGATTGGACTTGCTCCTCTACCACCGAGTCAAACAAGGAATCAAACTCTTCCTGGGCCTCACGTGATTCGTAGTTCCTCACTGGGGATGGAACTGTTGTGGAAAACATGGACCAATATGTCAAGAAGAAGAAAACAATAGACTTCTATTCTAAGGTGTCATACTGTACCTCTGTCGTCCAGCTCTGTGTCCCTAAGATCCTCTTGCTCTTCTTCTCTCGGGGAGCCTCCCATCTCGCTGTAAGCCTCAGCTGCAACCTCAGGCTCTCCTACCTCTAATCCGACATTTGTGCCTAGGTCTTGTGGTAAGGTTGGAGCCTCCCTCCCTTCCTCCTCCTCTGCGGGTTCACAGTCAGACGCCCTCCGCTTGGGAAGGGGGATGAGAGGTGGAGGCAGAGCTCCCTCAGAGGACAAAGGGGTTGGATCTAGTGGTCTTGTGACTTCACCACCCTGAGAGAAGATAGGAGGAGAAAGAAGAGGAGGATTGAGAAAAACAAAAAAGAAATCGAGATAACGACACCAAAATGCCACTAACAAATCTGTTAGTTGGTCCATGAATGAGTATGCCTTACTCTAAAGAAGTCTTTAAGCTGCGGGCTGTTGTAGAGTGCAGGTATGCTGGTAGTAAACAGAAGCATGGCCTCTGTAGCCTTCCTCCTCTCCTCAATCACAGCTTCATCAAACCTCCCTGAAACAAAGACAAACAATATCAGGACAAATACAAGAGAACAGAATATAATTTTTTCTCCCCTCAGCTTGCGATGTTGACATGTAGTCACTGTTGGACTGGTTTGGGCTCAAGTCCTCTTTTTTTCTGTACAGCTCTGTTTTTTTTAAAGTTATTAGGGGGTTCATGTTTTCTATGATTGACACCTGATACAGCCAATGGGTGTACGAAGATTGGGGATACACTGTTTGAGCTGAGCGTCCTCACGACGGCTCTCCGGCTAAATGTGTATAACACTACTGTGCAAGTGGTGAAGTGGGTACAATGCTACTGCGCAATGTTGGTTTCAGGAAATGAAGAAAAAACACGGAAAAACCGAGAGCTTTTCGTCTTGAAATCTGTATACTGGCAGAAGGTGGAACCAAGTTGTCCATAGTATATACAGTCTATGCTTGGAACTCAATATAAGAGCTTTTCTCCTGTGGTTTCATTCAACTTGCTGCTGTCGCTGCCTTAGCAGTTGTGAATTTGTGACTACAAAACAAATATGCAAGACACCAAGGGGAAATGTCACAAGAGTGATGACACTCTTGACAACTCAACAGAGAGAGCAGTTTCACTTTAACATTTTTGAACCATCCATACTGTCAATCGATTTGCCCTGCGGCACTGAAATAACTTGTCTTTGCACTTTGTGACTTTGCGATTGGTCCACCATACCAAAGACTTGCGCGCGAGGGAAAGGCGGAAACTCCTCTTGTCTTCTGAACAGGTTCTTGTGAGTGTAGGCCAACTCCCCGTGGAGCTTCTTCAGCTCTGAGAACCTCCTCCACACGACCACCTCCTTCACATCCTCAGGATGACGCTTGGACACAAACTAAAAAAAACAAATGAACAAAAAGGACTTCATTAATTGAATGCATTTGAAACAGCAGGTGTTAAATTAGCTTTTACCCCTTGAAAGTGTATTTGGTTGTTAACATACAGGTGGGAGAAGGTTTAGGACTATGAAGATATTATCCTCAAGGATTTGGCATGCATGCCAATCCGGATCACGAGATAACGGTCTTGTCATGGGGTACCGGAGCCAAGAGACTGAATCACAAGTTCTCTGGGCTTCACTTCAGATCCCATTATGCACCACTGCATCACATAAAAGGCTCATTGTGTATTGATCTGTCAAAGGCAGCTGCAGGGCGTTTGTGTATTTAAAGGAAGAAATGACACACTGCTCTGTCAAGTAAATACTACTTTTGATTGTTGTCACCAATGAATAATCTATCCTTAATGCATTTCAGAGCGTATTTATACGAAGGTAAACTAGCACTTAAATACTCAACATAACATGATAAGTTTGTGTTGTTGCAGAGGAAAGATGAAGAGTGTAAACCAACCCTTGCTGTCACTTTGTACTCCGTGTGTCCCTTCTCGTGCGTGCGTGTGTCGGTGACGCTAAAAAAACGGTAATATTCATCTTTGGCTTTTCGTGACATATCCGTTCTCAGTGATAACTAAACAACAGCGTGTTCCGACACCACGAAACAGAGCTGTCAAAGCTTTATTAGCTCTGTTGTGATTTCGCTTGAAGCTCCTCTCCGTTCACTTCCTGGTGAGTGACGTTGGCCAGTGCGTGATTACGTGTAGGGATGCGTCAGACTGGACATTAAAACATCGAGTTTAATGCTGTGGAGTCTCTTTACTGTACGGCTCGGGGTTTATCATTACGGTATCTCAATTGTATCTGTTAATGATGTTTTGTTTTGTTTTCAGTTAAATTTAGGGAAAACATATGCCTCCAAGCTAAAAAAACGGACCCCAATTTAAATGTATTATAAATATAATGTTAACTACGGTGGCTGAGAACTGCCACTGCTGCAAAAAAAAGAATGCAAAAAAAAAAAAAAAAGTCACAACAGAAGTTACCGATGCAAAAAAGAAAGAAAGAAAGAAACCGAAGCCTGCTGCAAATAAAAAAAAGAAATGGTGCAGATAAAAAAAAGAAGTTAACAATGCAAAAAAAAAAAAAAAAAAAAGGACCAATTATGATGATGCACCGGTGTTTTATGATCTAGCCATAGAAGACAACGGCGAGGCCTAACCAAATGACACATTGAAAAGTACACAAAGTGAAATTACACAATAAACTTTCCACTTTATTCGTTGCTCATCTTCTTGCCGTCGTCTTCTGTGCCTAGATCGTAAAACACCAGTGCATCATCATTACTGGTACCTGGCAGCTCACTTCTGTTGTGTGTTTTTTTTTATTTGCATCCTTTTGTTTTCACAGTAAGAAACTTTTTTTTCCCATCACAACTTTTTTTTTTTAATTTGCAGCGGGCTTCAGTTTCTTTTCTTTTCTTTTTTTGCATCAGTAATTTTTGTTGTGACTTCTTTTTTTTCGCATTCTTTTTTATTTGCAGCAGTGGCGGTTCTCAGCCACCTTAGTTGACATTAGTATGATACATTAAGAAATGATAAAGTCATTTGTTTTACCAGTTAATTAACTTGATATGTCACTTCCATATTCCCTGTAACCTACCTGGGTGCTCTTTCCCTTTTGAAATGTACAACCATCACTGTTTCCTTTGAGGTAACCTAGGAATTTTTTTATAATTTTTTTTACATTTTCATTTGTTTGTTTTTTGTTTTCTTGATACCAGGTTTAGACATGGGAACACAATCAGCATAAAAAATATATTTTTTAAATACTGTAAAAAAATGTGCATTGCAAAGAAGAATAAATAAATAGATAAGCCAATTTCTGATAAGGAGGGAAAACATTGCTGTTGCACTCATCTTAGAGGTAAAAGATATCAAAGAAATTAAAATAAAATCTCTAAATGGACATGAAATGATCAGCCATAATCTGAAGATAACAGTCATAATTTTTCTTTAATATATTCACAAAAACTTTCTTATGTCTTGTTGATAATCTTTTTATGCACTTTCATAAATGTTGAGACTACTAAAATACTCCAGAGGGCAGTAAAGGTTCATGTTATCTGCACAGCTCAGCCAACTGACATGAAAAGGGGACTCTATAGAAAACACAAATAATGATAACCTATTTTTTTCATGTGTTTATTTGTTTGGAACTTTCTGGTACGAATAGTCTACTTTTGAATACAAATTTTCAAAATATTTACAATTGTCTGTATCTGTGTCAAGGATGCTAAAATTAGAGAACAATGAGCTGTAGGCCAAACCCTATTTGAGACAATACAATAAAGAGAGCAGCAGCAAACATTACTGTAACACTGAGGAAGTTCCTACTGTGCTTTCTTATCATGCAATTATCCTTTTCAAGTCTGTCCCAGATTCATATTTTTCAGCTTTTCTGTATTGTCAAGAAAAGCTTCACTTTTAATATTTTTTTCAAATGTATTTTTCTCTTTTTAAACTCACAAGGCTCATAAGAGCTAAGCGCTTTTAAGCTTTAAGACTGAGCTTAGTGCTAGTTTTAAAAGGCTCAAAGGTCAGCATGTTGCTCCTCACAGGCGCTGCTTTCCTTTCTGGTAATTACTGGTTTAATTAAAGGGAAAATGTGTTCCCTACACAAATGAGGTAAATGTTTGATTAACAGTTTGGCTTTAGTGGTGAATAGCTGACAGCTGCAACCAGGCTGTTTCAGGAAACTACCACTGTGTATGAACGACATAGATGGCAATGCTGATATATTTTCACTGTTGGACAGCATGTGGCCTATGTGGGTATATGACACCTACAGTCATGAACAACAACGGGATGATATGTTCAAAATAGCAGAGGATGGTTTCGATCCATCGACCTCTGGGTTATGGGCCCAGCACGCTTCCGCTGCGCCACTCTGCTGTGCTAACCTGTCAAACCAGAGACTTGTTCTATGCAGCAAGCTGTTTGTAATTCTACTCACATAAAGGAACCCTCTTACATAACAGCTATTGTTTCCTGCTTAAGAGAGGGGTGGTAGGAGGAGTGACGAAAGCTGAGAGGGGAGAACACGACTCAGGGTGAAAAGGAGAGATGAAAAAACTGTAGGAGAAGGAGGATAACAATGTCAGCTGGGCATGAGAAGGAATGGGAATGCAAGGTTTTCAATGGACCTATAATAGTAGAAGCCATGGTAACACGCTGTTTCTACTATATAATATAAGCCAGATATGTTGCTTAGGATTGGATGCCTTGGTTTTATTCTTTTGAGTATTTTCATACGTATCTGCCGTATGCACGAGTTTATATGCTAATGTGAGGAAGTGATTAGAGTTTGCTTTGTCCATTCTAGCTCTCCATTCATGCAGACAAAAGAGTAAGAGAGGGTGGCCTTCCAAACCGAACAGTCTGTCCTTTGTGTTTCAGGGAAAACCAGGGCCCACATTCTCATCGAAAAAAAAAAAACCCAAGGGAACAAAGACACACACAAAATACACAACTTTGAATGGGAAGAAAAAGACCAAAGATGAGTTTAGATGTTTAATCAGCAATGTGTGTATCTGTGAGTACATGTCGCTTCTGAAGAAACCGGTTTGATGAACACCTACAATAAACCAGAGATAGCAGTAAGAACACGGAGCAGTAAAATTGCACAATATGGCAAAGTTCCTTTGAAGTACTCCCATTATTACTTAACAGACAACTTTCTCTCTGGGAGTTATTCCCGAGTTATCAGAAGAAAGTTATCCTTGGATTATCTTTTTCCCTGACCTTTCCCCTACATAAACCCAAGAAACACAGAGATTAATTCGCCACTGACCTCCTTTTTCAGGAGCAACTGAGTCAAAAGCTGGTCAAATCAATCAAAGAATATGTAAACATGATGTTTTTTTTCTTTTGATCAAATGTGAGGCGTTTTCCCATAAACTACAGCGTCTGAACTCTAGGCCTGCCCTTTGCAGTGAGCCTGAAACAATGAGATAAAAGCACAAGGCTAAACTGGTCTAAACTGGATCAGGTCTGCTCTGCACTGCTGTTTCTTTTTTTTTTTTCATGGCTCATGCTGTCTGGCAAAATAAACTCTCTAAGAGGGATCAGACAAGGATTTATAGTGAGGCCCTGTGTGTGTGTGCTTCCCCCCCAGCCCTGTGTACACTTATTACAAAACAGACCTCTAAACCTTTAGGGGTTTTAGAAGAGAAGTTAATTAAAAATGATGATCTTAACAGAGCTGTATCTGGATCCCTTCCTTTCATTTAACAGCCTTACATGAAACTCATATATTGTCATTATAGTTTGAAATGTATGTTAACCCTCTTTCAAATGACATAACAAACTTTGAGATTATAATTTTAATGGTAAAATAATGCCCATAAAGTTTTTGAACTTCAGTGAGTGTGTGTATTTGTGCGCTTTGTGCTTCACACGAAAATAATATTTGCTATTTGCTTCAGGAACAATTTAAAGCTCCAGTAAGGAACTTAAAATTCATGTTGGTTGTTTTTTGACATAGCAGTTGCACTTATCTCTTGTCTGAATTTGCAGACAGAAACCGGACTGAAGAGAGGTCAAACATGTTTATGTCCATTTTTTTTTAAGTGGAGACACCAGCGTTCGGTTGGACACCAAGGACTCTCTTCAACACACATGGATCTGTTCTTGGCTTGTGGAACATGATCCATGTAAATATACTCAGAACTGAAACGAACCCGTATCCTGTCGATACAAGCGTTCACATCAGCGACGTTTTCCCATCCTGCAATATTGCGGCATTTATTTTTTCGGATCATGGTCAATTTTTCTAAAGTTTTGCATACTGTGTGTCGACTTCTGACCAATCAGATCGTGTGTTGTTGCGACGTCTGATTCACTGGTATATCCAACATGGCCGACCGGCTGATTGTTTACGTGTCGGAGAACAGAGTGCTTTTTGGTAAAAGACACAAAATATTACAAAGATAACGACCTGAAGGACAACATAGCGTCGGATCTCTCATATGATGATAGTTTGTGTGCTTTAACAGTTTGCTAAACGCATTTGTTTTAACTTTCATCTGTGCTAACGTAAGCTAACGGTTGTTACCATAGTTTCATGTGCTTATCTTATCGCCTCTGATTGGCCATAAGTGCTGACCGTTTGGCTTGAGCATGTGATGACTTTTCCAGCTTTTCTAGCCAATCAGAGGCCAGGGAGGTGGGACTTTCCCCGGAAAAAGTCTTCCCCGGGATGCGTCATTTTCCCCCCCGGAAAGTTGCAAAATCGCATCTGGCTGGATGTGTATAGTCAGGCCTGTCAACATTCACCTCTGAATACTTCATAATTTTGCATCACATATCCGCGTCGGCTCCGGTGTGTAAGGACCTTAACCCACCATAAGTCATTAGAAATCTAATGTGCTAAAAACGGCTTTTCTGGCTAATAGTAGTAAACACCTGCCTTTGATCTTAGACATAAAGAAATTACAGCACAAAAACAATCAGTCTTGTTATTGATGGTCTGATTTGTATTTGTTGGTGATAAAGAGGCATTGACATCAATTTCAGTCTGTTTGATTAACAAAAAAAAAATCTACAGAGTAGCTTTAATTTGACCACCTTCACGCCAATGAAACAATTTAAATGTATGAGCGCTGAAGAAGGAGAAGGAGAAGAAGAAGAAGAGGAACTTTATTAATCCCCATGGGAAAATTCCAGTTCTTAGCTGTCTGATTTATTTTTGCTCTTAAAAATGTTATTTCCTTTACTGTATTTTTAAACTTTTAGTGATCACTTTATCTGTTTCTAGTCCCATGATCTCCTGATGCTGCATTTTTTTCTTCCCTTCCCTAGTTCTTTCCATTTTCTGATCATTTTATTTGTCTCTGCTCTTAGTTGTCACCAGGGCACCCCCTAAACTCAATTTATTTTCCGAAAAATAATAAGAATACATTTTATTTATAATGCACTTTTCATAAAACTCAGACACTGTACAAAAAATAAATAAATAAAGACACTTACATATTAACATTAAAAGTAGATACAACAAACAGACAAACACAAAAGACAAAACATTACAATTACAGATTAAAACCTTTTTCTGTTTTCAGGTGTGATTAAAATGCAGTTAAGTCCATGCAGTTTGAATGTGTGTTGGGAGTGAAATCCAGAGGGAGGTAGTGGCTATGGTGAAGGCTCTGCCCCCCAGGTTCCTTTAATACATCTTGGCTTTTGGAAATAGTAATATAAGATATTGTGCGTGAGTGGGAGGGTCTCTGTGAACCTCACGTGTCATGTAATGCACTCTAGTCCCTGCTGTTCCACATCCTGCCTGAGAAAAAAAACAGGCTACACTCTGCATCAACTTTGCCTCCCTTTCTTTTCCCACTCCCTCCCTCTCTCCTGAACGTGTGTGTGCAGACAGACAGACAGATGGATTTTGTGATAATGTCCCATCATCCACTGCTTAACATGACTCATCATTTGCAACACAAAGGATCTTGCAATTCAGGACATGTATTTCATCATTACCTGAAAAAAACACACCCATGTGCCATTTTAGATTCGCAAAACTCTTGTCTATTTTTTTGCCATTACAATTCCTTTGTTTACTCCTTGAACATATTTCCTGACACTGTAGCTAATTTGCAAAATAAGAGAACAATTGAGCAGGGACATGAAGCTTCAATTTGTTTTTCTCTGTGCTCTTGTAATTGGAGATGAGAGAACATGGCTCATGTGGAACAACATGTGGAGACGGCACCTTGGGAGACGCATGCTCTTGCCATACTTCAGTGCAGTGTTTATGCTGAAACTAAGGGCTGTATTCCACTCCGAATTTTGCTAGCCCCTCAACTCATAAACATGTTTACACATCCCTGCCCCCTCCTCCTGTCTCTCATTTCCTCTCTGTTGTCAGGCACTACCTTTCTAAACCACTCCTCCTCACTGTACCACGGTTTCCCGACTAAAACACTCATATGTCCCTCATTTTTTCCTGTCTTTCTCTCCTCTTTTTACCTGAAATCCTCTCTAAACATGCTCCCTAAATTGTCTGCAGTAAAAGCAACAGAGAAGTTGAATGGTGAATGGTGAATGAACCAGATATCTTCCTGTTGGTAATGCTTCCTGGATCTACAGCACGTTGTGTTCGGACCAGTCAACAGCTCTGTTACAGCCTGACCCTGCCAAACACTACCATCATCAGGAGGCTGGGATAAAAACAGAAACAGATGGTGTGTGTTTGAGTTGGTAGAGGAGAGAGACAGATAGTATATAAATGATTCTTTTTGGAGCTGACACTGATGAAACCATGTCCACATTAAAACTCAAGTTTGGGACTAATATTTCACAGTCATCAGTGGGAGTTTCCTAAGTTTCCACATGCCCCAGCAGTGTGCCTCTATACCTTCAGAGACTTGACCCACTTATGTAGGTTAAATAACTGGGGACTTAAAGTTATAATGTTACAGGTCTACATATAGAAATGGCAGTCTATGAACCCTCCACTGAGCAGAGTTTTAACCTATTCCAAATAACAGAAAGACCTGTATTAAGTAAGATATTATTTGGGATAATTGGTTACTTCAACGCCTGTGGTAGGCTACTTGTGAGGAAAAGAGCAATAAATCTGTTTCTTATGCATTCATATTCTTTGAAATCCAAATAGAGGTCAGATAGAGTGCCATATCATTTACAAGCATAATAACCGACCTTAATTTGAATACCATTTGCCAGTACGCTGTTTGCTCCAAAGAATATTATTTTGTGATTTCCAAAATTAGTCTCAAAAAGCCTTCTTTTTGAGACTAAACCTTCAATTTTTATCACATTTTTCCAAAAGAAGCTCTCCCCAAATGTGTAAAGACTGGATATAAACATAGAGGTGTACAAAACAAGCATAAAAGTGGAAGAGCGTGTTCCTTAAGTCAACTGCCACTGCATTTGGATGTTTACCTTTTTCTAAATAGAAAATGGTGTCAGAGGTGAGAGAAACGGACAGACGGGAAGAACAGACAGAGTGAGGGGAAAATAGGCTGCGCATACACCGGAGTGGGGGTTGGGGTAGGGGTGAACAAAGGAAGTAAACAGCTGTGTTTTTAGGCATATCATCAGGTGTTCTCTATAATCACTATTGATCATTTACAATCACTTTGTTTCTATACCAGCGACTCAATTTAATCAGTCTTCTTTTTATGTAAAAGACATACTTACAACACGCTAAAACAAACATGATTTACACCCAAGTACACTTAAAATTGTCTCTGCCTGAGGTTCACAGCAACCAAATTTTAATTTTCCTGATCCTCATTGTCATGATCACACAAAACACAAGTTCTGATACTGACTATAAGATATTTAAAAACAACCTGATGATTTACTCTGAGCACTTTATGTACACGTAATCGAGATTTTATGGGTGCTTTTCCTGGAAGCACTGAGACTGAAAGGTCAACAACAGCTGAGGAAGGCTACAGTGAAAAGCACACAAACAGCGCAGTGGTGGTGGATAAGGTTACAGTAAATGTTCTCCAGCTCACATTTTACATTATTATACATGTATTTGCTGACCTGACTAATTCATCTGTTGAGCATATAACTAAAATACAGTAAACTTAACATTTTGAGAGAGTGGCAGGGTACCAACATTACAAAGTAAAAGGTTTTTCTGTAGAGTCTGATTAAGAAATGGACCATAATGTGAAAATCTGTGATACAGTTGTCTCTTGATGAGGTGCATTTTACTTTCCAATTGCTTTCTAACTAATCAATGTGTCCATAATTGTAAAATATTTTATAGACTCAGTACATATGCAGTAATGAAAGATTATCAGCTCGCATCTTCTGTTAAGTTCAGCTCTGAACCTAACCCAATCAAAAAGCCATGTAAATTGAGTTAAATTCAGACAGTATGGGGCTTTTGCTTTGTCTGAGGATGATCACATGGCATGAATGGATTGCTGGGTGAAATGATGCAAATGACATCTGTCTGATACGCCCGAAGGGGAATGTGTTAAAGGTAGGGGTTAAATAGATCAATGGACAACAGAGGTCATCTTTACTAATCAAAAGATAAAAAGGCCTCACCAGGAACCTAGATAGATAGGCAGCCTATCCATCAGACAATAGGTCATCTAAATGGGTTACACAATTGATTGTATTATCTGTAGGAAATGACTGCATGAGCAAATTGGATTTGGAAGGCATTGCTAATATAAAAAATATATTTTAACAATATGGTTTAAGTGGGTCTGTTGTGTGATTGTTAAAGGCAGGGGGTCGTCAACATTTTGTTTATCCCCAATAATTCAGTCGTAAATGAAAACATAGATTCTCTGAGAAAAATTACACTGAGTAGGTATGCTTGTGTTGTTTCAAACTGGGACAAGGAATCAAAGTGTCTACATTCAAACATAAAAAACAGTAACTGTACCAGCGGCCTTTATAGCCAAGCTTAAACCATCCAGTGGGTTTACAAAACGTTGTTGTCCAAGTGGACTAAATGGTCTTATAAGGACTCAAACCTGAGAGTTAAAACTAAATGTTAATTTGGAATATTATTCTAGTTTGTCCTTATTTGGAACAGAGGGAAAGATAGTGTCAGAGAGAAGGGTGGTGAAGGAGACATATGGGCAGTCCCCTTTGTAGGCGGGGATACCACGGAAACTACAAATACAGACTACTCAGCATCAGCGTGACAAGATTAGCAGTTACCCGGCGGGGATAAACGGGGACAAAATACACGGAAGAACACGGACGAACAAGGACAGACTACATATTCCTCTCTGACAGGTAATGTTGGATATATTTTATCAAATTAAAAGCCCGAAAACACGGTTTTAAGTTAATTTAAACAACATTAAAAACACGTGAGCGGAGAGTACAGTGCTCATTACCGCCTCGTGCACTCGATGCTGACGTAGCCAATGGATTTGATTTCATCATCTTTATGGAAACTAATTTAATGTCGAGTTTTAGTACGAGTTTTTTTTTTAAGTGTACGTCTTTGTGTGATATATTTGTTGTTTTAGGCGTGTTCGCTAATTTTGGTTTTAGAGGTATTGAAGTTTTCACGAACCACAAACTACCGGTGGTTGGGCGACTTGTGATGTTGCCTTGTTGTCAAGTGTTACTATCAGTCATGGCGAGCAAAGCACGCGCCTTCAGTATCAATGTTAAACACTTCTCTATATATACAGAATCACTCCGCTATAAGAAGAAATAAGGGGGGTTTCCGATGGCGTATTACATAGACTTTTGAGACTTTAGAAGAGATGTATTAAATCAACAGGGGCATCAATGGACCAGGATTACAGCTGCGCATGCGTACTCGATCAAAGAGCAGCTTAGTCGTACTCTAACATAGGTAGCACTATTCTCCATAACACCGCCAAACTAAAAGATTTCGTGTAGATATAAATAAAACATTAAAATAGTAAAACATTACAGTTTTAAAGTCATATAAACCCAAGAATTTAAACTTCGCAGGAGTGTATTTCTGTATTTTCCCATCTGTTTTCAGTTCCTTTCTTAAGAAGTTAACTGAATTAAAGTACCGATGTATTGGCAAGCTTTGAGGAATCTAGCTTTTTTTCACATTATGAAATGGGGGAGCTTTCCTCTGTCGCATGTGTAACAGGTAGAAGTGAACAATTCCAGTGAGCGGAAATGTTCAGGAACCCACACCATGTTTAGTATTTGTTTCTATTGTTTCTTTAATGTTTGGTTGCAAAACAATGAATGTTCCCATTTGACAAGACATGAAAAGGCCCTCACATTTTCTGCCAAAATAATCTTTTATTTCTCTACCCCCCCCCCCCCCCCCCTTTTCCATCCCTCTTTACCCTTTTATCTCTACAGAACTCAGATTAAACCATGAGTAAGGACACAGAGATCGACATGAAGGAAGTGGAGCTCAATGAGATGGATCCTGAGAAGCAGCCGATGACAGGCGATGGTCAGGCTGCAGCGGGAGAGAAAAACGGCAGCGTAAAGCTAAAGGTGCCTGAAGATGAGGTCACATTCACAGGCCTGTCTAAGGATGAGCTGATGAAAGTTGCTGGCACTCCAGGGTAAGGACTGCATGATGGATAAGTGGTGCTTTAAACTTGTTTCTTAGAAGTACAGGATTGATTTCATAAAACACGCGGTGACGTTTTTCTTCTATTGACTGTTTCGTGTTTAGATGGGTCCGGACACGTTGGGTGCTCCTTGTCCTGTTTTGGCTTGGCTGGGTGGGCATGTTGGCTGGTGCCATTGTGATCATCGTTCAGGCCCCTCGCTGTAAACCCATCCCAGATATGAGCTGGTGGAATGAAGGACCTCTGTACCAGATCTCTGATGTTGAAGCTTTCTCTGAGGGAATGGAAGGTAGGTTAAAACTGTCAAAAGGCTTGATTACACGTTGAACCTTTTCAACTTCTTATATTAGCTAATGCTGTTGTTCCAAAAATAGGGTCTCATAACTAAATCTGGGTCTGGCAACTCGCTCCCATTCATAGGGTTCAAGTCATGTGACAAGGTCTTGGGTTTCCTTAATTCTGCATAACCTGATTCAGCTAGCCAGATCCCAGACTGCTGACTTTGCTGACGATGTGTGACTCAAGTCTAAAGGACATTAAAAGTGTACGAGTCATGACTTTCATATCTCTGTTCCTCAGATTTGAGCCAAAGGTCAGATGACCTAGTGCATTCTTCTGATCATTTGCTGATTTAACTTTTTGTTAATGTAACTTTTGGATGGAAAATTTACATAATTTTATGTGTTTTTTAAGCAGTCTTCCAAATCCCACTTTAATGAAGCAGTTTTGGATATCAACCTTTTTTATTTCTATTTTACAATTTTTAAAGTAGAAGTTTGAAAAGTTGCAAGGAAGTACTTATAATACCGCCGTTTTCAAGGAGAGTCACAAGGGGGGAACTCAGGTTTCAAGCAGGCCTTTGGCAGTCACCGCACGTGGCTTGCACATAAAGGACTTCCTCATGCTCAGACTGCACATGGCCAACAGAGGGTGTGGAGGAGGTCATTCACATGCTCCTACCCTTACAGATAATCAGTTCTTTTTTTTTTTTTTTTCGACTTTGCCGCCATCTTTCCGTCCCTCTACTCTCTCATAACCCTGTGCCCTTGCTAGCTTTCACATATCAGCTCTCTGTTGTCTCTCCCCCTTGTGTGAAACTTTCACCGACTTGACATGTAACCCTCCTTCCTTGTCCTTTCACCGGTTCTTAGGCGTTGTAGCCAAGCTGGATGAGATCAATCAGTTGAAGGTGAAAGGCTTGGTCCTTGGTCCGTTTCACACTGTCCAGAAGGACCAACCAGCCACCCTGGACCTTAAAGAGATCGATCCAATCCAAGGAAAGAAGGAAGCCCTGAGCGCTCTGCTGGAAAAAGCCCACAAGAAGGGTCAGTTGAAGTCTGTCACCCATACTTGTCTTCTCAAGCCCTGATGTTGAATACTAAATAGTTTTTCCTCAATTTTCTACATAGGTATGTCTGTGGTGCTTGATCTGACTCCAAACTACCCTGGACAGGCTCCCTGGTTCAGCACCGCTGCTATTGATGATGAAGTTATGGACAAAGTTAAGGTAAAAGACAGACTACATTTTTTTTTAACCAACTTCAAAACATGTTGAAGTGAGACTAAGTGGTTTGAAAGCTGGGTTGATAGAAAGTATCAAATCCCTATGCCGTTGCTGTGTCAGTTGTAACTCGAGTTTTATCACGTTTTTCCTTTCAGGCAGCAGCTGAGTACTGGATTGGTGAGGGAATAGATGGCATCAAGATATCCGACCTTAGTTTGGCATCGAAGTCTGTTGAGTGGTCGAAGCTGCTGGCTGCTGTCCAGGGCAATCGCACCGACGACTCAAAGAAGAAGTAATTATGGCTGCTTTTTTCTCACTCCCTAATCCAAACAGAAATGCTCTAAATCATGGGGTTTCCAGTCAACCATAGCTGTTACAGTTTCATACAAGATATTTACTAAAGTTACACGAAGGGAGGTTCAACATTGACAGACAAACTTTTAAAGTGTTTCTAAGATTTGCAATTCTAGTGTCTCTTGGTAAAGTAATGTAAAAGCAGCAGTGAAATGTCAGCAGGCTGTTTTTCTGAGAAAAGGTTGAAACTTAAAAGCATTCCAGTGCTGCGGGGGACTAGAGAGAGGGGCAAGGGTGAGACAGACCAACAAGAAAAGCATCCACAGACCAGTGGTATTTTACACTCACTTGTGTTAAAGTGACACCTTGTGGACAGTTTGAGGACTGACTCAAAGTTGACTCTTTTTAATTTCGAGAGACTGAATCATCCTGCAAGGATGTGTTTCAGTGACACATACCAAAACCCTTTATTACACACACTTAATTGTTCCTCTTTGCCTTTGCTGTCGAACACGATTAATTTGACAACCTTCTTTTTCTCCCAGGGCTGTGATGGGTGTGGTTAAAAATGCTTCTACTGCTGAGGTGTCTCATCTCGCCAACGCTACTGGTGTAGATCTGGTCCTGTCAGACCTGCTCAGCACGAATGGAGGTAAGCTAGAGTCCCAGTCTGTTTGTCATGCATCATCCTTGATGCTTGACAAGTGAGTTATTTCATTGAATACACAAAGGGTTAACATAGGCAATAGAAAACGATATGGTTATCCACATGAGTTGATTCCTCAATACCATCCATCATTAAGTGCCCTGTCTCAATCCTGAAATATGTCCAGTATTACTGCGCTATCAGGGTCCAACAGTTGTATTGAAAACATCAATTCTATTTGTGTGAATAGGGATTTTTTTAAAAGTAACAAATTCACCTCAATGTTAGCAGGTAAAGAGCGCATCAGGGCCATGGATGTCCTCAACACTATGCAGATGAGTGTGGGCTGGGGTCTCGGTGCTGCCCAGAAGGACCACCTTTCAAGATCTACAGATATGATCCAACTGTACCAGCTTCTGCTGCTCACCATGCCTGGAACTCCAGTGTTTACTTACGGAGATGAGATTGGTCTAAATGCACAGGTAAGCCTGAAAATTAATTGAATAAGATTAAATACAACTTCAGAGCTTCACCTCCATGAATTAACTTGATTAATTTATTTTTATTTACTATCAGGGTGCAGAGTCTCCTAAAATGGTTTGGGGCATAGAGAAGGAACCTGAAGGTTCTCCTGCCAATGAAACCGCCAAGGTAGGAGTATTTTCACAGTACATGTCAAAAAAAGGTTCAGTAAAATTGATCCGTGTTTGCTAAAAACTGTCCTCAATCCCACTTTGACAGGCTGAGCGTGAGAAGCTAGTCAGTAAAAGGAACTGGTTCAAATCCCTAAGTGAGATGCGAGGCAAAGAGCGCTCTCTTCTCCACGGCGATTACTACTCTCTCTACTCGGCCGACTCCTCCATAGCTTTCCTACGTCTGTGGGACCAAAGCGACAGATACATCACAGCTGTCAACTGGGGAACAACAACTGAGAAGCTCACATTTACTCTCACACCTACAGGTAAGTTAATCTCTGAATAAAACATCTAACATTGACATTTACCGCCGTATTTTGTCTAATACTGCGACCTTTGTTTCTGCAGAAGGAGTAGAGCTGCCAGAGAAAGCCAAGGTGAAGCTGTCGACTGATGAAAACTTGAAGGTGGACTCCAGCGTCAGCCTGGACAGCATCACTTTAGGACCAGGGCAAGCTGTACTGCTGCAGTTTCCCTATACAGGCTGAAAATAACGCTAAACAACAGAGGGCTACGTAGAAAAAGAGTTGTTTAAAAAAGAAACTTAAGGTAGTCCTCATCCTTTTGAAACAAAGTGACAAAGGATACATGAAAGTTCATTTTACCGTAGAAAATAGTTTTTTCAATTTGTTTGTTTGGTCAGAATAGAATTGGTTGAAAGAAAATCTACTGCACAGAGTTAAGGCAAACACAAACTCGGCTGAAGGTTTTTTTTTTTCTTTACAAAGTCCACCATTAACTTTACTATTGTCTCCTTTTTGTTATGGTAAAACATGCAGCCACCTGAGGCATATGCACTCGTTGGCTGAGCCTTTGTTGTCTTGACTCTACAATATGCGAAATTGTAAAAGACATTCCGTTCATGTTTTCAGGGCATTCCGTTAGCAGTTGGACTGTTTTTTAAGTTTTACTACAGTTTTAGACACTTATTTAACTTTATTTGATTTTTTTTTTTTTTAACAAGAAGGCATTTGCCACAAAGTAAAGAAAAAAGTCAACTTTGAAAGTGTGGACGACTTGGTTTGAGTTTTATTTTATTTTAGTGCTGTTGGACAAAACAGTTGAGGATTGCAGAAAGTCCGTCGAACAAAATGGACTAGAATGAATAAACAGAAAATTCTGTACCAACTTCTGCTTGTTTGTCATGTGTTCAGAGGGTTACAAAGTGTTTAATGTGAGCTAATTTCGCGGAGGATACTATTTTAAGTCTGTATAGTGTGACACATCTATTGACAGGAATTATTATTTTGAGCTCATACACTCTTGCAATATGTATGCAGTGTACTTGGTCTTTGTGTCATCTCAGGTATTCACTCTGAACACCTGGTGCTACAAAAGTCCCCTAGGGTTCAGGACTGAAGGTTCTGAGGATCTAGGGTGGAGTTTGGAGTCGGGCTGGCTTTCCTTAAAGGCTGGCTTTACCTTTCTCCTTCTGACATTTCGTCATTTCTTTGCCCCCTTACATTTCTTCATGCTGGTTAAGCGGTTAGCTAACGAAATACGGGGCTACATTTGCGTCTTAACGGCGGCTTACACGGACTCAGCGTCGGAATAGCTCTACAACAGTACACCGACAAAGTGCGGAGGGAAGAACAAAGAACACTCACGGACCAGTTTTTGCTTTGTGACAGGTAATGGTGGATTCAGGACTGTTTTGAGTTTGTAGACACGCTATTTTTACCTATAAATTTGCGTTTTACATCGAAGCCGTAAAAGGTGTTGGTGAACAAATAGGGGAGAGTGGGTTAAGTTGAGCCACCCCCTGTTGCTTGGAAATGGTAAAATAAATTGATCATGTGACCAAATATTTAGGAGATGGGCAAAAATTCATGGAGTCTGTGAAGGTTAGAAGCACATGGGTGAAGGGATTAGACATTTATTTCCAAAAAAACATTTTTAAACTCTTGAAAGTAAATTTAGTCTGTCTTCAGTTTTATTAGAATTGTGTTCAGACCAAAAAAGATCATTTTAAATTTGTTTTATACATCAATTGTGGTATCTATGAGCTACAACATGAGGTCAAAAACCTAGCATAAAAGCCTACCATTTTAGCATAGAGGACTAATAAAGTCATCATCAGGGGTAAATTGAGCCAGTGACTCTGAGAGGATCAGAGTTTCAGTTCAGATTGTTGAAATGTTTTACTTTTTCTTTTCAAAAATACAGCTGTGGGTGTTCTGAATCACTTAAAGACATTCTCATGTTAAAATGTTTTTTATTTTTTTTATTTTATTTTATTTTTTACAAAACAGCTTTTTAGCAGTTATATGCAATTATGATAAAAAGAATTATTGTACCAGTAGAGTAGCGTATAATAGATAAAAATACACATGAATGTGAAGAAGTGACTGTTTCTTAGGGAGAGAGAAGGTGAAGGAGGGCTGAGGTGGAGAGTGGGGGGGTAGTCATCGTAGGGATATGGCTCAACTTACCCCATACAGGAGGTAAGTTGACCATAGGAGACCACTTTTTTTTGGCATGCTATATTATCAAGACATGACAAGTTATGTTTACACTCATTCTGTTGGTTTGCAGGGATGCACAACATCTTCAAATATATGCAGATACACTAGTTAGAGACAAAACTATAAATAACTTGATGTGGTGATCTGAAATATGAAAAATGTCTCATCTAAACATAAACAATTTACACAAACGAGGCAAACAACAGACAACAGTAACATTACACTTATCATTATCTCAAAACCTGGTTTTAAGTCCTCCAGACGAATAAAATATTCCAGTTTTAGGAGACCTTGTTTCTCAGACTACAATAAAGCAGTGTAAACAGATTCATTTAAACCAAAGGCAGAGTGCTTTGTTGTTATGTGTTCAGATTTATGGTGTTGTTTTTCCTGTGAAACAAGACCTGTTTTGCGAAGTTCATCTTCTGCTCTGGAATTGAGCCATACAAGCTTGTCTTGTATTTCTGCCTCTGTGTACCACGATTATTTATTTTATTTAAATTTTTATTTAAAGAAAACAAAACAAAATAATAATAAAGAAACACAATAACCAGCAATATAATAATAGAATTTTCTCTAAAGGACTCAGACTGAACCATGAGTGAGGAGGCTGCTGTTAACATGAAGGAAGTGGAGCTCAGCGAGATAGATCCTGAGAAGCAGCCGATGACAAGCGACGGTCAGGAGAAAAATGGAGGCATTAAACCAGAGGTTCCACAGGCAAGGGCTCCATTCACCGGCCTGACCAAAGAGGAGCTGATGAAGGTCGCTGACACTCCAGGGTGAGAGCTGAAAACTTGAATTTCCTCAGAATTATTAAAAAATGCAAGCTTTTTCTTTTAGCATAAAACACGCAGTAACTTCATCTCATCCCTTGAGTTTAGATGGGTCCGAACACGTTGGGCGCTCCTCATCTTGTTCTGGGTGGTCTTGGTGAGCATGTTAATCGCAGTCATTGTCATCACTCTCAAGGCCCCTCGCTGTAAACCCATCCCAGATATTAACTGGTGGATTGAAGGACCTCTGTACCAGATCTCTGATGTTGAAGCTTTCTCTGAGGGAATCGAAGGTAGTGTACATCAGTGAAAATGTCTTTTATGGAAAAAAAAAAATCAATGCAACTTTTCTTTGCTTTTATCTTTTTATATTCAGGTGATGACTTATTTTGTTGTAGACGATTTGTTTTTGGTAATTTGTACAGTTTTCAGTGAGATTATCTTGACTAAGTCTTAGTTTGGTAACTCTTTCTTCGCTACAAGGAAAAAGTCATGTGACAAGGTCTTGGGTTTCCTTCATGGCCTATTCCAGCAGGCCAGGACCTGAACTAAAAGCTACCTGTCAAACATGTGATTTTGTCAACAAGGCTCGAAAAACCTGAATTGTGTCCTTCCTTAACAATCCTCCTCAGATTTTAGCTGAAGGTTGAGCAGCCCTAAGCAGCAAAACACGTCTTTATTCAATTATTGAGAGGGAGGGAAGGTCACACAGTCAAATATATGACTTTTTTTTCATGTTTTGATCTGTACTGTAAAAGTTTTGAGGCCATCGTAGTGCTGTTTTTAAAGTGAATCAGTAGGGAGCACTCGGGTTTGAAACAGGCCTTGGGCAGAATTCCAGCACCATGAAGTACTTGAATACTCTAATACTCTGAACCAGACAGAACATGTAAGACTGTAACTGATTACTGGCTAATTTCATGTCAGCTGTGAGCAAAGCCTTGCTATTTTTCATACATCAACTCTCTGTCATTTCCTCCCCAAATGTCAGAATTTACGCTGACACGTGTAACCCTCCTTTCTTGTAAAAACTGGTTTCTAGGTGTTGAAGCAAAGTTGGATGAGATCAGTCGACTCAGGGTGAAAGGCCTGGTTCTGGGTCCATTTCACACCCTCCAGGACGACCAGCCCAACACCCTGAATCTTGAGGAGATCGATCCAGCCTACGGCACAGAGAGTGGTCTGACAAATGTGCTGAATAAAGCCCACAAGAAAGGTAAGTCATCGCCTTAACTCTGTTATTCAAGCGTACTTCTCCTATTTTATAGATTTTTTTGGACATCTAAAGACCAGATACCGTGCTCATACGGCTTCCCCCATGCCTTATCTCATAGGTATTTCTGTGGTGCTTGATCTGACTCCCAACTACCGAGGAGAGGATTCTTGGTTCAGTTCTAGTGTTGAAAATGAATTGATGAACAGAGTTAAGGTAAAACTCATAAATTCTATTGTATAATCTGTCAATCTCCATCTCAAATGCTTGAGTGTCTGTTGTATCTTATGTGCTCATGTTGTTTTCCAGGCTGCTGCAGAGTACTGGCTACAGTTTGGTTTTGATGGCATCAAGATATCTGACTTCAATGTGGCGTCAAGTTCTATTGAGTGGTTGGAGCTGCAGGCTGCTGTCCAGGGCAACCGCACTGACGACACAAAGAAAAAGTAACTTTGGCTGCTGTTTTCTGTCTGCTTATTATTTGGGATTAGATGACAGTCTGTGCAGTAGGATCATAGACTGTATATACTATGGACAACTTGGTTCCACCTTCCGCCAGTATACACATTTGAAGCCAAAAAGCTCTCTGTAATTCCACGTTTTTTCTTCACTTCCTGAAACCAACAAAGAAGTTTGTGGAGGTGTGGCTTTACATACATACTTACTGTTAAAAGGTATGTGAATTTATCTGAGACTGTCAGCGAGGAGGCAGATGCTGTCCATTCTATATACAGTCTATGAGTAGGACTAAAGGATAATGCTGTGTTCGAGTTACCTCAGAAGTCAGATGTTGGAGCTGAAAATGACGTCCCACCCGAGCTCCCAGCGTTTCAGATACAGAGTCAGAAAACAGCAAAATCGCAGGCCTGAAACAAGATGGCCTCATCTACGGAAGTTAATTTAGCACTTACCTTATATTCGGACAAGGCAAGTGTTAAAATAACTTTCGTAGATGTTGCTGTTAGATGTTTATGCTAAGGCAGGTGGAGCAGTAGCAAAGACCTAAGGGTCAGAACATAACAGGCATCAGTGACAATAAATATGACGCTGGTAAAATCAGTCTCAGACGGAGGTGCAAAGAAGTTTGTGGAGGTGTGGCTTTACATACATACTTACTGTAAAAGGTATGTGAATTTATCTGAGGCTGTCAGCTGACATGGGCTAGAGTTGGGGTAATTGAAGTACTGTGGGTTGAAAAACAAACAAATGCTATGCTCAATTTTAGAAACTGGTGGAGTTTGATTTTACATGTACTCGTGTTTACTCAAGATTGAAAGGCTCAAAGTGATAATTCGAGATGCAGAGTCACCGAACCAGAATTTCTGTCAACACCTTCAGCAGCTATAAGCTATATGTTTATTTGACTCTCATAGACTTTTCCTCTACACCATGATTTAACTGACAGTGTCCTCTTTCTCTCAGAGCTCTGATTGGTGTAGTTACGAGCGTTTCAGCTGAAGATGTCAATCAGCTTATAAACACCACTGGTGTAGATCTACTCCTGTCAGACCTGCTCGACAAAAGTGGAGGTAAGCTGGAATTTCCTTGTTCCAACTAACCTACGTGTGTGTTAAAAGCTCATTTTAATTCTTGATTCTGTTTTGGAGTGAGAGCAACATTGAAATGAATTAAAATAATGACCTAATAGTGCAAAACAGGGAATTTCTGGTGATATTTTTCCTTTAAAATGCGCAGGTAAGGAGCGAATCAAGGCCATGGACATCCTCAGCTCTATGCAAGGAAGCGTAGGCTGGGGTCTTGGTGCTGCTCAGAACAACCAGCTGTCAAAATCTACAAGTCTGATCCGTCTCTACCAACTTTTGCTGTTCACCATGCCAGGAACTCCAGTGTTTACCTACGGGGATGAGATTGGTCTAAATACACAGGCAAGCAGGAAAAAAAACAAAACATAGTAGCATATGTTTTGAAAACCTTTTCAGGGTGTAACTTCATGAGTCTGTTTCTTTTTTCCTCAGGGGGCAGCGTCTCCTAAAATGATTTGGGACATAGAGAAGAAACTCCTTGAACTTGCTGATGCTGTTAATGAGACTGCTGAGGTAGGAGTGCTTTCAAAATAAATGTCCAAATAAGGTTATCCAAATCTTATCATTTCAGTGTCTTAATAAAAATCTGTAACTCTCCCAGGCTGAGTGGAAGGAGCATGTTACCATAAAGAAGTGGTTTAAATCCCTCAGCGACCTTCGTGGCAAAGAGCGCTCTCTTCTCCACGGCGATTACTACTCTCTCTACTCCGCCGACTCCTCCATAGCTTTCCTACGCATATGGGACCAGAGCGACAGATACATAACAGCTGTCAACTGGGGAACAACACCTGAAAAGCTCACATTTACTCTCACACCTACAGGTAAGTTAATCTCTGAATAAAACATGTAACATTGGCATTTACAGCTGTATTTTGTCTAATACTGTGACCTTTGTTTCTGCAGAAGGAGTAGAGCTGCCAGAGAAAGCAAAGGTGCAGTTGTCGACTGATGAAAACTTGAAGGTGGACTCCAGCGTCAGCCTGGACAGCATCACTTTAGGACCAGGGCAAGCTGTACTGCTGCAGTTTCCCTATATAGGCTGAGGGTGGCGCCAAATTACAGATGGGCTATCCAGAAATTAGAGCCGATTAAGAATAAAACTAAAGTTAGTGATGAGAAGAAAGATGACAAAAGGAACAGGGTGGGTCTTTTCTTTTCCACCTGTAAGACACTTTTCTACTTGTTTATTTTGTCAGAAATGAGTTCGATCAAATTTAATCTGCTGCACAGAATAAGAACAAGTGCAAACTGAATTTTGTTTTTAGAAACTTTGCACCTTTTAAAATCACTGTTGTCTTTTAAAAAAAACCCTGAATACCCTGACACACACTTATTGAACTATTTTGAATGTCAGAGGCAGCACTTGTATTGACATCAGCTTCTGGTTGTGTTTAACAGGCTGCTAGTCGCTTTTTTAAATTTTAATGTGGAACATTTTCCTTTGCTGATACTTAAAACCGACTTAGGACAAATGTCTCCTTTGTAGTAAAGAATCAGACTCAGCAGATTTTAATATTGCCATTTTGATACACAGGAAAAAAGCATTTTTGGATTCTTTTATATAGGAAGTTAATAATGTCATTATTAGAGTTAACCATCTGCAGTTGGGGTGAAACCGTTTACCGCATCTGACCACCCCTACCACTGTCTGTGCCCCAGTTTGGCTGTCTGGCTTCGCCTCTGTGACTGAGCCTTTTAAATCTTTTATTGTGACTCTGTGTAGGTTTGTGCAAAATGTGAATGACATTCCAGTCTGTTCTCTGGGATTTCCAGGTCACTCCTTTGTATCAAATATAAGGAGATTTATTTTTGTGGTGGTCTCACTTTTTGTTGTCTGTTTTTTCCCCCCCAGAAGAAGGTATTTGCTGCAGAGTAATCTTTGAAAGTGTGGGGGTGACTCGGTTTGAAGTTTTCTGAGAATGTTGTTCGACAAGAGTTCAGGGTTACATCAAGTCCTTTGGGTGAACTTAAAATGAATAAACAGAAACTCCTGCCTGTTCGTCGAGTTCTTCTTCTTCTGCATTAAACAATCATCTAAAAGTGTTTTATGTCGAAGTTGGCTGTTTGTTCTGGAGATAATATCAGATGAGTTGTTTTCTATTTTCATCGTGTACAGGTGTGTGTGTAAGTGTGTCACAGATGTTAGCAGAGGAAGCAGGTCTCTATATTTTACCACCATCCTCAGATGGGTTTTATCAGCCCATTATGCCTGACTGTAAAATGTACACTGTGCACATGTCTACATTTCACTAAATGGGTCATACTGTGACTGCTTTGGGCCAACTTCTGTCATAGTCCCCGAAGATGTCATGCTTAAAAATAAAGAAAATTTAATCCCAATAGAACACAAAAATAAGATAACCTGTGTTTCTCACATTTATTTATTACCTAAAAGAAAAACTGGTTGACAGAGCTAGTTATATGAGCTTACATGAGTGTTTAACAGTTGCTCTTTAGTGAGTCTTGAGAATTCAGGCACTGAATGCTTGAGGATACTATTATAAAAGCTGCATGTAACATAAAAATTATTGTTCTGTAATTGAATGGTAAACAGATAAACACAGACCCTTTTAAGGGATAATTGATTTTCTGCTGTTTTTTAACATGTGTGGTCAGAATTGCACAAATGCAAAATGAAAGGAGGGGAAAAAACTGCCAACATATTCAGTACACGGCGTCTATGCACTTGTTCTTTACATCGGCCAGGAGACTTTTTAGACTGAAATATTTGACATTTTACTGATTAGAAAATAACATCATTTCATTCTTTCTGACCTCAAGATTTAGAAAACTTTTACTGTAAACAACCCTTGTTTGAGTCTTTAAGTGTAATATCACCTGCAACTTTCACACGTCTCTGTATTTTCTGTGAGCAAGTTAAAATGTTTTCATATTAACCCTTGAATATGTTCAATATTTAAAAACTAAGGAACATTTTCTCCTTTCTAATGTTTCCCTCTATAATTCCCTTTTGTAGAGAATGTAAACTAAATAACTGCTATAAAAGAAAGGCAGATAAGCTATGATAAAAACATAAAATTAAAAAGTGTTGTACAATAAAGATCCCTGAAGTGCCACTTACTTGAAAGGCAATCTGCATAATTAAACTGTATAATTATGTTCATATTTCTCAGGGTTTATCATATTTTTATGAGAATGTTGAATGTCTAATTTGCTCTTTATACTGTTGAAAATGTTTTCATTAAATCTTTTGTGGTGAATAATGTTTTGATTTAAGATACTGCTCTCCAATGTCGTCTTGTGTTAGAAAGAAGGCTTCACTTCAAACAAAATAACACAGAATATAAAATCGCTAATGAAAAAGGACAATACTCACTGTATAAAATTTAAAGTTTATTAATTTGACAGGTTTTCCACACGTTTACCATTCTTCTTTGTCTCTTCTAGGCTTCACAGATGTTTCGAAGTTTCATCTTTTACGTATGAAATGATCAGAAAACCTGATAATTTTTCTTGTAAAAAAACAAAATGTGAAAATTCCTTTTGATTAAGTGTCAAACAGTCCCTTTACAGCTGAAACTGAAGTCGATTCTCAGCAGAGTTTCAGGGTCTGATTACAATTCAGGGCCGTCGTGTTGCTGTGGTATCACAGGGGGAGGTTTGAAGTCGTTCATACCGGGAATCAAAGCCCGTCTCAGCACCTCACTGCTTACCCCACGCCGCTGTGAAACTTAACCACGGTCTCACCTACCGTCATGTACACTCATGACTGACTCTCACTCTGACTCTGACACACATACACCTTTTACATCATTTTGACATGAAGATACGTGACCTTTATCAACTTTTTAGGAGTACTGTAAAATAAATGATGATGTTGAGAACTCAGTTACAGCACTTCTATACATGCTGACCTCCTCCCTTAAAAACAGGAAGCCCTTTACTCTAAACCTTTGTTCTGTGAGCTAATCATTCTCCTTAATATGCAAACTCAACCCTTTATAATGTAGACTGATATTGAATAAACCTTAATATTAAATACATTTATTTATTGAACTATTACTGAATAATAATCAACATCCCGGATAACTTTTAATAATGGAGCTTCACAGAAAATAGAGGACTTGAGCACAAACCAGTCTTACAATAACTACATGCCATCATCACAACCAGGGGGGAGAAAAATTCATGTTCTGTGTAATAAATTTATAAAGTTTGTCCACAGCCCCATAAGCTTTGCTGGCAAAGGAGGGATTTATGACCTATACTGCAGCCCGTCACCAGGGTATGCTGTTCTAGGAGTGGCTTCACCCAGCGAGGAGGCAGACGGCGTCCATTCTATATACACAGTCTATGGGTCCGACAAGCCGCAGACCACTAGCGGCATGGTGAAGCGATGTTGGACACTTGGTACCCCAAGAGTTTGGCTGGGGAAGTTGTTTTCTTTCCCTTTCCAAAGCCGAAAACACAAAAGGAGCGTTGCCTACAGTGGATAAAACAGTGTGGAAGGCCCCACTCCCAGCTAAAAGTCACGAAAATAAACAAGTACAAATACGTCTTCTCCAAGGTAAGGCTAAGCTAGGCTAATGCCATAGATCACCAACGTTATTTTGTCAGCTTACATCTAGGTTTAACATAGCGTACCAACAAACAATTTAAACTTATTTTGTTTTGTGTTTTTATCTTTCATGTAGCATTTTGTGAAGCCTACTCCTGAATATCCCAACCCTGCACTTGCTGGAAAAGTGCGGAACATGAATGTAAGAATGCCTTGACACTATAGCTTGACACCTTACATTCATGCTACCTTTACAATCAAAAGAGCCATTTTGACATAAAAAGGAGGGAAAAAAATACGTGGAACTGTAATTTTTTTTTTAACCTTATACTGACGCTAGTTAGCTTATTAGCCCTTTAGGTTAATTGGGTGTGCTAACGCTCTCATCGTTTTAGGAGGATGTGGACACAGATACATATATTTTTACAATACTAGGCTAAGAGAAGTTACCAAGCAGTGGAAGGACATGACTAGTCCACCAGGCTGAGTTCATGGGGTTTCTCTGTTTTTGCCATTGACCGGTGTGCTTTAGCCTTGATAGTCGTAGTGTCCCCTTCCTTACTTATTTTAATATTATGAATATAACCCTCCAGTGCATATTACAACCCCTTTATCCTGGCTCTTGAGGATATCGTGCAAGTATTGCTCCAAAAAACGTCACTGGAATACTTTTTCCTGCCATGGTAGTTTGTTGACAGTCTGTCAGCTCCAAGAAGCTTGTCGGACCTAGCAACAGGAACCAAGTGGGGCATGGCTTTGCGACAGGTCAGTTTCAGTAATTGAAATACACTTTTACAGGGAGATGCACCATCTTGTTTCTAAATGCTTTTAACTGGAAATTTGTTGAATACATGACTTGATTTCTCTCCCAAAGTTATGAAAAGGTTTTTTAAACCCAAGGCTTCAGCTTAGTTTAGCTCAAAGGCAAAGAGAAGGTAGCTAGCATGCTATTTTCTAAAGGCAACAAAACATACCAGAAAGAAAAAAGAACAACAAAACAAACAAAAAAATCTACCATTTGTGAGATAAATGAAAAGAAAAACTTTAGTTTTGCCCCTGCCAAGCTCTGTTTTTGTCCTTACTTAGAAAACCTACATCTTCTTTTCTTTCTATTCCTTGTGTTCTTATCCACGAGCAAACATCTAGCTAGCTTAAGTCAGTTTGGTTTTTCTACACCCATTTCTATTCTCAGCCTTAATCAAGTTTGCTGTATGTTCAGCACACTACTAGATTCAAAGTCCTGAGCATGGGCAAAAGCCTTTCCTCCACAGTTTAAGTTGCCATAGAACAGGAAAATATAGGCAAATAAAATACAGTCAGAATGCAAATTTAAAAAATAAATGTCTAGCTTTAGGGAAAAAATGTTTTAGGACTAGAAAGCGTATTTGCAAATGGATTTGAGGGCAGAGGTCAGGATTATTGCAAGTACACAATTTGTACTTGGCAATATATTTCTCAAGGAAAATTGAACACTTGACACGGCTGACAACATAATCACCCTCCACAGATTCTGTTATGTTTCATGTAAGAGGGATGCTGAGCTATGAAAACAGCACACCGAAGAAAGCTGTAATAAATAAATCCCTGCTTAAAATGCTTGCTTTTACCAATCTGACCAGGGGCAAAGAATAGTGTGAACA